AAAGAAAGATCAGAGCACCAGTAAATGAAATTAAAACAAAAAAATACAAAAATAAATGAAACGAAAAGTAGTTTCTTTAAAAAGATCAAACACAATTAATTGATCATTAGTGAGATTAACCAAGAAGAGAGAAAATCCAAATAAGTTCAATTAGAAATGAAACTGATACCACAGAAATACAGAAGATCACTGAAGCCTACTATGAATACATGTAGGCACATAAACTAGAAAATCTAAAGCAGATGGATAAATTCCTGGAAATATGTATAACTCTCCCATATAAATCAGGAAAAAATAGAAACTCCGAAAAGACCAATAAGTACCAAGACTGAAACAATAATTTTAAAAACTGCCAACAAAAAAATGTCCAGGACCAGATGGATTAACAGCTGAATTCTATTAGACATTCAAAGAAGAATTGGTACCAATCTTACTGAAACTATTCCAAAAGATGGAAAAAGAGGGACTCCTCTCTAAGTCATTCTATGAAGCCAATATCACCCTAGTTTCACAACTGGAAAAGGACATAACAATAAAAGAAAACTACAGACCAAGATCCCTGATGAACGTAGATGCAAAAATCCTGAACAAAATACTAGCTAACTGAATCTAAAAGGTAATACAACAGGATCAGATGGGTTTCATACCAGAAATGCAATGATGGTTTAATACTCCCATGTCAATAAATGTGACATATCACATAAACAGCATTAAAAACAAAAACCATATAAGCATCTCAATCAATGCAGAAAAAGCATTTGATAAAATCCAGCAAAATTAGTATACAAAGGACATAACCTCAAGGTAATAAAAGCCATTTCTGACAAACCTACAGCCAACATGATACTGAAGAGGGAAAAGTTGAAAGCTTTCTCCCTGAGAACTGGAACAAGACAAAGATGCTCATTTTCACCACTTTTATTCAATGTAGTTCTGGAAGTTCTAGACAGAGCAATCAGACAAGATAAAGAAATAAAAGGCATCTAACTTAGTAAAGAGAAGTCAAACTGTTGCTATTCACTGGTGATATAATTATATCCCTAGAAAACTCTAAAGACTCACCCAGACAGGGTACGGTGGCTCACGTTTGTAATCCCAGCACTTTCGGAGGCCGAGGTGGGCGGATCACAAGGTCAGGAGTTCTAGATCAGCCTGGCCAACATGGTGAAATCCCGTCTCTACCAACAATACAAAAATAAGCTGGGCATGGTGGTGCACGCCTGTAGTCTCAGCTACTTGGAAGACTGAGGCAAGAGAATCGCTTGAACCCAGGAGGCGGAGGTTGCAGTGAGCCGAGATCACACCACTGCACTCCAGCCTGGGTGACAGAGTGAGACTCCATCTCTAAAAAAGAAAAAAGAAAGACTTACCCAAAAAGCTCATAGATCTGATAAATGAATTCAATAAAGTTTTAGGATACAAAATCAATGTACACAAATCAGTAGCACTGCAGTACCAACAACAAAGCTGAGAAACAAATCAAAAACTCAATCCCTTTTACAACAGCTGCAAAAAATAAAATAAAATATGTTGAAATATACTGAACCAAGAAGGTGAAAGATCTCTACAAGGAAAACTGCAAGACTGCTGAAATACATCACTGAGAATGCAAACAAATGGAAGCACATTCCATGCTCATAGATGGGTAGAATCAATACTGTGAAAATGATCATACTGCCAAAAGCAGTCTATGGATTCAATGCAATTCCCATCAAAATATCATCAGCATTTTTTATGGAGCTAGAAAAAGTAATCCTAAAATTCAAATGGAACAAAAAAAGACCCAGCATAGTCAAAGCAAGACTAAGCAAAAAGAACAAATCTGGAGGCATCACAATACTTGACCTTATACTATAAGGCTATAGTTACCCAAACACTATGGTACTGGTATAAAAATAGGCAAGTAGACCAATGGAACAAAATAGAGAACCCAGAAATAAAACCAAATCCTTATAGTCCACTGATCTTTGAAAAAGCAAACAAAAACATAAAGTGTGAAAGACACCCTATTCAAGAAATGATGCAGGGATAACTGGCAAGCCACATATAGAAGAATAAATTGAATTCTCTTCTCTCAACTTATACAAAAATCAACTCAAGATGGATCAAAGACTTGAATCTGGGCTGGGCATGGGGGCTCAGAACTGTAGTCCCAGCACTTTTGGGGACCAAGGTGGCCGGATCACTTGAGGTCAGGAGTTCAAGACCAGCCTGGCCAACATGGTGAAACCCTGTCTCTACTACAGATAGAAAAAATTAGCCAGGTGTGGTGGTGGGTGCCTGTAATCCTAGCTACTGGGGAGGCTGAGGCACGAGAACTTAGCAGGTAGAAGTTGCAGTGAGAGAAGACTGTGCTACTGCACTGTAGCCTGGGTGATAAAGCAAGGTTTTGTCGAAAGAGAGAGAGAGAAAGAAAGAGAGAGAGGAAGGAAGGAAGGAAGGAAGAAAGGAAGGAAGGAAGGAAGGAAGGAAGGGAGGAAGGGAGGGAGGGAGGGAGGGAGGGAAGGAAGGAAGGAAAGAGGGAAGGAAGGAAGGAAAGAGGGAAGGAAGGAAGGAAAGAGGGAAGGAAGGAAGGAAAGAGGGAAGGAAGGAAGAAAGGCTTAAATCTAAAACCCCAAACTATAAAAATTCCAGAAGATAACATCAGTAAAACTCTCCTAGACATGGGTTTAGGCAAAGAGTTCATTACCTACCAAGAACCCAAAAGCAAATGCAACATAAACAAAAATAAATAGATGGGACCTAATTAAACTAAAAGGCTTCTGCACAGCAAAAGAAATAATCAGCAGAGTAAATATACAACCCACAAAGTGGGAGAAAATATTCTCAAACTATACATCTGATAAAGGATTAATATCTAGAATCTACAAGGAACTCAAACAAATCACCAAGAAAAAAAAAATCAAAAAGTGGCCAAAGGAAATGAATACACAGTTCTCAAAAGAAGATATGCAAATGGCCAACAAACATGAAAAAATGCTCAACATCACTATCAGGAAAATGCAAATTATAACCACAGTGAGATACCATTTACTCTTGCAAGAATGGCCATATTTAAAAACAACAACAAAAAATAGATGTTGGTATGGATGTGGTGGAAAGAGAACACTTTTACACTGCTGGTGGGAATATAAACTAGTACAACCACTATGGAAAACAATGTGGAGAATTTTTAAAGAACTAAAAGTACAACTACCATTTGATCCAGGAATCCCACTACTGGGTATCTATCCAGAGAAAAGAAGTCATTATATGAAAAAGATACTTGCATATGCATGTTTATAGCACACAACTCACAATTGCAACAATATGGAACCAACTTAAATGCCCAACAATCAACGAATGGATAAAGAAAATGTGGTATATATACATATATATATACCACGGAATACTACTCAGCCATAAGAAGGAATGAAATAATAACATTCACAGCAACCTCATGGAGCTGGAAACCATTATTCAAAGTGAGGTAGCTCAGGAATGGAAAACCAAATATCATATATTCTCAATTCTAAGTGGAAGTTAAACTATGAGGACTCAAAGGCATAAGAATGATATAATGGACTTTGAGGACACTGGGGAAAGGGGGGAAGGGTGGTGAAGGATAAAAGGCTACATATTGGGTACAATGTACACTGCTTGGGTCATGTGTGCACCAAAATCTCAGCTATCACCACTAAAAAAGCCAACCATGTAACAAAAACCACCAGTTCCCCCAAAACGATTGGATTTCCTCTTTTAACAAGGTAATTAGATACCTTGTAGAAAAGGATCATTGATTACACGCTCATAGAAATTTTGCTTTATGATTTCAGCCACCATATGCCTGCTGTGTGCCCAGAACTTGGGGTTCAAATACAAAGGTTTCCAGTTCCCTTCCTCCAACAGGTGCTTGTGGCCTGGTGGGGAGCAGACAATGTGTGCACATAGATGAACTGAAGCACCAAGCACCAAGTTCATTCAAGTTATTGGCGTGAAGAGTGTGATGAGCAGGGAGAGGAAGCCATCCTTTGGCCTGGAGAAGATGAAGAGGGCTCTCAGGGAATGTTAGAACCGAGTGGTAACAGTCAGAGGAGAGGGGTGGAAGCGTCACACCTGGCATGCCTGCCGAGGAACTGTGGCCACACGCAGCTCTCATTGCAGGCCAGCCTCCAGTGAGAACACAGTTCTGGTGTTGCGATGCAGGTCGGTGTCCTGTATTAGTTTGCTATGCTGCATAACACATCGCCGCTAATTTAGGGGCTTGAAACCACATCTGTTCATTATCTCACAGTTCCTATGTCAGAAGTCCAGCAAGGCACGGCTGGATTCTCTGCTCCGTGTCTCACAAGGTGAGAATAAAGGTGTCAGCAAATCGTGTTCCTTTCTGGAAGGCCCTGAGGAAGAATTAACTTTCAAGCTCATTCAAGTTGTTGGCAGAACTTAGTTCCTTACAGTTCCCTTCATCTTCAAGGCAGCAGTGTCCCATCCAGGCACACTGAGTCTTTCATAAGCTTCAAATCTCTCCTCTCCCTTCTGCCTTCATCTTTAACTTTTAAGGGCTCATCCACTGGGTGATTTCATTGGCCCAACCCAGATAATCCAGTATAACCTCCATATTGTAAAGTCAACTCATTAGAAACCTATCCACAAGGCTCTTTTGCCTTGTAAAGTAACAGATAGTCCCAGAAATTAGGGTGTGAATTCTCTTGGAGGACTGTAATTCTGCCTGCCAGTCTCCCACCTGGATCTTGCCAGAAATCAGTACCTAGCACCAAGTCTTTATTTGATTTTTATTTTTAGAGAGAGGTATTGCTCTGCTGCCCAGGCTGGATGGCAGTGGTGCAATCACAGCTCATCGCAGCCTCAACCTCCTAAGCTCAAACCATCCTTCACCTCTACTTAGAGTAGCCAACTATAGTTGTGCCACCATGCCTGACGATTTATCATTATTTTTTTAAGCGATCTGGTATAGATATGTTGCCTAGACTGGTCTCAAACTGCTGGGCTCAAGCGATCCTCCAGCCTTCGCCTCCCAAATTGCTCGGATTACAAGCACAAGCCACAGGCCTGGCCTAGTGCCAAGTCATCTCCTCCAGGCCTCTCCTTCCTCTGGCAGGTGTCGGTGAAGTTGGTTAGTACAGGAGCCCAGGACCGCCTCCTCTGCCTGCCAGGGCTTAACTGACAGTTGGCCCGCAAGTACTTACCATTATTATTGTTTTAACTTCATGATCAACGTTTTAAAAAATCAGGAGGGATCCCATTAAAACTGAGTTCCGCTTTCTCTTGAAAATTCAGCAGCTCTGGCAAACCCGAGTTCCCGGTCGGGCTGGAACTTGGAGCGCCCCATGGAAAGAGGGGCGGGCCTGCGCCACCTCTGAGCCCGCACTATGCTCTCCTGGAGACTCCCCTAGGACGGGGAGGGAACTAATAATTACTGGGCCTTGGCCAGCTGCAGCCGCGGCTCCTACATTACCTGATTTAATTCTCCAAATTTGGGAGGAAGGCATCCTTCTAGTCTCCTGAACTGTCCCATTGCCAGGTTACACAGTTGGTGCCATTTGCCGAGGTGACCTGTAACTCACGCGGCCGCCAGCCCAAGCTCTTCCCCTCGAGGCCCCTAGCGCGTCCCACTCCCCCCAGGCCGCGGGATCCGCTTTCCCGCCCACCCGCCGTGGTCACGTGAAGGATCGAGAGCCGCTTGCCCAGGCTGGGCCTCCTGTCGGCCCGAGGAAGGCAGAGTCGCCGCGGCTGCCGCCCGGACGTCCGCGCATCCCCTCTCGCCGAGCGGCCGCCGCGATGCCCTGGGCTGGTCGAGACGCAAGGGTGAGTCGCCTGCGCCCGCAGCCCCCCGAGGATCTTCCGACCCGGGAGGTAAGGCGGGCTTTCAGGCTGCTCCCGGAGGGCGCCCCAACGGCAGCGTCTCCCGCCCCGCTATTGCCCTCCTGGTGCCAGGCGCCTCCGGGACTCCTAGGGAGAAAGCGAACCCGCTGGAAGCCAGGGCCGGCTGCAGGGAATGAGGGCCCGTGGGCGCAAGAGGCACTAGGAACCCCTCTGCTTTGGGTCTTCCTCGGTCCCCTGCGCCCCGGGAGCCGCGGCACTGGGCTGCTAATCCGGAATGCGCACGGCCAGCTGGAGCGCAGCTCGCACGTTGGAGTCAGTTGGGGAGCTGCAAGCCCAAGCGCCAGACAGGCCACCCACTCTCCGTTGCTGAGCTGGGATCCGCGCCGGGGCTCCAGATTGGGGGCCTTTTTCACTCAGTGAGGCGCGCACCCTTGTCTCAGAGACCAGGGCGCGCCCCCACGTAGCTCCAAAGCAACAGGAAAACAACCATGGGTCCTGCTGCAGGGAAACGTCCGGAAAGAAGTCTGCAGGATGCGGGCCGCGGGAGTGCTGATGCAGCTCCGGCTCTTCCGATGCCCGCGGGACACAGCAGATGGGCTGCGCAGCTGCCCAGCTGCTCAGGGACAGTTTCGCTAAGACAGCCTGAGCTTCTTTGAAAGAGTTGGAGCTTCCAAGCGACCCTTCTTGAGTTCTTGTACTGGACAAGAACTAAGACAGTGGAGAGAAAGGCGAGAAATTCAATGGCAGGAGTCCCTGCTCTGATTCAGGAAATCTGAGTCCTGAATTACACTATGATGGGCCGGCAAAAGTCATGAAGACCGTGGTTGACAAAGTCGGTCAGGCCCTGGCACAGTGCCTGGCACACAGTCATGACAGCCAGGGTCCATGCTGCATCTCCTTTGCATTGTGCAAGTGTGTGGGAGGTGGAGAGTGTTTTGGTTCATTCTTCCTCTAGTCTTGAACAGGCCCCCTTCGGCTCTGGGCTGCGGCATTATCACCCCTGCCGCTCCCCACTGGGCTCTTGAAGCCTGCTGAAGAGGGTCCACAGGGCAGGCTTGTGTGTGGGGTTGAAAAACTGCCAGGCAGGTGAGGTGGCTCAAGCCTGTAATCCTAGCTACTCCACAGACTGAGGAGGGAAGATTGCTTGAGGCAGGAGGTTGAGGTTGCAGTGAGCTATGATTGTGCCACTGTGCTCCAGCCTGGGCAACAGAGCAAGACCCCATCTAAAAAAACCCAAAAAACTCTGGTGCATTGACCTCTCTCTCTGGCCTGCTGGTCCCAAGGGAGCAGGTAAAGGAGAAGGAAGGGAAAGTTCCTTTGTCCATAGCTTCGGCCTTGCTCCTGCCATCTAAGATAACAGCATCGATTGTGTCATTAAATCAGAGAGATCGTCTAGATCTTCTTCCCTCCCTAGGTTCTGACCTTGGGCACTCCGTGGCCAATATAATTGGGCTAACGTTATTTAAGAATTAGTTTGGATTCATGTAACTAGAACCTGCCTAGTCACCTGAAATGCATTAACATCTTCTCCTTTCAAGTAGTTTTTTTTTAGCACTCTTCTGATAGGAGTTTCCTTTTTTGGCTACTAAGATGGCAATCTGCTTCTTTGGGGGAATTTACCAGCACTTTCAACTTTGAAATGAAATAACCCAGTGCTAGGGATTCTCAATTTTGCCATTGGTTAGCATTAGCTAGGGAGCTTTTAGGATTGTAACCAGTTAAGGCTCTACTCCTGAGATTCTGATGTAATTGATGTGGATATGTCCTGGGCAATAGTAACTTTCAGGTTACTTAGTGATTCAAAAGTAATACCAGGGCTGAGAGCCTGTGTCTTATGCCGTTTCTTTGTGACAGTTCTATGTGGTGGTCTCTTGATACTTCATGTGCTGCTTTTTTTTTTTTTTTTTTTTGAGACAGAGTCTCACTCTGTCACCAGGTGCCAGCAGGCTGAGTGCAGTGGCACGATCTCAGCTCACTGCAACCTCCGCCTCCCAGGTTCAAGCAATTCTCCTGCCTCAGCCTCCTGAGTAGCTGGGACAACAGGCACACACCACCACACCCAACTAATTTTTGTATTTTTTTAGTAGAGACGGGGTTTCACCATGTTGGTCAGGATGGTCTCGATCTCTTGACATCATGTTCCACCCACCTCGGCCTCCCAAAGTGCTGGGATTACAGGCGTGAGCCACGGTGCCCAGCCTTTTGAATGGTCTTATTCTTAAATCTGTTCGTGCAGATCTTGCATTACCCTGTTTTGGGGTCTTAGTCCCTTGGTGCTCCTTCTTAGCAATTTGCAGAGGTGTTGCTTGCGGTAACCAGAAGGGTTTGAAAAAGTATTCTACTCAGGTGGTCCAAGGAGCAACATAAAGCCAGTGAGCTAGCTAGGAATGATTCAGTTAGGGAGAGGAGTGGGGCTTCTGATGACCTGGATGGCATGTCCTCTGCCCCAAGAATACCAGAGCTACCCACCTCCAGTTGACCATGGCTATCATGATTGCAAAAATGGCCAGAAAGTCTTCCAATCCCTGAATACATACTCTCTTTGCAATGTGCCTTTGCAACTTCTTATATCAAGAGGTGGGTTCTGTTTCTCCAGCCCTTGAATCTGGGCTTGGCCATGAGACATGCTTTGGCCAATGGAACATTAGCAGTTGGGCTACAGGCAGAGGTGTGAAAAGCACTTGAACATTGGTGCTTGCTCTCCTGATGCCCTTGGGAAACTTTGACCACCACCTGTGGAAGAGCCCTGGCTAGCCTGCTGCAGGATGCACATGGCCAAGACATGTGAGCAAGACTATTCTAGACCATCCAGCCCCTGATGACCACAGATAGCAGCTAAGTTGACCCAGACCAGGACTGCCCAGCTGACCCACAGATTTAAGGAAAATAGTAAGTGTTTTATTCAGACCAAGAATCAGGGTGGGTAGCAAGAACTTGTTGAAATACAGTGCAGCATAGCCAAACGTTATAATCTTTTAAAGAGAAGCCAGAAGTTCAAATTTTTGTGTAAGCTCCAGTTTTTAAAAAATTTGAGTAGCCAGCATCTAAAAACACTCTCTGGGCCAAACAAAACACAACTTTTAGGCTGCACTTGGCCTATCCGTTGTCGGTTTGCTACTTTCTTTATAGAGGGACATAAGGTTTCTATCCCAACACCTCACTGCCACTTACTCTCTCACCCTTCTTCCACAGATGCTGTGCCCTGTCCTATCCCTAGCAGGTGTTTCTTTGTATAAAATGTCCACAATGTACGTCAACACCCCAGCTCCTCCAGGCAATCTTTCTGTATGGAAATAGAAGCTGCTGGGATTGCCAGTCTTCATGGAAAAAGTGAAATTTGAGACAGGTTTCCAGTGAAGGAAACTGGGAAAGCTACTGCTGGTTTTAAGTGAGCATGAGATCAGGCATGGAGGTGGATCCATAGAGGGACAGTGGACAAGTCCACCAATTTTGGCTAGAGAAGAGTGTTGCTTTAGGAAAAGTGAGGGAGATTAAATTGGAGAGGAGACATTTAGGAGCCTCTAAATGCTAAGCCAAGGGTTTTGCACTTGACTAGATAGAGAAATCACTTGATGCTTTTGAATGGGGAGTCTCATGGGGAAAGCAGTACTACTCTACTGTATCAGTGTACAGGAAGAGCTTGTAGGAGGACAGGGGGTACTGAGGGAGACAGAAGGTACAGTAGCCTTACTTATCCATGGCTTTTGGGTTTGCCTTCTGTGGTTCCAGTTACTCTAGGTCAACTTTAGTCCAAAAATATCCAATAAAAACTTCCAGAAATAAGCAACTCATAAGTTTTTAATTGTCCACTGTTCTGAGTAGCATGGTAAAATCTCCAGATGTCCCGCTCTGTTCCACCTGGGATGTGAGTCATCACTTTGTCCCACATTTCCATGCTGTAGACACTACCTGCCTGCTAGTCGCTTAGTAGCCTTTGGGTTATCAGATCAAAAAGACATAGTATATATAGGGTTTGGTTACCATGCTCAGTTTCAGGAACCAACGGGGCCTCTTGGGACGTATTCTTTTCAAATAACGGGGGGACTAGTGTGTATTGTTTTTAGTAAGGAAAGGAGCATTGGAATTGGAAAGAAAAATGGAGATGTGGAAGAATTTAACTTAAAATTTATGGGAACTTCTCTTTATCTTAAGTTATAGTTAATTATGTTAATTTTCTTACCTATATAAACAAGACATATTGGCTGTTTTCAAAGCACTTCCATCAACAGCTTTGCATTTTGCCTAGGTTCTCGTTGAATGACTTACAGGTATTTGGGAGCTTACGTGGTTTATTCCTACCACAGTTAATACTGAAGAAGGTATTTGCTGGGTACATAGAGAAGGAGCTTTCTTGCTCTCTCCACTGAGAGACTCTGGAATCTATCTTTCCCTCCTTACTGCGTTCTTTTCACTCTCTAAGGGATTACAAGTGATTTGTCTTCCCCAGAGTTGTAGGGTGGGGTTGGGAGTGAAAACACAAAATTCTTAACAGCATTTTTAAATCTTGGGAGGAGGAAAAGCAATATCACAGCTCTGAGAAGAGAAAAGAAAAATCAAGAGAAGGCAATTATTGTCATGTGCAATTCAAACAGAAAGCAGGCAGGTGCAGTGGTTGTTACCTGTGATCTCAACACTTTGGAAGGCCAAGGGGGACAGATTGCTTGAGCTCAAGAAATTGAGACCAGCCTGGGCAACACGGCAAAACCTGTCTCTACAAAAAAAATACAGTAATTAGCTGGACTTGGTGGCACACACTCTGTAGCCCCACGTACTCAGGAAGCTGAGGCAGGAGAATCACTTGAGTTTGGGAGGCTGAGGCTGCCAGTGAGCCATGATCACACCACTGCACTTTAGCCTGGGCAACAGAGCAAGGTCCTGCCTCAAAAAACAAACAAACAAACAAATAAAAGAAAAAAGAAAGAAAAGAAAGGAAAACGGAAAAAATGCAAGAAATAGCAGGAAAATGGCCATATTTACATCAATGGTTTTCAGTCTTGACTGCACATTCAAATCACTTGTGAACTTTAAAAGATTAATCCTGGGTTCCGCCTCCCAGAGGTTCTGATGCAATTTGGATCTGCATGTGACTTGGACTTTGGTAGGGTCTTTAAAAGCTGTTATGGTGATTGTCATGTGCCGTGGGAATTAAGAATCACCACCCCTACAGTTACCGATGCCTCCCATAGCTGGGGTGCTGTTTTGAAGTTTGCAGCCACATTTTAGGTGCATCTGAAGAAACGTCTGCTATTTGGTCTTTGCTATTTTCATGGTAGATGTGGACAATTGTTCCCATGTAAACTTGAAAAGTATGTGCAGTTTTGGAATGGGATGTCTAACATAATCCACATTCTTGGATTGGATAAAAACAGTTTGTTTTAAGGGAAAATACAAATGGCCTTAGTTCAAATAAACAAGCTCATTATAGTAAAGCCTGTCTTCTAAGAGTACCACTTCCCACAGAAAACACAAGACACTTAGAAGTTGCACACAAATGGGAAGGAGGAGTAGAGGGAAGACAGTTAGAACCAAAACATAAAGTAGATGAGATTTTAAAAGGTGATAGATGTCAGAAATATAATACTAGATAAAAATGGGAAAGCTTTGAAATGTTAGTGTAAAGGTGAAATGGCTAATAGGAAAGAATCAGCAGATTTTAAAACAGCAGGGATGAGTTCGGATGGCAGTTGGTGGGGGTGATGTGGTACTTGTCATTCAATATCTGGGGTCTGTCTCATGGAGATGACCCCCAGGGCCTGACTGGCTGAGGCATTGCTGGTGAGTGTTTTTGCAATTCTCTACCTGGAAGGCATATGAAGCATGCATCTCAAATCCACGAGTGTTGAACTGCTTATGTTTGTGGACAAATTGCCTCACTGGGACTATAAAGATGTTCGCAGCATCATCTTTTTAAATTGGGGACAACAGTGGCCTTAAAAGATTTTGCCATAAATATTTTTTTAAAAGCCTCAATATCGGCTGGGCACAGTGGCTCGTGCCTGTAATCGCAGCACTTTAGCAGGTGGGCGGATCACGAGGTCAGGAGTTCAAGACCAGACTGGACAACATGGTGAAACCCTGTCTCTACAAAAAAAATACAAAAATCAGCTGGGCATGGTGGCTCGTGCCTGTAATCCCAGCTACTTGGGATGCTGAGGTAGGAGAATTGCTTGAACTAGGATACGGGAGGCAGAGGTTGCAGTGAGCTGAGATTGCACCACCTCACTCCAGCCTGGGCTACAGAGCAAGACTCTATCTAAAAAAAAAGCTTCAATATCAGAATTCTTTGAGTATGATCTTTTTGAGGCTTCAGGGAATTTTCTTAACGTTCGTGTGTGTTCATTAAAAAAAAAGCCTACTTTTGTTGGTGTGAGGCATTTTCTACGAAAAATATATTTCTAAGCATATCCTGGGAACTGTACTCTTCTTCAATGTTGAAGACATTCAGTGAAAAAAAATTGATATTATTAGTTTTCCTACTAGAATGTTTTTTAAAGATGTAAGAGAAAAATGTTTGGCTGGGTGCTGTGGCTCATGTCTGTAATCCTAGCACTTTGGGAGGCCAAGATTGGCGAGTCACTTGAGGTCAGGAGTTTGAGACCAGACTGGCCAACATGGTGAAATGCTGACTCTACTAAAAATACAAAAATTATCAGGGTGTGGTGGTGAGTGCCCATAATCCCAGCTATTTGGGTGGCTGAGGTAGGAGAATCGCTTGAACCTGTGAGGTGGAGGTTGCAGTGAGCCGAGGTTGTGCCACTGCACTCCAGCCTGGGCGACAAAGTGAAGCTCCATCTCAAAAAGAAAAGAAAAATATGTGATAAGTATGAAACACATTTATATGGTACTTCTTAGCTGCCTTTAAGAATTGCAATACCAGCTCTAAACATACCTGTTGCTCAAAAAGCAATTGACTCTTATAGCAGTTAATTCATCTATGAGATGATTGTCCCATGTCAATTTTTAATCCAACTATTTGTCTTTCTTTTTGGTCATTTTAACAGCTTTTTTAGTCTATAATAGATAAACACTGAACTACATTTATTTGAAGTATGCTGCTTGATGAGTTTTGAATATAAATACCCTTGTGATATGTCGTGATTAGAATCGTGAACATATTAATTGCCCACTAAATGTTTGCTTATGCCCCTATTTTTAATCTCTCTCTCTTAGTTATGTGTTTGTTTGTTTGAGATGGAGTCACTCTCTATCACCCAGGCTGGAGTACAGTGGCACGATCTCAGCTCACTGCAACCTCCATCTCCCAGGTTCAAGCTATTCTCCTGCCTCAGCCTCCTGAGTAGCTGGATTAGACGTGTATGCTGCCATGCCCATGTAGTTTTTGTATTTTTAGTGGAGATAGGGTTATCCCATGTTGTCCAGGCTAGTCTCAAACTCCTGACCTCAAGTGATCTGCCTGCCTTGGCCTCCCAAAATGTTGGAATTACAGGCATGAGCCACCGGGCCCAGCCTGTTCCTGTCTTCCTTCGCCTGCCCACACACAACCACTGATCCGGTTTCTGTCAGTGAAGGTTAGTTTTTATGTTCTAGAGATTTATGCAGATGGAGTCATACAGTGAATACTCTTTGACGGAGATGGTTGGCTTCTTTCACTCAGCACAATTATTTTGAGATTCATCCATTTCATTGCATCTATTAGTTGCTCATTCCTTTTTATTGCTGGGTAGTATTCCATTGTAGAGATACAGTACATTTTGTTTATGCACTCACCTTTTGGTGGCTTCTAGTTTTGGGCTGTTAAGCTGGATGAACATATGTATACATGTGCAGCTTTGGGATGAGGTGTCTGACATGAGCCACATACTTGGGTTGGAGGTACTAGTCTTTGTGTGGACATATGCTGTCTTTTCTTTTGATAAACACTTGGGAGTAGCATGGCTGGGTCACACTTTTTAATATTTTAAGAAACTACCAAACTGTCTTCCAAAGTAAACATGCCATTTTCTGTTCCTACCAGCAATGTATGAGAGTTCCAGTTGCTCAACATATTTGGCAAACTTGCAAATATAAAAGGAATTTTGTATTTTGTGTTTATATGTATATAAATGTATAATGTAGTATAAATATGTAGTATATAATTTTGTGTTATGGATTTGTATGTATATGTATATATACAGTAATGTATCACTTAACAACAGGGATAAGATCTGAGAAATAGATCATTAGGGGATGGCATCATTGTGCAAATATCATAGAATGTACTTACACCCACCTAGATGACATTACTTACTAGACGCCTAGGCTGTAGCCTATTTTTCTAGGCTACAAACCTGTACAGCATATTACTGTACTGAATACAGCAGATAACTGTAACACAATGTGTATTCATGTATCTCAACATAGAAAAGGTACGGTAAAAATATGGTATAAGAGGTAAAAAATGAATAGGGCACTTCCTATGAATAGAGCTTGCAGGACTGGAAGTTGCCCTGGGTGAGTCAGTGAGTGAGTGGTGAGAGCCTGTGAGGGCCTTGGACATTACTGCGCACTGCTGTAGACCTTAGAAACACAGCACAGTTAGACTATATTAAATTTGTACAAAATATTTTTCTTTCTTCAATAACAAATTAACCTTAGCTTACTATACATTTTCTACTGTATAAACTTTGATTCTTTTGCAATAGCAGCTTAAAACACATTGCATAGCTAACAAAACATTTTCTTTCTTTACATCCTTATTCTATAAGCTTTTTAATCTTTTTAAACTTAAAAAAAAATTTTTAACTTTTTAAACTCTTTATTAAAAACTAAGACACAAACACATGCATTAGCCTAGGCCTACTCAGGGTCGGGATCCTCAATAGGATTCTGGAGTCTTCCATCTCCACATCTCATCCCACTGGAAGGTCTTCAGGGGCCGTAACACTCATGGAGCTGTCATCTCCTAGGATAACAATGTCTTCTTCTGGAATCTTCCTGAAGGACTTGCCTGAGGCTGTTTTACAGTTAACTTTTTTTTATAAGTAGAAGGAGTGCACTCTAAAATAACCATAAAATACTAAATACATAAACCAGCAATATAATCATTTATCATCATTATCAAATTTAATGTACCATACATAATTGTATGTGCTAGACTTTTATACCACTGGCCGTGCAGGTTTGTAGACACCAGCATCACCACAGTCATGTATTTTATTGTGCTGTGATGTTATGACAACTATGAACTCACTCGGTGGTAGGAATTTTTCAGCTCATTATAATCTTATGGGTCCCTTGTAACGTATGTGGTTTGTTGTTGACCAAAATGTTATGGGGCACATGACTGTATATGTATTTGAATATGTATGTGTACTTAACCATATATTAATATATGTATGTATGAATATACTATTTAGGTACAAGGACATGCTCTAGTCAATGCTTATTTTCATTTCCTCTGAGAGTCTGTATTTGAATTCAAGAAAGTGGAGAGTGTCAGAGTGTCTGGGCCCAGCCCCACTGCAGGATTCTCAGTGCTCAGGGAGACATCAGAGATGTGCAGGCAACACTGTTTAGATGTTGGCTACCTCTGGAAGAGTGGGTCTGGGGAGAGGCAAAGGGGAACTTCTTTTATACTTGCTGCACACTTACAAAGGAAAAAGAAAAGTATCCTCTCCTGCTCTGACTTGGTCTCCCTTACTCTCTCTATGGGGAACAGGACCTTCTCCTGGCTGCTGCCTATGTTTTGGATGCCCAGTACAACAGAAATGTTCCATTTGAAACATCACCTCAGGCCATCAGGTAACTAACATGTCACAACATCATGTAGAACCACCTATCCTTCAGCACTTGGATACTCTTGAAGTTGAACCCAAACTGAAAGCATTGTTTATACAGATATTTTGAGAAGTATGTAGGGCATAGCACATAGATTTGGACATAATCTAATACTTTCTTTTTGAGGCAAGGTCTTGCTTTGTTGCTTGGGCTAAAGTTTAGTGGTATGATCACAGCTCATTGCAGCCTTGAACTACTGGGCTTAAGCGATCCTTCCACCACAACCTGGGATTACATATGTGAGCCACCATGCCTGCTGAATACTTTTTTGAGTTATAAGAGCATGGCCTCACACTTTGGGAAGCATTCAATAAACAGATTAAGAACAGATAGATGACATGGTGGCGCGCGCCTCTAGTCCCAGCTACTCGGGAGGCTGAGGCAGGAGAATTGCTTGAACCCAGGAGGCAGAGGTTGCGGTGAGCCGAGATCGCGCCATTGCACTCCAGCCTGGGTAACAAGAGCGAAACTCCGTCTCAAAAAAAAAAAAAAAAAAGATCAGATAGATGATTAAGTGAGCAATACCCAGGATAGAAGCTAGGGTACTCAAGGGAAGAACATGCCATTGCCTTTTCCTTTGATTGTTGTCCTCTTAGAGTTACCTCAAGTGAAAAGCCTTTTTCTTTTTCCTGTCCATTGTCTTCTGATGCAATCCATGTGTCTGCTGTTCTTATGGGAATTCAGCTTTTACTCCATCATCCCTACACGTCTCAGCCTGTCTATCACTAGGGCTCAGCATCAGGGCCTCCCAAGGCAGCTGATGCCTTATCCCTGGAGGTTGCCAAGCATGTCTGGGGTGCTGTCCTCACTTAGGGAGAGACTAGCATGACCTCTTGCCAGATCTCTTCTGAGTCTATCATGTTAAGATGGGCTGACATACATTTTAATATCAGGTTAGGCCACCAGGCCACATCAGAATAGGCCACTTTAACTGAGAGTTTAATCTGTGTCCATCACTGTTCAAAGTCCTCTGTGGGTATTCCCTTATTATGATCACAACAAGCCCATGGGGAAGGTATAATCTTAGCTGAGACTGTTAAGAAAACGTGCTGTGAGATATGATCATATTCCTGATTTTTCTGTGTTAGTGTTTGTAGTATGTGATCATTAAATACTGCCTCCTGTTTTCAAGAATTTGAAGGAAATATGACTAAGACATAACTTTCTTATTTTATCCACCATTAGTTCTTTAAAGAGATATTTGGGTGCTGTGTAGCTCCTGTTCCTTGTTTGTAACCACCTTTGTCTTTTTCCTCTGCAGACTGTACTATTTTTATAAGCACTGGACAACACAGGTTGCCACATATTTCTTCATTTGTGTAGACCTTGCTCTTGCCCTCTTTGAAGAGCCTGCATTGTTTCCTCTGCCATTCTTGGTAAGCATGCCACAGCAGATGGCTAGCCAGATTCGGTCATAGATGAGTTGGGCCTTGTGCCTCTTCCTTGTTTTCCTCAAATTTCAACAAATATGAATTAGATGTTATTATCTTTCTGGAGTGAGAGGAGTTCTGTCTACTCACCAAGTGGATGCTTCCTTCATAAGGCATTTTAAGTGCAATGGGACATTTTGGTCTTCTGTGCAAGCACACGCAAAATCAGAGATGGTTCAATGATATTTTCAAAGCCAATTTACTTACTGCTAAGCAGATGAGGTTCTCATATAGTATAATACGCAATTTGTACATACCACATTTTCAGCTTTTTTCATAGTCATATCATAAGAGTATTTATTGGTGCTTAGGAGCTGATCACATTTGATTTTGAGTAATGTATCAAATTCAGCAGCCAATCCAGAGAGGTCTAAATAGTAGAGCAATGCCTTGCCCATGTTTCTGATTCATCATTACTCTCACCTCTGTCTTAATAGCTATCATTTGCTCCCTGCTTGCTATCTGCTGGGTGCTCTCAGTGCTTTCTCTGTATTCTCCTTAAGCCTTACAGGGACTCCATGAGATGTGCCTGCTGTTATCATACTCATTTAACAGACAAGGAAGTTGAGCCTCGAAAGGTTGTGTAACTTGTCCAAGGTCACTAGGCAACAAAGACAGAACTAGGTTTCAAGCCTAAGCCTGTCTGATTTCAAAGCTTTTGCTTTTCAATAACCACACACAGACCCTTTTTTATTCTTCCTTGTTTTAGTTATCAGTTGCACAAACATATTTACAAACCACCCTAAAACTCAAACACTTAAAACAAGGGTCAGGAAGCCATAGACTGGGGGCCAAATTCAGCTGCTGCTTATTTTTGTACAGCCTATGAGCTAAGAACGTTGCTATAAACGGAATGTTTGTGTCTTTTCAAAATTCGTATTTTGAAACCTAGCCCCCAATGTGGAGGTATTTGGAGGTGATCACGGGGATAGAGCCCATCTCATGAATGGCATTAGTCCCTTCATAGAAGATGCTTCAAGGAGCTCCCTTGCCCCTTCTGCCATGTGAGAATGCCACAAAAAGAGGGCTGTCTGTGAATCAGAAAGTGGGCCCTCGTCAGACACCAAATTTGCCAGTGCTTTAATCTTTGACTTCCCAGGCTCCAGAACTGTGAGAAATAAATTTCTGTTGTTACGAGCCACCCAGCCTATGGTGTTCTGTTCTAGCAGCTGGATCAGACTAAGACAAACGGTTTTTACATTTTAAAATGACTTGGAAATAAAAGACACAGAAGAATAATATTTTGTGATAAATGGAAATGATATAAAATTCAAATTTTGCTGTCTGCAAATAATGTTTATTGGAACACAGCCACACTTATTCATTTATGTGTTGTCTCTGGCTGCTTTGGAGCTATATTAACAGAGTTTAGTGGCTGTGACAGAGACTGTAAGACTTGCAAAGCTTCACGTATTTACTTTAATGGAAAGAGTTCACTAACCCCTAGATTTAGAGAACAGCCTTTTATTGTCTCCCGTGACTGGGAGATTGCCTTGGGTGGTAGGGCTGGGGTGTAGTTGTCTGGAAGCTCTTAGATCTCTGGAGGCTAGAACATCCAAGGTAGCTCTCACATGGCTGCCAGGCGCTGCTGGCTGTAGCTGTGGCCTCAGGTTCCCTGGCTCTCTTCTATGTGGCTGCTCCACATGGCTTAGGCTTCTCCCAGTGGGTGGCTGGGTCCAGGAAGAAGAATCTCAGTGTGCTGCACCATCACACCTCTGCTTGCATCACACCTGCTGATGTCCTGTTGTCCAATGCCAATCATGCTGAAACTCTGAGTCAACATGGGAAGGCACTGCAAAGCGGGTGAAAACTGGAAGTATGGCTCACTGGGGCTGCCAAAGTGACAGCCATCAACTTTCTTATTATAAAGATTCTCCAATTAATTAATTCTCTGGATAGAAGCCATTTATTCCAATAACTGTCAACACAAACACAAAGTCTGAAGAAGCAGAGCAGTGCATTCACAAACCTGGACAGAGTCTACTCCAGCCAAAGCAGGAGTCCCACGGAGTGGTCTTCTCAGCCATTTGCCTCTTTTCCTGAGTCCTCACTCCCTGTCTGTTATTGGTCATGTATAACTTTGGGTTGTGTCCTCTGCTCCTTTCAGGCCAAGAGCCAGCCCCTTCCTCCCTGTCTTTGGCTCTCACTCAAGACCTTTCCCTCTTTTTAGCTCAAGGTAGGTTGTCCTTTTCTCCACCGCTTCCTATCCTCCACCCATCTCTCCCTGTTGATGGAGGAACATGCCCTTGTTAGGGAGCTGTTGCTGCATCTCAACAGCCTCAGGCAAACCCTGCACTGCAGTCACCAGCTGCCAGGCTAGCCGGCACAGGAGTTTGGAGTTGGCTCCCATAATCTGCAGAGAAAGACCCATCAGGACTTCAGTCTTGATCTCAGTGGGCTTCATTCTCATCTCTAACCAGCCTCATATAGGCAGCAGGACTGCAGTGGCAGTGATATTTACAGAAGGGCCCATTATTCCCACATCTTTGGGAAATTACCTTACTGTTAGAGAAATGGGACTTTTAGGTATCTGGAATTTGAACATGGGGAATTTGAGAGCATCCCCTCCCCGTTTCCTGGGGAAATATGTTCTTGGTCCTCAGCTTGCTGGTGCAGTTCCTCCCAGGGATCCCTGCCAGTATGGGTCATGGAATTTGCGACTCAGAGGCAGGTTTCCTTTTTGGAGGAAGAAATGATTCTAACTGGCAGAAAATTTCGCTGCAATTTTCAGTAAAATTAAGGGACATGGCAAATTCTCAAAGGGTGCCAAGCAGGAAAGGTAGGGTAGTGGCAGGGGCCGGGGGTGGTACGAGATAACTGAAGCTGAGCCTCCCCATGTCCTCATGCTCAGCCTCTGTTTTCTCCTTGCAGGCCACCTCAATAGCAGAAATACTCTGCCTGACTGCATTCTTTGGGAGACTGATACATTTTGCAAAAATCACTCCTCAAATGGTTTTCTGGAAGGATACAAAAAACATCTGCATCATGGTAACCATAGTGGTGAGTGTTCATTGTAGTACCTATAAGAGTTTATGACCGGAGGCAGGAGCCATGAAGAAAAAAAGACTCAATAGATTTGCCTTTGATAAAGCAACACTTCCATTCAGTGAACACCATAAGCACAACTGCAAGCAAACCACAAACTGAAGAACAAATATGGCAAAATGTGGCAGTGCAGACATTTCAACATATCAAGAGCACTTCCAATTAAAGGGAAAAAAGGATATCCCAGTAGATCATTTTGCTGAAGATAAGTGAAACAACTCATAAAGAAGAAACAAGTAAAATGACTCTAGAAAAGATGTTTTACTTCGCTAATTAAAAATTGTAGAATAAAACAATAAAATACCATGTGTTTGCCTATAAACCAATGTTAGCAAGATTGAAAACCTTTTTTTATAATTTCAATTTTCATTTTAGATTCAGGTGGTACGTGCACAGATTTGATAAATAGGTATATTTTGTGATGGTGAGATTGGGGTACGATTGATCCCATCACCTAGGTGGTGAGCATAGAACCCAGCAGGTAGTTTTTCAACCATTTTCCTCCCTCTGCCCCCTCACCCCTCGAGGAGTCTCCAGTGTCTACTGTTGCCATCTTTGTGTTCATGAGTACCCAGTGTTTAGCTCCCACTTATAAGTGACAATATGCAGTATTTGGTTTTCTGTTCCACTATTAATTCACTTAGGATCATGGCCTCTGGCTGCATCCATATTACAGCAAAGGAAATAATTTCATTCTTTTTAAATAACTGCATAGTGTTCCATGCTGTATATGTACCACATTTTCTTTGCCCAACCTACCCCTGATGAGCACCTAGGTTGATTCCATGTCTTTGCCATGAAACAAATGTTCTTTCACCCTACTGGTGAGAGGTATAAAGCTATATTTCTGGAAGGCTGTTTGGCAATTCCTTTCAAAAGCCTTGAAGGTGAATATACTTGCACCCCTGACTTCCGTTCCTTATCTGTAGGTAAGAAGGATGCATTCTGAGATTTAGCCACAAAATTGGTGGTGACTGACTGCTTATAATATTGAAAAATTGGAAACAAACTTATTTCCTAACAAAATACACAAGAGATATGTTGTAAGTAGAATGTGATATATTCATGCAGCCTCCTGGGCTCTCCTCTCACTCCTTTGCCCCATCTGTTATTTAAAAGGCCCTGGGAATGAGACCTGCCCTTTTAGCCTGGCCTGCACAGCCACCCTCCATGGGTCCTTGTCACTTTCTGCTGCTTCCCTCTGCCCCTACTCCAGGACCCTCTGCTTCCCAAATATGCCAGCCTAGTATTTCCTCAAGTCATTTTATTGTATTTTCTTGTCTAGCTCTTGACCTTCCTGATTTTTTTTTCTTTTTAAAGCTCTGCTGTGCTGTAGGTTACATCAAAGAGTGCCTCCTCCACGAAGCCCCTCACATATCTTAATCCTTGGTGATCCACCTGTCCCCACTCCCCTGGGACAGCCACACTGGTTCCCTGCAGTGCAGCGGTTGTGAACCAGCCTCATTTCTTGGCTGTCTCCCCACCTCATGCAGAGTGACCTTTGAGGGGAAGGAGTTCGCCAGATCCTCTGTTTCTTACCACCACAGGGGCTGAATTCACGTTTTTGGATGATGGTAGATTATTCTTTTTTACTTAGATTTTTCTAGAATACACTAGGTTCTTCTTTTGCCTGTCTTCACATTAATCTCTTGCCCATAAACCTGACATCAATAAAGATTAATAAGGGTTTTCTGTAGTCTAGATATCCTCATCTCTGTTACTAGGGTATACTTCCTTTCTTTCACATGTCAAATTGAAGAAAAGGTCAATAGGTGTAGTGGGGAAGGATCTCACAGTGTGATTAATAGCAAGGACTCAGCCCTCAGACTGCCTGGGTTCCAGTCCCAGCTCTGCCCTCGGCTAGCTGTGTGACCAGGAGCTATGTGCTTACCCTATTTGTGCCTCAAGCTCCTCCTCCTCCAGGAATAGTGCCCACCTAATTGGTGTGGTGAGTCTAAAATAAAATAATCTACAAGAGGTGCTTGTTATACTACATGGAACATGGTAAAATGTCAAACATCAGCCATTATTAATATCATATTACAAAAGTAGAACTATGCTGTCTATGAAACTTGGTTTTTCATGTAACATTATGCCTCTCCTGGGTCGGTAAACATGAGTCCACTGTCCTTGGACAGTTTAGTACTGATATCTCTGTCCTGTGTCTCTCACAGCTGACCTTGATCGATCTGATTATCTATGGATCGCTGGAATCTATTAACGTCCGCAGTGTCAGATGGTCAAGGGCCTTAAGACCAGTCTTCCTAATTAACTTCCCAGAAAGTCGTCAGGTAAGCATATGATTTCGGATACGTGATGGTTTGTTTTTGCAGAAAGTTATTTGGTTTCTTGTAAATAAAATAACGTTTTGTCTCCATAGATTCGAAGGGCTTTCCGAAGCCTCTGGAACACTCTGCCCGATATCCTCTACGTCTTCCTCTTGTTCATGTTCAGTGTGTTGATGTTCTCCCTGATGGCCTTGAAGCTTTTTGGGGATCGGTGAGCACACTTCTCTGGAAGTTTCTGCCTGGGAATTCTCCCATATTTAGGTTGAGTCTGTTGGTGGCACAATCTGTCACCAAACATAATCTTCCATGTTCAAACACTGCAGAGTGCTCTTGAAAGGGGAAAAATGTATCAGAAACCACAGCTTAATTTGCGTGTGGGGTTTTTACTTTGTGTTTTTGGTTCCTCTTTAGGGGTCTGAAAACAGCAGAGGGATCGCCTTACTTTGAAAACATTCTGGAGATAGCATTTGAGCTCTACGTGCTGGTCACTACAGCAAACAGTCCTGACATCATGTATGTGCATCCTTGATCCATGTTCATGAGCATCTGTTTCCAAAACAATTCACATGATTCAAAGCAGCTGTCTCCTGACTCTAGCAGGGCCAAGAGAGAAGAAAGAGTGATTTTTCTGTTTAGTCCCATTCACTGTAAATGTTTTGAAGAATATAAAACTTTACACCGCAAATAGCCTATCTTCTCTACTTCAAACTAAATTTAAATGAATTCTTTCAAAATAGAAAGGAACAGGAGACATACCTTGAGATACAGTTCTTAATATTTGAGCCCATGTTTTTTCTGGGATCCTGTTTAAGTCTCAGTTTAAAGACTTGAGCCATCTTTGTAAAGGATTCATGGCTGGTTCTCCTAAGCATTGATGCAGTGTTTTGGCTACATCAAACAGGAAATAAGTGTAAACATCAGTAATTGCTGACTTCCTTGCAAAATGCCAATTCTCCACACATGTGAAAGTTACTTAGGAGAAGAACTTCATGGTTTTTTCTAACGTCTTCTTGTTATGGATTTACCTCATGCATATGGGTAAAGTTATTAAGGGGTGCTGCATAGAGTAGCTAGCTCTCTAGCTCTAGAGAGTGGGCAACTCTCTAGTGGGAGAGCCTCACTACAAATGTCAGGCCACGTATGCTCCCACAGTGACCTCAGAGAGGCAGGGTTTCTGTCGTCTTCTGATGCATAGTATCATCAGTTCAACTGTTCTTGGTTGTTCCTCATGCTTAGGCCTGGCCCTGGCCCTGGCCCCTCTTATGTTCTCTTGCATCTTTCCTCAGACCCCTGGCTGACAGCCTAGCCACAACCTTTTGATGTCCCCTCCTGTAGGAAATCCAGTTTCCATTAAAGGTAGAGTGAGCACCTGTCACAACTTGCCCTGCCACGATTATCACTGGGCACCTTTCCTGTATTGTCCCTGGGTGGTTAGTACATGATCTGGCTCCGAGCCAAGGCAGTTGGGTGTCCCACAGAGCCCTGACTTTGCACTGCACAGCCCTCTTCTCAGCCACACTTCTGATTCTCTTTTTAATTCCTAGCAAGTCATGGTCCTTTCTAGGCCATAATTTTCTCATTGTGAAGGGAGAAAACTGAATTGGGAGATCATTAAGATCCTACCACTGTGAAAATTGGTGCCTCCGCAAGGTGCTAAGAATTTCAGAAAGGCAGGTGTGAAGCAAGCTGTTCAGCATTAGGGATGGTGATGGCTCTGCGGCCCCCATCGCACCCTATGGGGGACACAGAGTGTTAGAGGGGGCTTTCTGGTGCCTCGTGCACATGGACTGTGCACGTGGGATGTTGCCTAAGGTCAACCTTATATGTATTGTGGAACTAGGGTATGGAAAACCATGAAACATGATTATTTTCTTCTAGGATGCCTGCCTATGACTTCAACTGGTGGTATTCTTTGTACTTTATAATCTACATTATCATCAATACCTACATCTTCATGTCTGTCTTTCTGGCTGTGGTGTACAACAATTATAGGAAGCACTTAAAGGTAACAGGCATGAGCCGAGGGCTGGGGTGGCGTGTGTGGGGTGTGGGTGGGTGCAGTGACTGGGAGGCCAGTGAATGCATTTGTAAATATTTGAAAGTGTCCTTGATCTATTTACTTTGGTGGACCCAAAAACTTGATGCCTTGCTTCCTTCTGCTGAGTGGGGCGGCTCTGTCATTTTTGTGATGGTTGTGACAGTGTGTCTCGGGAGATCCACAGGACAGAGCACCTGGCCTGGGCACTGGCCCCTTCATGGGGAATGTCAGGTGCTACTTTGCTCCTTGCTTTTAAAGCATCAAATAGCTCATGATGCCTAGATACATTCTGAGTGTGATTCGGGGGGAGGATATTCTCTAAGCTTCCAGCTCCTTTCTCCCTTCAAACGAAGAAACTTCTTAAAGCCACAGTTCCTGCCCTGGCTCCTGCCTGCTTGACTGATGTCTGGAGAATTCCTGGAAATGTTGAGTGGGTGCTTGGGGTAGAAGGACGTTTGATTTGCACCCAGGAATCCCCCCAGGACACCTCGGCCATCTCATCCACCCTCTGTCCACTGCCACTCACCAGTACAGACCTTTGGATGTCTGTTTCCTTTACTGTAAAACTCATTGCAAAGAAAAGTCTTTCTTCCAAGGGTGATTTTCCTTAAGGAAAAACAAACCTTAGGGCTTTTGGCCTTCTGGTTCTGTTTTGAATGCTTCCTTGCTAATGGAGTTTCCACTTGGGGTCAAACAAGAAGTCAGGCAAACTTCAATGCAGTTCAAGAGAAGGGGATGGCAGGGCAAGTCTGAGATTGGATCAGTCTGGCCTTTGAAGGTGTCTGGCTCTATCCAGGTCCCAAGGAGTCTCTGTGCAGAAGGAATCTCAACTCCTCCTCACCCCAAAGCCAGGCCTCCTCTGACCTCTTCCTCTCTCTGGCAGGAGAGGCCATTCCAGAGAGTCTGGTGAGCCTCTCCTCTCCTTCACTGGGAACACAACTGTTACTATGCCCCTCCCAAACCCAAGGAACACCCCTTGGAAATTTTCTGCAACATGCCTCAGTCAGCAAACATATTTTAGACATGCTGCATGCACCAGACACCATGCAAGGTCCTGAGGAACCACAATGATGGTAAGGACACCGCCCTTCCCTTCAGGAATTTACGGTCAAGCTATGTCATCCATGAAGCCATGATAGTGGGCAAGAGATTAACAAGCTTGCAGTGGAGATGGGCATGGTAGCTGGACAGCCCTGAGGAGGGCTGCAGAGCCTCCCCCCTTCCACAGGATTCCCTGTGGCCAGGCCAGATGGCAGCTCCAGGCAGGCCCTTCCGGCCCCAAACCACATCTGGCCTAGTTTCACTTCCCTGAATTTTCTCCTCTTCATCCTCTTTCTCGATGGACTGCATGGTGTATCTCTCTTTACCTTCTAGCTGGGTCTCTCTCTCTCCTCTCAACAACACATCCGATTTCCTTCCTTTCTGGAATCTCCCCTCCTTCTGGGCAGGGTGGAGCTGGGAAGTGGCTGCCTCCTGTCACCCTATTTCTCACTGCACAGACTTTCCTTCCCAGGCTCCCTCATTTCAGCTTGGTAAAATGAGTTCTGTTGATGCAGAGTGGGGTTAGCTAAATACTCCTGAAGCCGGGAGGTGTCATTTACCTTGTGTATCAGCCCACCTATCAGTGATGTCTCTTCAGCTTTTTGAATAACTTAAAATATATTGGAGTAAGAAAGTGATGCCCTCTTGACTCTTTCTCTTAAAAACACAATTCTGTTTTTTTAAGAATGAAATTCGCAAACTAGCATACCTGAAACATCACAAAATGATAGCAGCATTCAACGTTCTGAAAGTCAAGGTGGGCACTGAGTTTGTGGTCGAGGAGGCTCACTGGAGGCAGCTGGCACAGGTGGTGGCACCAGACATGAGCAGCGCCCACCTGGAGCTTCTCCTCAGGATCTCCGATGAGGGACAGAAGGGGCATGTGGGTAAGAAGCCTTCACCTCTGACTGTCCTCTTCCCTGTGCGCTCTGAAACTGGGCTTCACAAAATGATGGGTAAAGCAATAGCATGTTTTAAAATGTATTTAGCTTAGCACATAAAAATGGCACCTGCTGGCAAGAATGCCCTGGAGTTAACCTCAGGCTGTGCTCTGACTGCCCTGTCCTAGTGTACGTGTCCACGAGCAGGTGTCAGCAGACCATGCCATCCCAGAGCCCTTACCTGGTGACATGGTCCTTCCACTTCTGCAGTTCTGCTTTAGGGAAGTATTGTGAAATATGGAAAAGAGATACATACATAGATATTCAGTTTGTATTTTGCATTTGAAAGTGGAAAGTTGAAGATGGCGTACATGTTCATGGCTGATAGCCATTTTTAAGATGCTTCGTATTGGTGGTGGGCTTGTCACGTGTGAGGCATTGTTACAGTTGTTCTCCATGCATTGCGCTTGTGTAATCTTCCCCCAAGCAAACCGAAGTGTTTTTATTACCTTCATTTGTCAATATGGAAACACACTCAAAGAGTCAGTCATTTGTTCAAGGCCACACAGCTGCAAAGTAACAGAGGCCATCTGGCTCCAAGGCTTGTGCTTTTTATCCTTGTGCTCAACCGCTCCAAATTGTGGTGGTTATTTAATAGGAAAATTTGATAGCATTAAAAATGACTGTGAAGATGAGGCAGCAGTGCAGGAAAGGTGAGGTGTTAATATGCCCCAACTGCAGAGTGCTCCCATTTCACCAGTTTTAAGAAAGTCGAGATCAGAACACACCCAAATGGAGTGGCGGGTTTGATAGGAGGGTGAGATTATAAGCAACTGTTCACTTAAGGGAGACAAGGACTCTCAAACTAGTCCCACAGAGCTGTGGGCCTTATTACCTCTCCATGCATGTGTGTGAAGATGGCAAAGATTCTCTGGGACTTACTTGAATCTGGTGTTCAGAAGAAAAGAGACATGCACAGCAAGACACTATTACATGGGCGGTTGCCAACACCTTCCAGTAAGAGCTTTGGATCCAGGATGGAAGAAGGCCTTTTAAAAAATATATTTTTTAATTATTTTAAAATATTGTTTGTGGATATATACTAGGCGTATATATTTACAGGGTACGTGAGATGTTTTGATACAGGCATGCAACGTGAAATAAGTGCATCATGGAGAATGGGGTACCCATCCCCTCAAGCATTTATCCTTTGAGTTACAAACAATCCAATTACATTCTTTAAGTTATTTAAAAATATACAATTAAGTTATTATTGACGATAGTCACCCTGTTGAGCTATCAAATAGTAGGTCTTAGTATTCTCTCTATTCTCTTTGTATCCATGGAAGAAGGTCTTTGCAGGAGCTCAAGCAGCATCTCCTCAGCCACATGATTCAATGTCACAGTGCAGAGTGTCTGCTCAGATGGCCAGGCTTCTCAGATCCTGAGCAGATTCTTTTGTGCTGCCTGCTGTGAGGGACAGGCAGTGACTCCTGCTAGGGACAGCTGCCATGGAGTGTGTGATTGCTCTGCTAATGGCGGGGAAGGGAGAGGAAGGGTGTCTCATCAGGCAACCCTGGAGCATAGCACTTTTCAAACTGTGTGCTGAAGCTTTTTTATTTCCAATCTGTCGTTGACAGAGATTTTAATAAAATACAATAAGTCAGTAACACATATACACAACACACAAAATACAAGTCTCAGGTTTTCATGATTAGATCCAGCAGGCATGAAATTATCCTGTCAATTGCTCTACAAGGTCCTAAGTTTTAGCACTTATGTTACAGAGGTGGGGAGCACTAGGATTGACCAGCACCATTCCAGCAGTGACCCTTTGAGGAGCGCTTGCTCTAAGGACATCAGAGAAGGAAGGTGGCCCCTGAGACACACAACTCCCCATGATTACCCTGACCTCCAGTTGCTAGTTCATGATTGGAGTCATCAAGGTAGCTGGGTCCTCAGCCCTTAGCCCTGGTTAGTTTTGTTACCTGAGTATGGTCCTATTTGTAAATTAAATGAGAACAAAATTCATCTAGTTTAAATAAAGGAATCCACCAGAGTCATAGATTTTATTGAAGCTCCATAAATGTGGTAAGAAAAAAGTCCAGTGAGACAATGGTTTAACCCATTTCTCTAGTACCTTACCTTCTAAAAAATAGCAGTGTCCACTTAAATATTATTAACAGGCAAACATGTTTTTAAGAAAGATAGGCTGGGGTTGGGCGCCGTGGCTCAAGACTGTAATCCCAGCGCTTTGGGAGGCCGAGGCGGGTGGATCACAAGGTCAAGAGATGGAGACCATCCTGGTCAACATGGTGAAACCCCGTCTCTACTAAAAATACAAAAAATTAGCTGGATATGGTGGCACGTGCCTGTAATCCCAGCTACTCAGGAGGCTGAGGCAGGAGAATTACCTGATCCCAGGAGGTGGAGGTTGCGATGAGCCGAGATCGCGCCATTGCACTCCAGCCTGGGTAACAAAATGAAACTCCGTCTCAAAAAAATAAAAAAAGAAAGAAAGAAAGGCTGAGTGTGGTGGCTCATGCCTGTAATCTTAGGACTTTGAGAGGCCTAGGTAGGAGGATCACCTGAGCCCAGGAGATCGAGACCAATCTGGGCAATGTGGTCTATCTCTACAAAAAATAGGAAGCTGCTGGGCATGGTGTCACATACCTCTAATCTCAACTACTCGGAGGCTGCGATGGAGGAATCAATTGAGCCCAAGCGGTCAGCCTGGTGACAGAGGAAGATTCTATCTGAAAGAAAAAAGAAAAAAAAAAGAGAAAGACAGCCAGTCATATTGGTTGGCTTTGGTAAATCCTAAATTATATTTCACAGAACATAGTGATTTCTGCTGTCTGGAATGCCCCAAAAGATTTCTTTGCTCAAGTAACACTTGCAAAGATAGCCTTAGTAACAGTAAACCAAACAGGAAAACAGAATTATATGCTTCACAATGGTCTCAACACAGTGCAGACATTTGTGAACATTCCCACTTTTCCCCTTGATCATCAGTTGCAAGCACTTGTAGTCACCAAGGATAGTGCCGATAGTTCACCAACCCTGAAATTCTGATAGTACTGAAGTGTTAAATCTAATGTTAACTGATAAATACAATACTTACAAGTACAGAAAGAAAAGGACTGAATAGACCTATTAAAGAGAATATGAGGCAGATAATGTGGTATTTACAACAAGGGTTGGCAGATTATGGTCCACAGGCCCACTATGGTCTACTGCTCATTTTTAAATTGAGTTTTATTGGAATAGAACCATGCTTGTTCCTTTACATATAGCCTCTAGCTGCTTTCATGTATAATGGCAGAGTTGAGTAGTTGTGACAGAGACTCTGTGGCCTGCGAAGCTTAAAACATTTACTCTTGGGCCCTTTGTAGAAAGAGTTACAAAGTAAAGTTGCAGATGGGTACAAATTCTTTCTTAACACAAAATTACTATGGTTTTGAAATTCTTTCATCTTTCTTGCTCTACTGAATCTTCTGGATTGAAAGAGGTGACTCCAGTGACATCGGTGGGTTCCCCCTTGTTGATTGAGGTTGTTTAATGGTAAGGGTTTGGGCTGCATTCCTCGTCAGTGACCTCGCCAGTTCACCCTGACTCCTAATTATGGTTGTCATCTCAGCATCTCCATAAGCTCTGATGGTGGAGCTTCAGGTAGCCAAGGTCCCTGGATCCAGGTTATGCACTTCATCTAATTCCCCAAGGCTGCACTTCTCCCTGAATGGGCTTTAAATGTCTTTGGTCATTAAATATGTGGTTCAGAAGCCCTTGCAAGTAGCTCAGCCTAGGAAGTAGGTAAATACTCTAAAGATCTGGAAACTTGACAGATGCTAAGATACCGAAGGATGTTTTTCATCCAACTTGATGGATGCATGTGCCTTAGCACTATATGGCATTGAGGGAAACAGCAACACGAGTGTTTAATGTGTGCCACCTATGGAACAATGATTCTTTCTTTTTACTTCTGAAAACTGAAGTGGAGACCTGGATATCTGCCAGGCATGCTCCACTTTCTAGGTTTTTAAAACTCTTGCCCCAGTCTTTCACTGTGCTCTCAGCTACACCTGATTTGCACCTGCAGTTTATCTCAGCAACTTTCTTCAGAGGTTCCAAAGCATTCAACTTAGTTTTGAAAGAAGCAGAAACACTCTGCACATTCTGATTTCATCCACGGATGTTCTATTTAAGCTATACATAATTACCAGAAGTTCATGCATAAACAGTTGGGAAGCAGCCCAGTGACCCTACTGGTGAGAGAGAGGTACATGGGGTAGTGGAGCATAGCCTGTTGGCCCCGGGCATTCAGCAGGTGTGGAGAGAGCATCAGTTCATCAGTCGGCTGGGTCTAAGGCAGTCAAGAAAGCACCCATTGTGCTTTGGCCTGGGGTGGTGAGTGAGCTCTCCTTGGAAGCTATGGGTTTGAGTGAATCCCTGAATAGAGGGCAGGGAGAGAGGGTGTGCAGAATAGAAGGGAGGGGCTCAAATTCAAGGGTATGGATCGCACATACTTTGGAAACTACATGGAGAGAAAGGGAAAGCAGAGTTGAGGCTAGAATGGTAGGTCAGGGCAGACACTGAAAGCAGCGATGGTCCATGGGAAGAGAAATTCAGGGTGGAAGGCAGGGTGTGAGGTATGGCTTCTGCAAATGAGCACAGTCCCTTTCGGCTACTTGGGATTGGCAGAGGGGTCTGAGGAAGGGCAGGCAGGAGGGCCGGGGGATGGCAGGCTGGCAGTGCCGCTCACTGGCTCTGCCTCTCTCCGAGTCTCTGCCTCTTGCCGGCTCCTTGGCCTTGAGCCTTCACCCTTTAGGGCTTCAGATCTTTACCTGTGAAATGTGGATCCAAGAGTCTGTGCTGACCTGGCTTCACCCTTTGGACCTTCATGTTACAGTGGCCATGGATATTGGGGTCATTTTTCCATTACAGACAAAATGAACTTTCTACAACTGCCTGACCTCCTCAACATCCAGGTGGTCACCATCAACATCAAGAGACATCCGCTAGAAGCCTGGATGCCGCGAGTGTACCAGTCATCTGCAAGCCTCTTGGTCCAGAAGATGGTTCGGCACAGGCAAGTGAGATGGGGGCAGTTTTCTCTCGAGCTGCTTTAAAAACAGAGGAATCTGCTATGCCAATTCTACAGAATGTACTTTCTTTGAATTTGATGTTTCACAAAAGTGTATGGTTCAGAAGCCCTTGCATGTAGCTCAGCCTAGGAAGTAGGTGAATACTCCTTTTAGCTGACCATATCTTCTCTTTATCAAAGCCCTACATGGAGAGGCTCTCTTCTGTCAATCCCACTGTTGAACTCCAACATTGATCTATCAATGTGCTTCATGTGGTGGAGGTTGGCTTGTCCATGTGCAGCCTGAAGTGTTTGTCCCTGGAGTAGAGGCATCACAGAGAACACTGGGCTAGTCCCTCCTCAGTCTTGCCAGAGCCATGCCCAGCTTACCCAGCATTACCTGAGCCACTGCTCTGCCGGCCTTGGAGCTGAAAAGCTGAGTCGAGCCCAGCTGTCATGTTTTTCACCCATTTTCCCTCTGAACTTGGTGAGGAAGATGAATGTGCCAGTCTCCTGGAAGGCCTGTGTGTGTTAAGGGTAAAGAGGTTTTCAGAAGCTTTCTTAGTCAAGGATGTTAAGTTTCCAGGGGCGAGTAGTAGGGGTGTGACGATCCTGTGCTGAATCCTAACCTCCTCCCTGTTGCCTGATTCGGCTTTCATCGGATCCAGATGCTCTGTTCCCAAAAGGGCACTTGGAAAACTATGGCTTTCTTATTTCTCCTCACTCTATCTTCATTTTCTTCTTGGAGAGAAGGCCTGCATCAGGGGCAGCAGGAGGCAGGTGCATGTGAGGGCCCAGCCCCACTGGAAACTTCCATAGATGAGGAGTGTGTGTGGTGCCAGGAAACAGAACAGCCTCATGTTCCTCTCACTGAAATGTGGCATGATGTGATCTCTCTTTTCTTGTTTTTATTTTTTTCTCATGCCAGGATTTTTGTCTGGATTTTTGATGTCATCATTCTAATAAATGCCATATTCATTGCTCTGGATGAGAAAAAGCCCCTCATTTCCTATGCAGAATGGCTTTTCCTGTCTCTCTACATCATTGAGATCCTCCTGAAGCTGTACACGTATGAGCCCAGAGCCTATTTTGAAAAGAATCAGTTCTGGAACTGGTGAGATTGTGTTCTGGGGAGGGGAGAGGTGGCGTGGGGGCGAAAGGGGATTTCCTGCCACATTTTTGGAAATACGGCTGCCCTTCACCAAGCTCCATCTGTCCAGTTAGGAAGCATCTTATGAGATACTGAACCTCTGGTTCAGTAAAAACTGTTATTCGTGATGTCAGATTTAACTGACTTTAGTTAAAATTAGAATCACAGATTATGGCATCTTGAATTTGGAAAGGATCTTTTAAAAAAAGGAAAGCTAGGGAAAATGTGCACATTATACACCATGGAATACTATGCAGCCATAAAAAACAATGAGTTCATGTCCTTTGTAGGGACATGGATGAACCTGGAAAGCATCATTCTCAGCAAACTGATACAAGAACAGAAAATCAAACATTGCATGTTCTCACTCATAGGTGGGTGCTGAACAATGAGAACACATGGACACAGGGAGGGGAGCATCACACACTGAGGTCTGTCGGGGGGAACTAGGGAAGGGACAGCGGAGGGTGCGGTGTAGCGGAGGGTAACATGGGGAGAAATGCCAGATATAGGTGATGGGGAGGAAGGCAGCAAACCACCTTGCCATGTATGTACCTATGCAACAATCCTGCATGTTCTTCACATGTACCCCAAAACCTAAAAAGCAATAAAATAAAAATTTTAAAAAAGCAAAACATCCTCTTCTACTCTTTCACAGTATTTATGATACCAAATGTGTGCATTTTCTTCCTCACACACACCAATATCCCAACCCTATGGACACCAAATGTGTGTCCTACAAGTTAATCCAATTCCGACACTACCTATCTGGAGTTACTGTCAGATCCCATAAGTTGAGGCTCAGTCCCACGAGCCACCTGCACTTCAGACGCCAGGCACGAGCCAGCACTTCTGACTGAATAGCTATAAATCCGAGGTTCCCATTGTCTTTTTCTTGGGTTTGATAATTTGCTAAACAGCTCACAAAATTCAGGAACACAGTTTGCTTACTGGATTTCTGGTTTATTGTAAAAGGATACAACTCGGACATAGCTAATGGAAGAGATTATAGGGGCAAGGTATGGGGGAGGGATGCAGATCTTCCATGCCCTCTCCCTGCACACCACCTTCTCAGCACCTCCGCGTGTTCACCAACCCAGAAGTTCTCCCAACACCATCCTTGGGTGTTTTTATAGAGGTTTCATAATGTATGCATGATTGATTCTATCTCTGGTCATTGACAATCACCTCAACCTTTAGCTCCTCCCCTTCCATAAAGATTGGGAGTCAGGGAAGGGATGGAGCTGAAAGTCCCAACTGTCTAATCACATGGTAGTTCCCCTGGCAACAAACCCCATCCCTAAGGGCTTTCCAAAGGGACTTCATTAACCTAAACTCGGGTGGGGCTGAAAGGTGCTTGTTATGAATTACAAGATTCTCCTTTCACCTTTATGACTTTTTTATTCCTTTTGAGAAAGGGTCTTACTGGGTCACTCAGGCTGGAGTGTAGTGGTGTGATCTCAGCTCAGTGCAGCCTCAACCTTCCAGGCTGAAGCACTCCTCCCACCTTGGTCTCCCGAGTAGCTGGAACGACAGGCACACGCCACCATGCCTGGCTAATTTTTGTATTTTTTGCAGAGACAGGTTTTGCCATGTTGCCCAGGCTGGTCTTGAACTCTTCAACTCAAGCGATCCTCCCACTTCAGCCTCCTAAAATGCTGGGATTACAGGCATGAGCCACTGCACCCAGCCTACTTTTTTTAAAAATTTCAACTTTTATTTTAGATACTGGGGTACATGTGCAGGTTTGTTACATGGGTATAGTGCACTCAGGTAGTGAGCACGGTACCCAATAGGTAGTTTTTCAACCCACACCCTGCTCCATGGTTGTCCACGGAGTCTGTTGCTCCCATGTTTATGTCCATGTGTGCTCAATGTTTAGCTCCCACTTGTAAGTAAGAACATGCAGTATTTAGCTGTCTATTCCTGTATTAGTTCACTCCGGATTATGGCCTCTAGCTCCATCCATGCTGCTGCAAAGGACATGATTTCATCCTTCTTTATGGCTGCATAAAAGTCCATGGTATACTCTTATGACTTGGAAAATTACAAGGATTTTCAAGCTCTGGCCAGGAACTAAGTATACTGGTGAAGACTAAATATATATTTCTTATTATTGCAGTCCTAGAACATCATGCCCAACAAGGCAGTTCCTTCCTTGCTCCCTTGGCCCACTTACAATGAGCACTGTTAGTAAGCTCTTCCCTGGGTAGGGGATATATTTCCCTGTGGGCTATTTCTTTCCCAGACTGCCTACTCCCAGTCTGGAACCATCTTTCACATGCTGCAAATTGCCTGACTGTGTGTCAGGCCCTGTGGGACACAGAGACACAAATGCAGGCCTGACACTGCTCTAAGGGCCAGGAAACTATTATGGTGTGCATATGGCCAAAGGGGAACGGGTTAATATTGTCCAATACTTTGTTCTCCTTTGGCACAGTTGTTAGACAGAAGAGTAACAAGGTGATGAATTTCCTTTTCAATTAAAAAGTTACAATGTGTTTAGTAAAATTAATGCCAAGAAAGATTGTTCTGTGTATTCTGAAAATGTGTCAAGGTATTCTTACAGATTAGACTATTTTGGAAGATGATTACTATGATATGAATTAGCTGATTTCTACAGATGCCCGTGGGTGGCTCTTTGGAGCAGTCAAGGGATGCTCATTATGTTGCTCAAACAGTGTTTCTTGCTTCATATCCACCATCCTAAAAATGATGGAAATCAGTTTCATGGCTGAATCATTGCATTGCATATGATACTGGATTGGAAGTTTTCCCAGAATTCATCATGTCCTAAACCTGACAGGCCTTTCTCTTGATCCGACTTTGCTTTTGCACTGTTAGGTTTGACACACTGATCATCATTGCTGCCCTGGTGGCCACTGTGGCCAATGCCACCATTCAGTCAGGTTAGTGCCACCAGCTCTCAGCTTCACTACCTCCTGGGATGGGAATCCTGCATTCAATCTATTGAATGTTTCATCAGTCTGTCGAACACCCACTGTGTACTATTAATATGTTTGGAGAGAGGAAAAGGGGATGTAAGATAATTATTTAAAACATTGCATGTTCTTTGGACAATGGTGCCTTTGTTTGTGTTTAGCTATATTTTAGAGATTTTGTTTGTAAGCATCCATCACACCGAATGCTCACATGGTCATCTTTTTAAAGCCGGCCCCTGGCTTTGATGTACAGAAGTAGTTAGGGTGTCTGGGCAGCACTTCCTTCTTCATTGCTTACAGCCATTGTCTATCCTTGAAGTGAAGCTGCATCTTCCCTGGTACCCACAGAGCCACAGACCTCACTGCATAAAAGGAACAAGCCAAAAGCTCTGAGAAAATGGAATGTTAAATGACTGTGTTCCTTTTCCAGCCAGAGAATATAACAGTCAGCAGATACTGGATATTGTCTTGATATTGAGAATACTCCGGCTCCTCAGGGTCATCGTCAGCATTTGGAGGTAAAGCGGAAGTGGTGAGCAATGGCTGCACTTGAGGGGGTCCCACATTGGGCCTGGTGGAAAGCACTCTAGTCTGCTTACTATAAATGTGCCCAATTATGAATCCAGGATGTGCCCAATTATGAATCCAGGATGTAACTTGTTGGGGTTCTCTGGGGTGCCTGGTTGTGGGGAGGGAAGCCGATGAAGATGGGTAAGGAGCACCTGAAGGCAGGGATTGTGACAGTCAGTGTCATCCTTGTGACTGGCCTGAACTGTGCCTGCCTGCACGGTGACTAAATAAGAGTTATCATGATGCAGCTAGTGCTAACGCAAGCGTGCTAACCGTTTTCTTATTGAATCCTACCTATGAGCCCTGATCTCTCTAGTTTTATTATCCCTAGTTTGCAGGTGATGACACAAGCGCAGAGAGGTTAAGTAACTCTCCCCATAGTACACAGCTAGAAAGAGGCGGATCAGGATGCAAACCCAGGAGTCTGACCCCAAAGCCCAGGTAAACCCTGCCCTCAGTGTTTGATAGGCCAGAGTTCTTCCAGGGAGTGCTAGGGAGATGGCTGCCTCCGAGGACAGGCATACGCCTTTAGAAGGTGTTCAATTGTCAACATAAACCTCCAGGACAGCCTTAAACAGGTTGGATCTGGATGGAGGAAAAGGTGAGGGAGAAAAACAGATGAGGCTGAATCCTTTTCCTGCCTCAACACTGTGTCTTCCTGGTGAGTTTCTCTGGGACTACCTTTCTTGCTTTGGTCCAGCCTGCCTTGCTTTGCTTCAAGAGAAGCTGCCAGTTAACTCCCTGTTAACTTGCTGGATGGCCCAATGCTGACACAGCTACAAAGGCAAATTCCTGATGACATTTAAAGACCAGATTCAGGCCTGGAGAAAGGTGTGGAGGGGAACACGCCAGTGGGGTGTGAGCTTTACCTCCCACCTTCCCTTTTACCTTGTGTTGGTGACTTTGTTTTGCCCTAGATTCCGGGTTATAGTGACCACGCTAATCAACATCAGGCCCGTGATGCTGACATTTGGTGGACTTGTCTTTGTAAGTACCTGCTCTTGTTGCTACCTGATGTGACGAAAGCGGTGAGATACTCATTTGTGGCAACTCTCAGTAAGCCTCATTTTAAGGGAGAGGAAGAAAGGAAAAATAAATAAATGCAATGTATTGTTTCCAGTAGCCATTCTTAAGCAATATGAAGTTTCTAGAAACATTGGGCATATGCCAGTTAGGTACACTGGCTGCTGCAGTAAACACCAACAACCCAGTGGGCTGACCCAGTTGTAGTTTCTTTCTCACCCACAGTCCAGGTGGGTATTCCTGGCTAGCAGGTAAGCAGGTAGGTTCTTAAGGATATAGGTTTAAGAGCCAGCTTTCTTTCAGGGAATGCCAGTGAGAGTCTTCCTCGCCCCAGTGTGGAGAGGGCCCACCTGCTCCTTGAGGTCCCCAGTGGTGACAATGAGGCAGTAAAATGCTTGCACAGGGTCCAGGGCCCTCCCCCTCTGGGGTGGTTCCATGTGGATGTGGCGGAGGCTGCAACAGGGCACTTATTGTTTTTTCTATTGAAAATGGTAAAAAAAATTCCTTTAGCACAGAAGAATGAAAGGTCGATTGTAAATTGCCCATACCCACCCCCAACATGGCTCTTTCCCAGAGGCAACCATTATTAGGTGTTTCTTATTACTCTTCCTAAATATTTCAGCATATATGAGTCTATCCCATGCATGCCTATAGGTATCCAGTTTATCCTTAGTCAAGTGGGATAATGCATTCAAAATATTGTTGTACGACTTTCTTCTACTGAATACTTTTGTCCTGTTTTCCGGGAGGCGCATGCATGCAGGTAAGCTTTGCCATGATTAAACGTGTTCCATTGAGGGAAGAATGTGTCTGCCCAGCCCCGCTGCTGATAGGCCACTGAAGGGTCTCACCTTCTTGCCATCACAAATGATATAGTAAAGACTATCCTAGTGCATGCATCTTTGTGGGCTTATACGAGTTTATCTGTTGGATACATTCCCAGAAGTGGAACTGCTAGCCAAAGGTTAAATGGGTTCAAAATTTGGGTCTATAATGGCAACCTGCCTTCAAAAGACAAGCTCCCGTTTGCATTCCGGCCACAGTATACCACAGCATCTGTTTCTTTGCACCCATCACCACTGGGGGTTATTAAATGTTTCCATTTTTTTTTCCAGTCTGATCAGTGATGAAGCAGCATTGTATCATTTTTTACTGCATTTGTTTAGTTATTCATGAGGCTGAGCATATTTTCCATGTTCTTTTTGCCGTTTATGCTTCTTTTCCAGTAAACAGCCTGCTCTCATCCTTGTGCTGTTCTTCTGTTTAATTTTCAATACAATATGCCTTAGGCCTTTTAAGGAAATAGGCCCTTGGTAGGCTGTAAGAGCAATTATTTTTCCTTTTTTCTTGTCTGCCACCTTTTTTTCCTTTTTGACATAAAGGCTTTTTGTTTTGGTTTGGTTTTGGGGTATATAAAAGTTTAGATTTATTGTATATATCATACTTGTCAATCTTTATAGTTTCTAGGTTTTAAATCATGCCCAATAAGGTCTTTTTCTTTTTCTTTTTTTTTTTTCTTTTTTTATGAGATGGAGTTTTGCTCTGTCGCCCAGGCTGCAGTGCAACAGCATGATCTCCACTCACCACAACCACCACCTCCTGGATTCAAGCGATTCTCCTGCCTCAGCCTTGAGACTAGCTGGGATTACAGGCACGCACCACCACGCCTGGCTAAGTTTTAGTATTTTTAATAGAGACAGGTTTTCAGCATATTGGCTAGGCTGGTCTTGAACTCCTGACTTCATGATCTGACTGCCTTGGCCTTTCAAAGTTCTGGGATTACAGGCGTGAGCCACTGGGCCTGACCTGGTCTTTTTCTACTCAATTTTTAAAAAATAATACATGTATGGGGTTTTTGGTGTGTTTACATCTAACTCTTTGGTTATTTATTTTGAAATTTATTTTTTAATATAAAGAACAAAGTAAAGATTGACCTTTATTACTTTTTTTTTCCTAGCGGACTATTACTTTTTGAATGTTTGACCCACTAACTTGCTAGGAGCTTCGTTTTTGATTTTGTAAATGAACCCTGGGGAGGTCAAGGTGTGGCCCAGCAGGCCATGTCCTCTGTCCCTCTGCAAATGGTTCAGGCTTCCTAGCAGACTAGCCGAGTAGCTAACCCCTGCCACCCCCTTCTGGCTGCTTGGAACTCCTGACTGGTGAGGGTGACCCTCCCTGGGAATACACCAGCAGTGCCCTTTCTGCCAGGCCCTGGAGCATGACTGGCTGGGCCTACAGTTCTTCCCATTGCTTCTGCCCACTCCTCTGCAGCCTTGAGGGCCTGCTGATGACCCAGTGTCTCCCCTCCTAGGTGGTCTACTATGTCTTTGCCATTGTCGGGATGGAAGTGTTCCATGGCAAAGTTCGGTTCTTTAATCTGAATTTCACTGCTCCTGACGCTCTGGTGTGTGGGAACCCAGCCTTACAGGGCTCTGCATTTGCCCGAGGCAGATACTGCAAGAACAACTTCAATGACTTGGCCTCTGCATTCACTGTGCTGATGGAGCTCACAGTGGTTAACCAGTGGCACGATATCCTTTCTGAGAAGGTGGAGATCTGTGGGACAGTCTGCATCCTGTGGTGAGGTGGGTTACTGCAGAAGAGGATTACCTCTTGGCCTCTTGGAGCTCAGGGGACCCATGGAGTTTCTCAAAGGTCTTGTTCCTTAACTTCCTACTCCTTGCGAACGGCTTTGCCCTGGTGACTCACCAGGCTGCAAAGCTATACTTCATCTTGTTCCACATAGTGGTCGTCATCCTCATTGTTAAGTGAGTTTCCTCCAGCCGCACTGAGAATTTCACATTTCCTTCTTCAGCACGGCTAAGGGACCATCCTCTTCTCCTGTCCCACCCTGGTTAGGTTGGGTGGGCTGCATCTTCCCAATGGGTGCTAAGCTGTTGGAGGGAAGGGTCTTCCTTTTGTTCATCTCTGTGTTCCTCATGGTGTCACCAGCACGTCACACATCTTCATGGAACAGGCATCTCAGAGCCTCCCAAGTAGTGTGGGCCAGAAGGAAACTGAGGCCTGGCTAGTCTACCTACCCTTCCCCACTAAGATCGATTCATCTCTGGAACATGCCCTCTGAGTTGCTGTCCAGCCTCCACTGAAATCCAGCCAACCACTGGGACTCTCGGAGAGCCAAAGGAGTCAGTTCCTTTGTCATCCTGCTCTGATACTTAGCACACCCACAGGTAGAGGGAAAATGCGCCCCCAGTGAGTTCCAGTAGAAGGGACCCCAGGTGAGTTTTAGTGGAAGGGAAATATATCCCCAGGTGAATTCTAGAGGAAGGGATATTTGCCCCCTGGTAAATTCTAGAAGGGAAATGTGTCTCCTGCTGAATTCTAGTAGAAGGGATCCCTGGTTAATTCTAGTGGAAGGGAATGTGTCCCCTGGTGAATTCTTGTTGTTGTTTTGTTTTTTTGAGATAGCGTCTCACTCTGTTGCCCAAGCTGGAGTGCATTGGCATGTTCTCTGCTCACTGCAACCTCCCCCACCTTGGTTCAAGCAATTCTCCTGTCTCAGCCTCCCAAGTAGCTGGGATTACAGGTGCTCATCACCACTCCTGGCTAATTTTTGTATTTTTAGTAGAAACTGGCTGGTCCGGTACTCCTGACCTCAGGTGATCTGCCCGCCTCAGCCTCCCAAAGTGCTGGGATTACAGGCATGAGCCACCACTCTTGGCCTCCCCTGGTGAATTCTAGTGGAAAGGAAATGTGCCCCCTGGTGGGTTCTAGTGGAAGGGAAATGTGCCCCCAGGTAGATTTTTCTCATTGGTCCCAGTTCTGTCCTTACCTGTTTTCCATGGGAAACTCGGTAAGCATTTGAAAGCTGCTATGACATGTTCCCTTTCAAAAGGGCTCTCCTTTCTGTTATAATCTGTGACTCCAGAGGTCTGCATTTGAGTACCTGTGATCATTGTGATTCTTTTGCATGGGTGTTTTCTGGTCATCAGGATCCCCTCAAAGCTGGAGCTGGAGCTCTTAAAAAGGCTGTGAGGAATTTTTCTTTTCTTTTTAAATTTGTTTTTATAGAGATGAGGTGTCACTATGTTGCCCAGGCTAGTCTCAAACTCCTGGGCTTAAGCAAGCATCCCCCCTCAGCCTCCCAAAGTGCTGGAATTACAGGTGTGAGCCATTGCGCCTGGCCAGATATTTTTGACTGCCCTCCAAAAAGCCTGTGAGTGCTGTGACAGCCCTGGGATATGTCATCATTACTGTCAAGTTAGGAACGTGAAGCTCTGAGATTTACTGGCAAGCCAACAGGTTCATTTGCCATGCACATACTAAGAGAAAACACCAGATCTTGGGTCAGAGACAAAGCTGCTCTGTTATTCATGGCAGGAGGAGCAGCCCAGGCAGCACTGTCTATCAGTTTCCTGGACCCTAATTCCACAGGCCAGTGCAGTGAGGACCAGATGGAGTGGCTGGGGTGCAGCAGGGGACTCCAGACTTAGGAAACTGATCTCATATAGGGCTGCTGGTGATCTGCCCATCCTCCTTGCTGAGGCGAGAGAAAGAGGAGAAGAAGGAGCAAGAGAGAGAAAAACTGACTTTATCTTTACTTCTCCTGGGAGAGAAAGTACGATCTTTATCTTTGCTGCCTTGGACTGTCCATGAGGAGGGTGCCCTCTCTCTGCATCACTCTCCTGAAACATCTCTATATGGACACATTTCTAAACTGGCTCTAGAAGTCTTTGGGCAGAGGATCCAGTCTCCACAGACACCTGAGACATTCATGGAGAATTGTCTCCCAACAATTATTTGGCCTAATATTCCCTTCAAATAAAATGTATTTTCCTCCTGATATTTATTGTTTAAATAGGATGTAAAGGAAGAATGAGCCTCTGGATGAACGGGAGTTGTGTCTAGTCCTTGGGAGATGCTTTGTTGCTTGTCATTTCTCCCTCCTGCCATGCATTTTATCTGCAGCAGTAGGCTGCCCTTGTACATGGGCTCAAGTGCTCTTTGGAGCCAGGATTCCTTGTCACCTAGACCATGGCTGTTCAACCTAACCCCCTCTTACCTCTTCCTCTTCCTCCTCCTCCTCAGTATTTTCATAGCATTTGCCTTGGAGGCATTCTTTGTGGCATATTCATTAGAAAAAAGTGAAGTGGAAACTGCTATTGAGAAGAAGATTCAAGAGCTCGGAGTGGGAATCCAAGAGTAAGTAGTGCGTCTCCCTGGGTGGCCCTCAGACTTAGAGGTGGGCTGCACTCAAAGACCTTGCCGTGTTTAACCTGCCAGTGCCTAATGGCACCCAGCCTGGCCCCGTGTGCCTGTTGTCGAGGGCCTCTCTAGATGAGTGCTCTGGGTGTACCTGGACACAGACCACCAGGCCATGCCTGGGAGACCACATGAGGAACTTGGCTGAGGGACCTGACCACATTTCTGTTGCCTCTTCCTCCTTGAAGGGAAGAACTTCAAGATGGGAAGCTCACTGATCACGTGGACACCAAGGACCATGGCCTTCATGGGGATGATGGAGACAACAAAAGGAAAGCTTTGAAAGGACTGTACTGCAGAATTGCATCAAAAAGTAAGTTTCAATCTGATGCAAAAATACAATTGATCTTCTCCCAATCTGTCCTCACAGCAGCCAGTGTGGTGTTTCTACAATGCAGATCTGACCCTCAGTGGCTTCCTAATCTTCAAGGATAAAGATGAGGCCCCTCACCATGGCCCTGGTCATCACTGCACCTGGCTTCTCTCAGCATCCTAGCCCCTCTCCCTTCCCACCAGCCCACCACACATGCTGCTCCTCAGCCCTGCAGGCCTTTCAGCCCCTCAGCTCCCCTGCTCCATCCTACCCCCAGGGCCTCTGCAGCTGCCACTTTCTCCTTGAGTTCACTCTTACTTCACTTTGAGGAGTTGAGATCCCTCATCCTTCAGGCCTCTGCTCAGGCAGCCCTTCCTCAAGGAAGCCCCCGGGTGTTTCTGAGAAAGTCAAGTGCTCTGTGGTTCCCAACTCTTCTTCCCTCCTCTCTGCACATGCCAGCAGGACACACATTGCTGAGTGACTGTTTTGATCACCATCTGTCTTCCTTGCAGATTCCACATGGGTAGAAAGCCCCACGTGGGTGGGGTCATGTCTTTTGATTCTTCATGTCCTTAACCATGGCCCTGGGACAGAGAAGCCTTTAACAACCATTCCATTTACTTGCTTCATTAATTCTCAATGAATAAAATTGGCTGAGTAAACCAAAGCCAGTCTGCATCTCAGTTTGGGTCTAGAAGGCAAATGTACCCCCTGATGGGTTCCAGTGGGAGGGAAATGTACCCCGTGATGGGTTCTGGCAGGAGGGAAATGCCCTCCCTGGTGGGTTCCTGTGGGAGGGAAATGTGCCCCCAGGTAAATTTTACTCATTGGTCCCAGTTCTATCCTGACCTTTTTTTCATGAGAGAACTCAGTAAGCATTTGAAAGTTGCTATGAAGTCTTACCTCTCAAAATGGGTCTCCTTCCAGTAGAATATGTGACTTCAGCACCCTGGCTCCTCACGTGGCTTGCATTTGAGTATCTGTGATCATTGTGATTCTCTTGCATGGATGTTTTCTGGTTATCAGGACTCCTCTGAGAGCTGGGGCTGGGGTTCTTAAAAAGGCTGTCTGGAGTTTTTCTTTTCTTTTTAAGATTTTTTTGTAGAGGCTGGTCCGAGTGCAGTGGTATTTACAACTAATTGATCACAACCAGTTACAGATTTCTTTGTTCCTTCTCCACTCCCACTGCTTCACTTGACTAGCCTTTAAAAAATAAAAATAAAAAATAAAAAGATTTTTTGTAGAGATGAGCTCTCGTTATGTTGCCCAGGCTAGTCTCAAACTTCCTGGGCTAAAGTGATCCTCCCATCTCTCCCTCCCAAACTGCTGGAAGGAATTCCAGGTGTGAGCCGAGGCACCCTACGATAAGCCCAGCCTGAAGATGACAGCCCAGACTGCAGGAGTGGTGTTAGCATGCAGCCCCTAAGGGTGGCTGTTCTCCCCCAGCCTCCTAGAAGCACGTTCTCCTTTGTGTTCAGCACCTTCAGTGGTGGGGGAGCTCTGTGGGGGTCAGCACCGGGATGGATGGGTGATTTTTTGCTTTCAAGAAGTATTTGGTTACTGTGTGCAGAGCCTTGTCTTTGACTCGGGGCCATCCTTCAGAAAAGCCTTGACTTGCAAGGCTTGGTGCTCCCCAGGACCCCAGCACATCTGGATTCCATGTGCCTTTTTTTGGTGACAGTTTCGCTCTTGTTGTCCAGGCTGGAGGCATGATCTCAGCTCACTGCAACCTCCACCTTCTGGGTCAAGCAATTCTCCTGTGTCAGCATCCCAAGTAGCTGGGATTACAGGCACCCACCACCATGCTCAGCTAACTTTTGTGTTTTTAGTAGAGATGGGTTTCATCATGTTGGCCAGGCTGGTCTGGAACTCCTGACATCACGTGATCCACCCGCTCAGCCTCCCAAAATGCTGGGATTACAGATGTGAGCCACCGCACCCTGCCCATATGCTTCTTTCTCCTTCCTCCTAGAATACAGGACTGTGGATACCTTGCTGCAGCAGATGTTCGAGTCTGAAATTGCTCCTGAGGATGAAGGCCCTTCCTTGGATGAGATTCTGAACTTCTCACCCAGTGACATATGTCCCAAGAATCCCAATTTTGAAAACAGTGCATGATCTTGGTCTTGGAAGGGTCCACAACTAGAAACCGAGATAAGCTGTCACCTCTTTGCATGTGCTATCTGGAGGTGATGTTTCTGGCCTAGGCTCCCTTCTGTGTTCTGATGAGCTTGTGAATAGGCCTCGCCTGGCCTGCCCTGAGTGGTCAGCTGAATGGTGTGGAAAGGCTGCACAGGTGGACCCCCCACTGAGGATTGTTCTTATGTTTGCTTATGGCCATAAGGCAAGAAAAATTGTTGAAGAGATTGTAAAGAGCACTTGTACACATATATGTACACATGTAGTCTTTTCAGTGAGTCTATAAAAGCTTTTCATTTATTTTTATATGGTATTTTGCTATGCTATTAATCTAATCCTGTGCTACATTATTACATAAATGAATATGAATATTTAAATATGATAAAGGAATATGTTATAGTACAGTAGCTTTTAAAGACAGTGCTTATTCAAAATGAAGAAAAATATGAATGTGGAAATATAATTGTCACAACTGCTTCTCTATTTTGGGAACAGGGGTGTGCTCTCAAAGCTTCTTTAACAGAATTACAATGATGACAAGATTTTGAAACACTTGCTTTTTTTTTTTTAGATACTGAAATATCATTGTTAATTTTCTGCCTCAATGATGTGTCCGATACTGTCAGTGGAGTATTGAAGTTTTCCACTATTATTGTATGGAAGTCTAAGTCTCTTTGCTTTATGAATCAGTGCTCCTATGTTGGGTGTATATATATTTATGATAGTTAAGTCTTTTGTTGAATTGAACCTTTACGTTTATGTAATGACCTTTTTTGTCTTTTTTTTTTTTTTTGATGGTTTAAAGTCTGTTTTGCCTGAAGTTAGGATTACAACCCTTGCTTTTTCTCATGCATATTCCATTTGCTTGGTATATTTTCCTCCATTGCTTCATTTTAAAGCCTATGGGTGTCACTGTATGTGAGATGAGTCTCTTGAAGACTATATTATTTGGGTCTTGCTTTATTATCCAGCTGGCCATTTTATGCCTTTTAAAAGGGGCATTTAGTTCATTTAAGTCAAGGTTAGTATTATATGTGCAAATTTGATCCTGCCATTTGTGTTGTTAGCTGGTTGTTGTGCCAGCTTGTTTACATGGTAGCATTATAGTGTCACTGTTCTGTGTCTGTGTGTGTGTGTGTGTGTGTGTTTTTTTTAAAGAAGAAAAGAAAGAGAAAAAAAGGAGTGAAGGAGAAGAAGAAAGAGGAAGAAAAAGAGGGAGAGAAAACAGGAATATTGCTTTATTCTAAAAAAATGGATATTCTTTAATAATAGCTGATCAATATTTTGTGTATTTAAAGTGAAGAACGTATATTTTGTGTATTTAAAATGCAAATGCATCTTCTGGGAACTTAAAAGGGATTTATTTTATTTTTACAACTTTTCATTAAGGTTAAGTAAACACAGTGTAACCCTTCCCATCTTAAGCATGTCTAAGTGCTAAGTACACTCACATTGTTGTACAGCCACCATCCATCTCAGGACTCTTCATCTTGCAAAACTGAAACCTTATCCCCATGAAACAACTCCCATCTTCCCTTCCCCAAAGCTCCTGGCACCCATCTTTCTATTTTCCATCTCTAAGGGTTTGGCTATACCAGGTCGCCATGGCATCTTGAGCACACAGGATTCTCTGCAGAGTTGGCAATGTGCCCCTCATTCTCCTGTGCCTTGTCATGGGCCACCACATCAGGCAGGGGCATCAGTGGGAGTGTGTTCCCATGAACTGAGGTTTCAATGCAGTGAGACCTGAGATGTGTGGCATTGGCAACTGAAGCTAGTGTGGGAGGGACATTTTTTTCTTTGATTCTGAGAGTGGCCTCTAGGCTGTCCTGCAGGAGCAAAGCCAAGGACTTTGGGGCATGGATTCTGCGGCCAGACTCTCATTTCACACCTGGCTCTCCATCAGCCATACCTCTCTGTGGCCCTTTTACTCATCTGCAAATGCCAAATAGTACCTCCTCCCAGGACTGCGGGAGTCGGTGGCGGGGCCTGGAGCAAGAGGGCAGGGCTGATGCTGACTCAGTGCTGGCTTCCGTCAGCACTGTGGCAGAGTGTACTCTGACAAGTTTGTTTTCCTGCCTTAAAACCACGCCTGGCATTTGCAGTGTTGCTCTAGACTCCCACTGCCACCAGGATTTGGGAGCTGGGGTCTCGCTGACCCAGCCCACGTTAAGCATGTCTAAGTGCTAAGTACACTCACATCGTTGTACAACCACCATCCATCTCAGGACTCTTCATCTTGCAAAACTGAAATGCTATCCCCATGAAACAAAGCTTCCCTTCCCCAAAGCTCCTGGCACCCATCTTTCTATTTTCCATTTCTAAGAGTTTGGCTATACATGGTCGCCATGTGGAGTCCTGGCACCCTTGTGACTGTTCTTTTATTTCTTTGTGTATATATATCTATTACTATGTAAAGTATTATACTAAATGTATTGAGTTACAATGTAATCCTTTTGAATGTTAGATATGGCTGGCATTTCTGTTTTAATTAGCCAATAATGCATAGACATTTAAAGAATTCAATTCGGAACCTGAGTAAGAAGCTGAAAGTTGCTCCTTATTACTCCCCCTCACACGCCCCCTACTCAGTCGCACACACCTTTTCCAGGGGTGCCTGCTGAGTGTGCTGTTTATCCTTCTGGAATGGAATCTGACCACAGTCATGCGTATTAGATATATTAATATATAATTGCATTTCTAAATCCTAAGTAGGATATCATGACGTATTTCTTATGTTTCGTTCCACGACCTGCTGTTTCCGTCATCACTTTGTTTCATGTAGGTTCATACACACGCACACCGTGCTGAGTATTCCGTCCTATCAACGTCTCAGATTTCTTCAAGAATTCACCCATTCGTGGACCTACACGCTGTTCCCTGTGTTTACCATTAAAGAGCAAGGGAGTAAACTTTGCTACATAAACGCTCTTGCTGCCTTAGCCCTTCGGGGAGAGCCAGGAGTTGGCCTTGCTGGAACTTTTTCTCTAGAAACCTGTTCTCCTGGTGTCATCCCGACGACAGGAAGGGCAGGAGGGAAACGCAGAGAAGTGGTGGCGGGGCTTGCCGCCTCTCCAGAATTTTCTGATGCCCTTCCATTTTGGCACACGGACTCCCAGCCGTGCCCTCCGTTTGGTAGGGGCCAGGGACAATTAAGGTTGTGTTTGCACCGTGGGCTATGAGCAAGTCTTGCCCTTAGAACAGTCCCCACTGCCTTCCACTCCTCCCCGCCTGGAAACAGCAACGAGGAAAAAGCAGTACCTCGTAGAAGACTCCTGTGAGGACCGCGGATTGGTGCGAATAGGGGATCGCCCAGCCCGACTGCCTTGGGAGAAAAGTCACTGCTGCCTTCTCCCAGCCCCGTGCCGGCGCGCGGTTGTCACAGCAGCTTAGGCTGAGATAGCCTAACCAATCCTGAAGTGGGTTTTTCTGAAACATCCGGAATGGAACCAACGAGACACATGGCTGGACTTGTATGAGGGAAAGGAAATCCAAGGACCCCGTAGCTCCTAGGATCAGTGGCAGAGAAAGATGTGGAGCGACAGCTTTTCAGGTGTACCAAACACCCAGCTGCCTAAGAGCTCTGATTTCAATTGGGAATGGCAATTTAAAACACAAAAAGCCAAAAGCCATTTAAAACTAGAAATCAGAGCACAAAGCAAAATTTAAAAAACTTCACAGCAACAGAAATCTTACTAGTGAAAAGATAGATGACAAATTGGGACAAATACTTTTGCCTCATATACAAAGGATTCCTACAAATTAACAAGAAAAAGAACTATCTAAATGAAAAATGGGCAAAGGATGAGGTTCACAGGAAAAGAAAACACATACAGCTTTTACAAAGTATATTTGGCCTAAATTCGTAAGAGAAATGCAAATTAAGACTGTAAAGAGATACTATTTTCTCATCAATCAGATTGGCAAAAGTCAAAGAGCCTGATCTGTCCTGATGAGAGTGTGAGCAACAAAGACACTTACAGATATCTGACACAACTCCCATGGGAGGCTATTTGCAGATATTAATACAAAAGTTTGAATGCACTCACCTTTGACCTAGTAATTTCACTTCTAGGCATTTATATGACAGATATTCCAAATAACCAACTAATACGTGACTGTTAAAAAGTATGAGGTCATTCCATATGTAGTTATATTGTTGCCACACATTAAGTGAAAAAAATAAGCAGAATTATGCCAGTTGCTTCAAAAATACAGTATATAAAAATATTCATTGCATCATTTCTGGATTCACAAAAAATGGGGTGTGATTGCCTCTGGAATGGGGAACCTGATAGCTGATAAGGGTAGGAGGAAGCAGTTCACTCTGTCCTCCTGAATTGTGCATAACCTGAGATTTTTTATTGTAATGCTAAGGGAACAAGGGAGAGGGATGGAGGCCCTTGCAGCTCTGAAAGTCAATAAATGCCAAGTTGTCTTCTATAATTCTAGAGATGATTAATTAATGATCTATACAGCTTATAAGAGAGACTTTTTATGACCTGAGATTTTCCTTTGGTACTTTTAAAAAATAGGCTTAGGATTTGTATTTCATAGAGAACAATGAAGAACAGGTATAATAAAGGACAGGCACTTTATTCAGAAAAACTTGAAGTCCCTTGGAAATAGTAGGGATATGTGTGTATGTGTGTGTGTGTGTCTTACACAGACATAAAATTTCAAATTTGAAAAATAGCTGTCTTGGCCCTTTTGTGGCTTAAACAGGTCAGTGTTTAAAAAGTAATTTCTAGAGAATGTTCACATCTGAATTATTCTCACAAATGCTTGCATCCCAGAAGTAGCCAAATCAGCCTGCTACACAGGGCCTTGTGGGGTTGTGTATTTTGCTGAAATATTTATAACAACTAAGTCACATGCACATATTCTATGGGATTTATTTTTAACAAACATGTACATAAACAATAAATGGAAAAAATCAAGGTTCAAAATGAGCAGATTTATATTTACAGTGTGTTTTTTAAGGATTGTCTATATCCAATTTTTATTTCCGTGAACGCATACATTCTAAGAGCAGTCCAATTAGCCTATTACGTAGAGCCCTAATCTTGTTAGTATAGTGTTGCTGAAATATTTTCTTCAGCTTTTGCCTTAACAAATCCAAAGATGGAAGATGATGACAATCCGGAATATTCAACATGATGTGAAAAAATTCATTCCACATATCCAAATGAGGAAGCCTGAAAGAGACAAAGCATAAATAATGGATAAAATGTAGCCTTCAACATGAGGGATAACCCCACCCCGGCATCTGACTTCCAGAGGCTTAATATAACAACTCTCCCCTAAATGGAACGCAATGCAGCAAAAATGGAAACATTGAATCTATTACATACAAGAGAGATTAAAGACTCAATTAAATGTCTTATAAATCTTATTCCAAAAAATAATTAAGATACGTAATCTTATAGTAATACTGCAAGTCAAAAAATGTTCTTGATCTCTATTAGAAAAAAAAGCCAAACTAATTCTGGCTAGCTGTACATACCATGCTGCCAGAATTGGATAATCTGGCCAAATGCTTCTGTCAAGGCTAACTGCATATGCACCAGGACCAAGTAGACTGGCTGGGCTGCCCAGGAAATAGCTTAGAGTTAAGAGTTCCAACTACTATTAAGTGTTTAAGTTAACTAAAAACTTCAGAACATGGAGGTAAGAGGTGGGAGAGAAAGAATGAAACGGAATTGTGCTCCAGACAGAAAATGCCATCAGGCCTGCTGAGGGTTAACTTCCGGCTCTTCTTCACACTGATAGTCAGAGATGAAACTATCTGATTCTTTAATTTTGAGCCAAAGATGGAATAAAGTATTTGCTAAACATGAGGGCTCATTATCCAAAATAAAGAATAGTTGTTATAAGCTTTCCTCTAGGGCCTGAACCTAACTTTATTTATATACAGAATATGACATTTCATAAAATTATTGCTAACTACTTTTCTTTTTTTGAGGGGGCTGGGGGAGATGAGGTTTACAGGAACCCCATCTTACATTTTCTCAAGAAGGTATAAACATATGTAGAAGTCCATTAGGCTGAAAACTTAAGATGAGTGTACTTTTCCCCATGTTTTTATGCCTCAAAAAAGAAAGTACAAGTGATATAATGAATATTCAGGCACCAAATACCCAGCTTAAACAAAACAGCTTATTCCAACAGTTTGTTCACACATTGTGTTAGGAGGGCCATCCAGGTTGACAGGAAGAGCTCTTGACTAATCATGAATTTTCACTGTGATATACAGACAAAAAAAACAATATTTGAGAAACTCAAGTCACACAGAGCTGGGACCTAAAACCCTGTCCTGTGAATGAGATCTACCCATCATATTACTTTATAATTTATGAAGCACTTCCACATACACTATTTCCTTTGCTTCTTACAAATATCTGAGAAAAGTAGGATCGGTATTTCCGAAGACCAAAAAAAAGTGAAAACCTGAGGGCTGGTAATATTAGGTGATTCCTCTATAAGGAGTAGAAACTTTGCATTTGTACAGGATGTCAACCATTTGGCCAGGAGCTTTCAGTGAGGGCATCAGCTGCCCCAATGGGGAGACAGAGCGGTAAAGCTATGCAACTTGCTCCCTGTGCCCAGTGCCCAGGACTGCCCTGACAGCATACTACCTAAGGCACAGGATTTCCATGCAGTAGCAGAGATCCTTTTTTTTTCCAAATGGAACCCAACATTCTATTATAGTTATTATCTTTTCACTATAGCACCAATGTTAATACTCACCTTCTAAAAAGACCTTCAGGCTTCCACACTCCTCCTTCATTTTTCACTTTCATGTAAGTGCCGAAGAGCATGCAATATACTGTTGCAGCAACCCCAAAGTAATCGCTCTATAAAGAAGATAGAGGTACATATGACTTAAATAGTAATTTACACATGAACTATATTAAGATGTCTAACTTAAGAAGCAAGTTAAATATTCACAGGATTTTACTTTTAAAACATTTTGGAAGCCATTTGTTCAACCACTCTACTAACATGTCCTACTAAACATCTAGGCTTTGCTGGAGGCTTCCACAGACAGCAGACTACCTTCTACCTCCCGAGGTTTTGGAAAACTGCCCTCCTGAGCTACCATTTCCTTCTCAAGTCCTTCATTCTGTCACACAGGGGGCAAATACAACACTCTAAGCCCTCTTCCCCATGGACAGCCTAGAAGTCCTCCCAGCTCACTCCCCTGGGACTCTGGTTGTAGTTCTCTGACTCGCCCCCATGCCCTCCTGCTGTGTGGTATGTTCATAACTGAAAAGAACACTCCAGCCCCACCCACAGCCACAGGACAGAAGAAATGAGATCCCCCCCCCCCAACCAACACCAATCTTGGCCCCCTTTACCATGGGTTCCTGAAAAGACACAGTTCTCACCAGAGAACTTGGCGGTTGGTTTTGTTAACCGAGGTTCAAAACTTTTTATTTATCCCAAGTAGCATTCCCCTTCCTGGTCATCTAATATTCTATCTAGTTGGTTGAAAATTCTGCAATTTTCCTTTAGAATAATAATGATTCATTTCTGGATCTGGCTAGTTGGAAATCTGGCTGTACCATCTATTACAGTCAAACCCACCATCCTGCCTGAGAGCATCCCAGGTGTATCCAACACGTGCTCAACTCTGCCTGAAGTGGGCATGCTGGGTCTCCCTGTTATCCCTGATTTAGGAAACCAACCTGGTCTGATTTGATCTCAAAAAACCAAGCTGTCTCTTTGCTGCATGACTTCCTTTCTGAAGGGTTCACAAATCATTAAATGCTCTTCCCTATGATCAAACTCACAGAATACATCGGTTTCCCTTTCCTGATAACAGGATCTATAATGGACTAATAAGAAAGTATTCTTTGGGAATAGAATTCTATCCTGCCACCTTTGTCTTAGCCTCATCTCTCCTTCAACTGATCCTCAAAAGACCACCTCAAACTATCTAGATCCCCATTTCATTTTGAAAATCTGATAAGCACAACACAGAAAAATATTTCCAAATCCCTCACTTGAGTTCTATACCTGGTAGTTCCATGGTTTGTTACTGAGCATCTCAACACACTGAAAACCAGATGTGTTACATTTTGCTGTGAATGCAGTTCCTTTTGGAAAAAGTTTCATATCTATACTCTGACCCAGGTCAATCAGTGCCAAGCCAGCAGATAAATCATCTTCATCATCCTGTTCCAAAAATCTACATTAAACACAAACAAAGCCAGGCTGCATGAGCACATATGATGAAAGGCTGCTATGGAAATAGGAAGAGAAGAATCCTGTTAAAAGCGTAACACTTGCCTGTTTCCAAGTATGAAATTGTCTGGCTTAATGTCTCCATGAATGATTTCACAGTCATGCACTTGCTCAATCATGTAAAGCATTCTCATAGCAAAAGAGATAACGAGACCTTGAGGCATCACTTTTTCAGGGGTATTTTTATAGAGGTTAATGGCATTCTAGGAATAATGGAAAGTGGAATCCCGAGTTAGCTGTACAGGATTAATAAAATTTCAAGTTGAGAGCTTTGCCCCCCCGCCACCACTTCACAAAAGCCGCAACCACAAAAGTACGTGCAAGGTACAAGCCAAACAATGCATTTCAAATTTATGTGCTCATCATGAAAATGAATACTTACTAATAATGTTCCATAGCTGTAGAGCTCTCCTACTAATATACTGCCATTCTGGAATAAGTGAGCAGAATAGAACTTGATAACCATGTGATGCATAGTTGGCTTTAGTCTCTCCATCAGCTGAGTTCCAATGTAGAATTCCCAGGGGTTAGCAGGCTTCTGGACCTGCAAATCAGGTATGTGAAATTCATATCCATTCTCACATTCTGAAAAGTGATAGCAATAAAACAACCTCTATCCCAATAAAGATGTGGTGTTCACAGTGATGACAAGCTATGAACTGTTGCTGCAATGTGGGCTTGCTGCAAGGCAATTTTAGAGGGAAAAAAATTCTGAATCTTTTGTAGTTTTTGTCTTTTAATTGCCAACTACAGACATAAATGAAACTGCTATCTTAAAGGAAAAAAAAAGATGGGCAAACTCAAGTTCCAAAATTCATTTCTATACCACAAAAGACAACTTAGGTCATTTACCTTTAAAACAAATTTCTGTTTATTTTTAGCATCATTCACCTCTCCCTGGGTAGCTTCATACACCTGAGCAAAGGCTCCTTCTCCAAGAAGGTGATGGACATAGATCAGCTCAGAACCTTAGAAGATAAATGAAAATTTTCATGTATGTAAGCCTTTTAAATAGTTTTCAATTTACAGAGAAGTTACAGAAATAGAGTTTTCTGTATATTTTGCATCCACTGCCTGCAATTGTAAACACTTACATAACCATGGTATATTTGCCACAAACAAAAAACTGATCAACCAAAGTATTATGCTCCTATTAACTAAACTCTACATTTTACCCACATTTCACTAGTTTTTGCCTATGTTCTAGGATACGTCATGTTTAGTCATCATGTCCACAGCCTCTCTGGGCTGTGACAGTTTCTCAGATAATCCTTGTTTTTGATGACCCTGACAGTTCCAAAAAGTACTGGTCAAGTTTGTTGTAGAACGGCCCTCAAATTGGGTTTGTTTGATATTTTTCTTGTGGTTACCTTGGAGTTATTGGGTTTTGGGGGAAAGCCCACAGAGGTGAAGTTGTAGTCATTTTTTGTTTGTTCTTTAGAGACAGAGTCTTGCTGTTGCCCAGGCTGGGTTGCAATGTCAGGGTAATAGCTCACCGCAGCTTCGACCTCCTGGCCCAAGTGATCCTCCCACCTCAGGCTCCCAAGAAGCCAGGACCACAGGCAAGCACCACCATGTCCAGCTAATTCTTAAATTTTCTGTAGAGATGAGGTCTTGCCACGTTTCCCAGGCTCATCTAAAACTCCTGGCTTCAAGTGATCCGCCTGCCTTGTCCTCGCAAAGTGTTGGGATAACAGGAGTGAGCCAATACACCTGGACTGCAGTAGTAGATTTTTAAATTAAATTTTAAAAAAGAATTAACATATTCAAAATCAGATGTAAAGAAGTAGATTTCTGGTTCCTGGCCCAGCGTATAAGGAGCTGGAGTCATCACTCCATCCTCATAGTAAGCCGAATGACTAAAAATCAACAACACTTCCGAGATTCATTAGAGAACTGAGGTGAAAGGACAATCTGCTTCCCCCAAAATTGGGGAGGGAGACAGGTAGAGACAGAGAATCACAGCTTGCCAAAGTAGAAGCCCAGGAACAGAAACCACTGCTGGAGCCAGTACTGCAGGAGCTAAATGGAAAGAATTGCACATCTCAGACCTTATTTAGTAAGTCCCTAGGGAAACCCAAAGACAACAAGGGAAACAAAAATAAGGACACAAAGGGCAATTTTAGCCTCTGATACAGTAATAGCAAACAGTAAGCATAGCCTAACCTGTAGGCAGATTAAGCAATGAAAGCTCACACTAAAGGTCTACTTAACCTCAGTTCTTTTTAGCTTATACATTAGGTCTGGCTCTTAACAAAAAAATTACAAGGCATAGTAAAAGACAAAACTCACAGCGCGAAGAACCAGAGTAAGCATCAGAAACAGACACACATATGGCAGAAATTTTAGAATTATCAGACTAGAATGTTGTGTTTTTAGAGTCAGGTTCTTACTCTGTCACCAAGGCTAGAGTGTAGTAGCATAATTATAGCTCACTACACCCTTGAACTCCTGGGCTCAAGTGATCTTCCTGCCTCAGCCTCCCAAATAGCTAGGGCTATAGGTGCACACCATTAATTTTTTGCAGACAGAGTTTCGCTATGTTACCCAGGCTAGTCTTAAACTCCTGGCCTCAAGCAATTGTCCTCCCTCAGCATCCCAAAGTGCTGAGATTATAGGAATGAGCTACCATGCCCTGCCCACCCTAGAACTTCTTTTTAAATTCTAATTGGTATGCTAAGGGCTCTAATGAAAAAAGTAGACAGTGTGCAAGAAGAAATGGGTAATGCAGGCAGAGAGATGGAAACTGAGAAACAAGCAAAAGGAAGTGCTAGAAATAAAAATCCACTGCAATAGAAACAAAGGATGCCTTTGATTGACTCACCAATAGACTATACAGGACAGGGAAAAGAATCAGTGAGCTTGAAGATACAACAATAGAAACTTCCAAAACTGAAATGCAAACCAGAAAAAAAAAAAAGAAAGAGAGTATTTATGGAGTGTGGGACAACTACAAAATGTATAACAGATACAGAATGGGAATACCAGAAGTAAGAAGGGAGAAAGAAACAGACAAAAATATTTGAGGCCAGTTGTAGTGGCTCACACCTGTAATCCCAGCACTTTGGGAGGCCGTGGTGGGCGGATTACTTGAGGTCAGGAGTTTGAGACCATCCTGGCCAACATGGTGAAACTCCATCTCTACTAAAAATACAAAAATTAGCCAGGTGTGGTGGCAGGCGCTTGTAATCCCAGCTATTTGGGAGGCTGAGGCAGGAGAATTGCTTGAACCCGGGAGGCAGAGGTAGTGAGCCAAGATCATGTCACTGCACTCCAGCCCGGGCAATAAGAATGGAACTTCATCTCAAAACAAAACAAAACAAAACAAAACAACTGAAGTAATAATAGTTGAGAATTTTCCAGAATTAATGATAGACACCAAACCACATATCCAGGAAGCTCAGAGAACACCAAGTAGAATAAATACTGAAGAATCAACACCTAGGTATGTTACATTGAAACTGCAGAAAAAGACACAGAGAAAATATTGAAAAAAGCAGGATAAATAAAACCATCTTACCTACAGAGGAGCAAAGATAAGAATTACACAGGACTTCTCAGAAACCATGCAAGCAAGAAGAGAGTGGAGTGAAATATCTAAAGTACTTGGATATTTAGAATATACCAATCTAGAATTCTGTATCCAGTAAAATTATCCTTCAAATGTGAAGAATAAAAACTTTCTTACACAAAGAAAAAAGATTAGTTGTGATGTATATTGCAAACACTAGGGTAACCACTTAAGAACATTAAAAAAGAAGTATAATTAATATGCCATGAGAGAAGACAAAATGGAATCATGAAATAACTCGAAATCACAGAAGGCAGAAAGAGAATAGAAGACAAAAAAGAAACAAAGAAACATTAATAAAGGAGTATAAACATTAAAACAAAAAAGAAAATAATTTAAAAAGAAGTATAATTAATATGCTAAGAGAAAAGACAAAATGGAATCATGAAATAACTCAAAATCATAAAAGGCAGAAAAAGAATAGAAGACAAAAAAGAAAGAACAAGGACAAGGAATAGATAACAGTATATAGTGACAATCCAATTATATCCAAAGTCACTTTAAACATCAATGGTCCAAATATACCAATGAAAACAAAGACATACTTTAAATATTAAGAGAGAGAGATTAAAAGTAAAGGGATAAGGTCAGGCGCAGTAGCTCACACCTATAATCCCAGTACTTTGGGAGGCTGAGGCAGGTGGATCACCTGAGATCAGGAGTTTGAGACTGGCCTGACCAATATGGTGAAACCCCGTGTCTACTAAAAATACAAAAATTAGCTAGGCATGGTAGTCGGTTCCTGTAGTCCCAGCTACTCGGGAGGCTGAGACAGGAGAATTGCTTGAATCCAGGAAGCGGAGGTTGCAGTGAGCCAAGATCACGCCACTGCACTCCAGCCTGGGCGATAGAGTGAGACTCCATCTCAGGAAAAAAAAAAAAAAAAGTAAAGTGATAGAAAAAGATATACCATGCAAACAATAATAAATGAAAATGTAATAGCTATATTCATTTCTGATAGAGGAGACTTCAGAGCAAAACAATTATCAGCAATAAAAAAGGGCATTACATATATATAGACATATATATCTGTATATTTTTAAGACAAAAGTCTTACTATGTTGCCTGGCTAGTCTGAACTCCTGGGCTCAAGTGATCCTCCAGCCTCAGCCTCAGCCTCTCAAGTAGCTGGGACTATAGACAAGTGCCGCCATGCCTGGTTAATTTTTTTTTTAAATTATTGTAGAGACGAGGCCTCACTGCATTGCCCAGACTTGCCTCAAAACTCCTGGCCTCAGCTGATCCTACTGCCCTGGCCTCCCAAAGTGCTGGATTACAGTTGTGAGTCACTGTGGCTGGCCAGCATTATATAATATTAAAGGAATCAATTCTCCAAGAAGACAAAAACATGTGTAAGTCTAACAAGAAAGTGTCAAAATATGAGTCAAAAGTTACCAAAAACTACCAGAACTGCAAGGAGAAAAAGATGAATTCACTATTATAGTTGGAGACTTACATAAGAAATGGACAGATAAGCGGGATGTGGTGTCTCACACATGTAATCCCAGCACTTTGGGAGGCCAAGACAGAAAGACTGATTGAGGTCAGGAGTTAAATACCTGGGCAACATAGCAAGAACCCCATCTCCAACAAAAAAGAAAAAAAAATTAGCTGCATGTTGTGGTACGTGACTGTAGTCCTAACCACTCAGGAAGCTAGGGCCAGACAACTGCTTGAGTCCAGGAGTTTGAGATTGCAGTGAGCCAGGATTGTGCCACTACACTCGTCTGGATGACAGGGTTGATGCCCTGTTTCAAAAATAAATAAATAAATAAATAAACAAACAAACAAATAAATAGAAAGAAATGGACAGATAAAGCAGGCAGAAAATCATCAGTAAAAACACGGTTGAACTGAATAGTAGCATCAATCAATTAGATCTAATTGACATTTATGGAATACTTGATGTAATAACAGTAGAATACACATTATTCTCAAGCTCACATGGAATATTAACCAAGATAGACAACATTCTGGGCCATAAAACACATTTAACCAAATTTAAAAGAACAGAAATCATATACAGTATGAAAGGTAGTTGTAAAGTCCCCCAAATACTTGGAGATTAAACATACTTCTGAATACCACATTGGTCAAAGAAGTCTCAATAGAAATTTAGAAATATTTTGAACCAAATGAAAATGCAAATATAATTTACCAAAATTTGTGGGATGTAGAAGAAAATTTGTAGCACTAAATACATATATTAGAAAAGAATATCTAAAATCAGTAAGATTCTACCTTAAGAAACTAGAAAAGCAAATTAAATCTAAAGTAAGCAGAATAAAAGAAATTATAAACATTATAGTAGAAATCAACAGTGGAATGCCATATCCACAAATGAGAATTTAGATGAAATGAACAAATTCCTTGAAAGATACAATCTACCAAAGCTCACAAAGGAGAAATAGATAATCTGAATAGTCCTGTATCTGCTAAAGAAATGGAATCAGTAGTTGATAACCTTGCAAAACGGGAAGCACTAGGCTCAGATGGGTTCACTAGCAAATTCTATCAAATATTTAAGGAAGAAAATTATTACCAATTCTCTACAATCTCTTCCAGATGAAAGAAGCAGAGGGAATACTTCTGATCTCTTCTAAGAGGCTAGCATTTCCCTGACACCAAGACAAAGTAAAGATATTACAAGAAAAGAATACGATAGACCAGTATCTCTCATGAACATAGACACAAAGATCTTCAATAAAGTATTAGTAAATCCAATCCAACAATGTATAAAAAGAATTATACACTACAACAACCAAGGGCAGTTTATCCCAGGTATACAAGGCTAGTTCAACATTTGAAAATCAATTAATGCAATCCATCACATCAATGAAGAAGGATCATATGATCAAATCAATAAATGCAGAAAATATTGAAGGGAGCAAGATAAAATCCAACAACCATTTATAATTAAAAACAAAACAAAACAAAAAAACCTCTCAGCAAACCAGAAATAAATACTTTTTTAACTTGACAAACAACACATACAAAAAACCCACAGCTAAAAATCACACTTATAGGTAACAAACTATGTAGATGCTTTCCCCCTAAGATCAGGAACAAGGCAACAATAAGAAACCAACTAACCAATTAAAAAATAGACAAAAGATCTAGAGACATCTCACGAAGAAGACATGCTGATGGCAAATAAGCATATGAAAAAATATTCAATGCCTTATGTCTTCAGAGAATTTAAACTTAAAAAAGATAGAGATACCACTATTCACCTACTAGAATGGCTAAAACCTAAAATACTTACAACCACCTAATAAGGGCAAGACTGGGGAACAGGAGCTCTCATTCACTGTTGGTGGGAAGGCTAAATGGTACAGCCACTTCGAAAGTTTCTTACAAAAGTAAACATACTCTGATCATATAACCCTATAATTACACTCCTTAGTATTTACACAAGTTATGAGTTGAAAACTTATGTCCACACAAAAACTTGCACACAGATGTTTATAGCAACTTTATTCATAATTGCCAAAACTTGGAAGTAACCAAGATCTCCTTCATTAGATGAAAGGTTAAACTGTGTAGTACATTCATGCAATAAACATTATTCAGTCATCTTTTTTAAAAAGCTATCAAATCACGACATGACATGGAGAAACCTTAAGTCCATATTGCTAAGTAAAAGATGCCAATTCAAAAGGCTACATACTATATGACTCCAACGATATGACATTATGGAAAAGGCAAAACTAGAGACAGTAAGACAATCAGTAGTTCCCAGGGGTTGGGGGACAAAGAGGAAGGAATGAATAGGTGAGGTACAGGGGGTTTAGGGTGAGGAAACTATTCTGTAATGATACTGTAATGATGGATACATGTCATTGTAATACATTCGTCAAACCCCACAGAATATACAACCCAAAGAGTGAACCCTAATGTAAACTAGCACTTCAGTTAATAATGCCTTAATATTGGCTTAATTTTAACAAATGTACCACACTCACGCAAGATGCTAACAACATGGAAATCTGTGTGTGTATATATGGGGAGGTAGGAATATATACTTTATGTTGAATTTTACTGTAAGCTTAAAACTTCTCTTAAAAATAAAGTCTATTCATTAAAAAAACTTAAAAGGGAATATTGTGAAATCTTGCTCCCATTGTTTCCCACTCCCACCTATAGCTAACCATTTTAATCGTGGCATATAATACATACGACTCTGCCCTTTTCATTTAACAGTATGGTATGTTTTGGAGCTCATTCTCTATCAGCACAGAGTGAGCTTTCTTGTTCCGCTGCTAATGTTACTATACTATTTTACTATAGAAGTATATAATAACATCTATACAAAATCCTTAAAAGTAGATAGCTGGGTTTAAAAGTATCTGCATTTTTTATTTTAATAAGTATTTGCAAATTGCCCTCTGAGTTATAGGAGCAGAGGAGAGATTGCTGTACCAACAGCAATCACAATCCTATAATCATGGCCTAACAAAATGTTCAGTCTAGCACTACAGATACAACTCGCTATTAGAGGCGGGTGGCATTGCGGGCGCGGGGGTCGCAAATAGGAGAATCTCTCTCACACAGAAGTTACCATCAACTTCTCATAGAGAAACAAGAATTTAAAGTTATATCATCCAAATAATTCTTACCCAATTGAAATTCAGTCTTGGGCTTGATGGCTGGAAGTTTACATTGCCATTCAAAAACATTTGGATAGGAACTCACTGGTTTAGAAAGCCCAGATAAAAGTTTGAAAATCAGCTTATCATCCCATGGGTTCTCAACAATGAAGTCTTAAAGGAAGGAGAACAAAAACAAAAAAGGAACATGAATTGAGTACTCAAGAACTTTACCAAATAAATTATAGACAAAGTGAATAGAGATATTTACTAAATAAGCTTTCAAAGCCTTATACTTCTAAGGGCATTGATTCAAAATAAAAAAGAATTATTTTTAAAAGCCAAAATTGGTAGCTCTGCATAGTTGATTATTTGCCATTTTAGTTACAAATTTGGATCAATATTCAATTGTGACAAAGGAAATCAACTCCACGTGCATCTGCTCCACTCAAAGGGAACAGCTACATTCTGTCTTAAACACAATTAGGAATACACATCTTAAGGTCAGATGTGGACATTAGTTACTTCCAATTTGCTCAGATAGACATATATTCTTTAATTGCTTTTCCACTTATATCCATAAAACTTACATTACCTATGTACAATTTGCATATATGAGATATATTTTGGTTCCACAAAAGTAAAGTAAGAAAAAGGTTTCTCTCCAACCTGGAATGTTACAAAAAAGTATATTGGTGGTGGTTATCAAATACGAATCCAACATGGTTAACACTCAGTGTTAAGCACTTGCAGGACACTGTTCTCAGTAGTTTATTAATTTACTTGGTTCTTACAATAAGCCTCTAAAGGTAGGTACTAGCATCAACTCCACTCTACATCAAAGAGGGGTAGGAAAAATTAAGATGATCTTGGTCAACACCACATGACTACTTAGGTGAGGGAGCTAAGATAGAACGTAGTCAGTCCATCTCCAGAGTCTGTGCCCTTAACCACTATGCCAGACTGTTTATGTATAATAAGGGGGTGGGGGGGGAATGCTGTCTCTTTAACCTTGAGCCTCAGTTTACTTTTCTGTAAAACAGGGGATATAATAATATTAGATTAAATGCCTGGCACACAGTAGGCTGTCAAATTCTAATTCCCTCTTCCAACAGTATTTTGATACCTCCTAAAATTAAAAGATTGATTTGCCCTTCAAATATGCTAGTTATACTTCATTGTGATGCATTACGCAAATTTTGTCTGAACCCAATGACAGCTGTTCTATTCAATGACATTCAAGTCCCACTGTGGGTTTCTTTCATGGGACAGCTTTTCCCATGCTACTGCCCTGATTCAAGGGCATAACAGAGTGAGTGTTCGTACTTGGATCATCAACTTCCTCAAGTGAACTCGTCTGCATCTGTTCTGCTTGGAGCCCAGCAGTAGCATCCGGAGGATCTTCTACAATGACAGTGTCAGTGTCTGTGAGTCTGCAAGCCTCAAGGCCTCGCTCTGCCTCACAGGTAAGTATCCCACCTGCAGCAGGCTGGCTCAGACGGAGTAAGGATGCTGAATACACCTCAGAGGAGAAGGCCTGTTCTGGGCTTTTCTCTTGAATTGGACTGGACGTGTGAAAGGAATAAAAAAACCAAAACATCACATGATTAGAAGTCTGTTGGATTCAGTCACATAAAAGTTCCTTCTCATTCTAGAAATGACATTTCAGAATAGCTTCACAGACTAAAAGTTGATTAAAGCATTTTTAGACAAACAAATCTATGAAAATATACAGCTAGTACAATATGAATAGAAATAAGAAAATCAAGATATGGTTATACCAGATGAATAGCTGAGGCAATAGATGGGGTACTCTTTAGTAGGAAATGTCAGGAGTGGGTTTATTTCTTCAAGCTGCATCTATGCAACACTACTATAATCAAGACTAAATATATGACTTTATTCCAAAAATGGCTCCTTTTATAACATTGAAACAAACAGAAAATATCAATCACAATACAACACTCCAGAACATTTCCAAATATACAGTCATGTGCAGCATAACAACAATTCAGACAATAAAAAACAGCATATGGGCCGGGCGCGGTGGCTCAAGCCTGTAATCCCAGCACTTTGGGAGGCCAGGGTGGGTGGATCACGAGGTCAAGAGATCAAGACCACCCTGGTCAACATGGTGAAACCCCCGTCTCTACTAGAAATACAAAAAAGTAGCTGGGCATTGTGGCGCGTGCCTGTAATCCCAGTTACTCAGGAGGCTGAGGCAGGAGAATTGCCTGAACCCAGGAGGCAGAGGTTACAGTGAGCTGAGATTGCGCCATGGCACTCCAGCTTGGGTAACAAGAGCGAAACTCCATCTCAAAAAAAAGGAAAAAAGAAAAACAGCATATGCAATGGTGGTCCCATAGGATCATAATGGAGCTGAAACCCTCTGGTCTCCTAATGATGTCTGACATTCCTGACCCAGGTCTGTAGGCCTTGGCTAATGTGTATGTTTATGTGGTTGTTTTTAACAAAAAAGTTTAAAAAGTGGAAAAAAATTTTTTTTTAAAGCTTATAGAATGATATAAAGAAAAATTATTTTTGTATAGCTGTACAATGTGTTTTTGTTTGTTTGTTTTTTTTTAGTGAAAGTCATGATCTACCACAGGTGGGGAATCAGGACAGGTGATGATGTGTATCCTTCAACTTTAGCTTCCCGCCGGGAATGTGTGTGTGAGAACCACTGCTATAACAAGAACTGTGTGCTTCTGTGTTCCACAAGGAGCAGCTTGTCCTGGGGTATTAGAATGCAGTGGTGGCTAGTGGTAAATGGCCCAGGAGCTACATTCTAGGAAACTGCAACTTCAATATTAGGTTGAGAGGGGCTGTGAGTTGGGCACCATATACCCTGTTCCCAACCTTCACGAAACTAATAACATCTACACACATAGTCATGACAGTAACTTTTTGATAACAACTTCCCATCTCAGGAAAAGCAGCAAAAACAAAACAAAAATACCACCACCACCACCACCACCAAACAAAACAAAAATAACACTGCATTGCAGTTTAGAGTATAATACATGGTATCTTTTGAACAAAGTTAGATATAACATCGTGTAAGGAAAATCAGATGTGCAATTCTTGCCTTTGTTACTAGCTACTGGCAGCCTAGTCACGTTTCCTAAATTACCTGAGCCGGAATTTCCTCGTCTTCAAAACAAGCAGGGGAGTAGGTACACTCACTAGATAAGTGGTCTTAGTTGAGTCACTTATCCAGCCACTCTGTCAATCCCTCAACAAGGCATTTATTTAGTTTCTATTCTGTGCCAAGTACTGCGGTAACCTTTCCTAGGCTTTTCTAAGAAGGAGGTGATCATAACTGCCTTAAATACTTGGCTATATAATTCGGAGAAGGTAACATCTAGAAGCTGTCCAGCATGAGACCTACTTCTTTCTCCTTCAAACTATAGGAGGTATAGTTCAACATCAAAATAAAGAGCTCACAACAACTAGAACAGAAAGATGCATGCTATAAACAAATTATTTTTGTATAGCTGTACACTGTGTTTTTTAAGCTAAGGATTATTACAGTCAAAAAGATAAATTTTTTTAAGTTTATAAAGTAAAAGAGTCACAGTAAGCTAAGGCTAATTTAGAAAGAAAAATGCTTTTTAAATAAATTTAGTGTAGCCTAACTATAGTGTTTCTAAAGTCTACAATAGTGTACGGTAATGTCCTAGGCCCTCACTATAGTGTTTCTAAAGTATACAGTAGTGTACAGTAATGTCCTAGGCCCTCACATTCACTCACCACTCACTCACTGACTCATCCAGAGCAACTTTAGTCCTACAAGCTCCATTTATGGGGAGTGCCCTATACAGAATACCATTTTTTATTTTTTACACTGTATTTTTACTGTATCTCTATGTTTAGATACACAAACACACCATTCTGTTGCCATTGCCTACAATATTCAATACAGTAACATGTCATACGTTTGTAGCCTATGAGCCACAGGTTATACCATATAGCCTAGGTCTGTAGCAAACTAATCAAACCATCTAAGTTTGTGTAAGTACACTCTGATGTTCACACAACACTGAAATTGCCTAAGGACACATTTCTCAGAATGTATCCCAGTTGTTAAGGAACTGCATGACTGTAAATTGAAGAATATGTATACCTATACATATAGATACACACACACACACACAATACACAGCTAATCCTTATTATTCACGGATTTCAAATTTGTGAATTCACCCGTATGCTAAAATTTATTTGTAAGCTTAAAATCAATACTCATAGCGACTTTTCAGTCATTTGCAGATATGCAGAGCGATGAAAAATTGAGTCACCCAACACACATATTCTTAGCTAAGGTTGAACAAGGTGACACTCAGCCTTCCTGTTCCAGCTTTCATGCTGTAAACAAGTATCCTTTTCAAGGTGTAATTAGTGCCACATTTTATGTATCTTTGTGCTTTTTCTTGATGACTTTGGTATTTAAAATGGTCCTGAAGAATAGTGCTGAAGTGCTCTCTAATGTTCGTAAGCAGTAGAAATCTGTAAAAATGTGTGTATTAGATAAGCTTTATTTAGATGTGAGTCAGTGTTGCTGGACATGAATTCAATGTTAATGAATCAACAATATATAATAAATAAGGTGTTTTTCAACAAAATGTTATGAGAGGCTTGAAGGATGCTGTCTGTACTCCCCCTTAAGAATATTCAGTATTCACTAATTCAGTGTTTGTGGTGATTCTATAGAACAGAATTACAGTGAATAATGAGAACTGACTGTGCATTTATCTCCACACACACCCCCAAATCAGTATCTACCTATACATACTAAAGTATGTATTTTTATACAAACAAATTTATACATGCAATTTCATACACTGCTATTTTCACTTGTCACATTTTTCCTGTTGTAAACTTTTTTCAACTATACTTTTTTGGTAATAATTTTAGGTGTAAAGAAATGTTGCAAAGATAATAGAGAATTCCTATATTTGCCTCACTCAATTTCTGCTAATGCTATCATTTTCTATCACAACGGTACCTTTGTCAAAACTAATAAACCAACATTTTTTCTATTACTATTAACTAAACTGTAGACGTCATTTGGATTTTACCACTCTTTTCACTAAGGAACTTCTGCTTCAGGATCCAGTCCCGGGTCCCAGGTTGCATTTAGTTGTCATGTCTCCTCTCTCATCTGTGACAGTTTCTTAGTCTTTCATAGTTTCTCAAGACCTTGACAATTTTGAGGAGTACTGGCCAGGTGTTCTGGATAATGTCCTTCAATATGGGCTTCTCTGATATTTTCTCATAAAGAACTGGCCTGATATATCAAGTGTTTAGATTCACTGTGGTATATATATTCATAGAGACTACCTTCTGATTTAAAGCTACTATTCCATAAAATCTTTACTGGCCTTTAAGGCTAAAATTAGTATTCTATTACTGCCTAAAAGGCAAAGCTAGAATGGACATGGTAAGCAAAGTTAGAATGGAAGATGAAGAAAATGACAGAACCACATAAACCTTCACAATACCTGAATTTTCTGTCCCTTGAAGGCACCACATTTTCTTCCCAAGAATCCAAAGTCACATGGGTGCACTGTTTTGCTGCCACATTTTCTGAAAATTCCAAAAATTAGAGTTAGATATGTTAGATGTACATGTGTGCACAACACACACCATTTGATATGGTTACAAAATCTAGGATTTATTTTGACAATGACTTGCATTATGATTTCAAAATAGTGCTCCATGGTAAAATGCATATTAAGATTCAAAAACTAGGAAGGAAAATAACTACTTAAAAATCTACTAGTGGCCAGGCACAGTGGCTCTTGCCTATAACTCCAGTGCTGTGGGAAGCCGAGGTGGGAGAATCACTTGAGGTCGGTAGTTCAAGGCAAGCCTGAGCAACATAGTGAGACCCTATCTCTAAAAAAATTTTTTAAATTAATTGGATGTGGTGGCAGGATCCTGTAGCCCTAGCTATTTCAGAAGCTGAGGCAGGAGGATCACTTGAGCCCAGGAGTTTGAGGGTGAACTGCAGTCAGCCTAGGCAACATAGTGCAACCCTAACTCTTAAAAACAAATGAGTAAAATCTACTACTAATGTATGTGACCATTTCAACTCTACATCTAATCCCTAACAATCTTTCAAGAAAAAAAGGGTCCAGAGAGTGGCAAGTTCACTGTAGGCAGGATGACCAGACCACAGGAGGTTATTGGTATGGATTTCAGGGCTATACCCAGCTTCAGGAGAACCTGAAGACAAGCACATGGAGAGTAAAAGGCTACAATCCTTCTGGAGGGCAGAGATTTTGGGTCTTTCACTTTAACATATTTTGGTCAATTAGTTGATTGACTAAATTAACATTTAATTTATTGAAACAATTTTGTGTTTAAATCAGAAAGCAGCCTGGCAATATTTATTACTCTCCATAATTTAAAAAAATTATCTATAGATAGATAAACTAGGTAGGGTAGAAATGCAGAATAAACCTCTACCAAGTGATGCTAATACTGCACACAAACAATATGTTGGATTACATTTTATGAGATATTCCTTCACTGAACAGGTGTTACTGCTTTTTAGCACTAGAACATTAGTTTCTGTTTATACAGCCAAAGTGGCAAACGCTCTAAGAATAGCCAATATCAACTTTTTGAAAGACTCTTTGGACTCATTAAACTAGCTTTCCTGGATGGAAAAGTCTTTAAACATTTTTTTTTAAGTGGCAAACTTATGATGGTGCTTAGCAATAGTCCAAGTTTCAACTGAACTCTCCTTTAAGATTCAGAAAAGAAATATATTATATTGGATTAGCAGTCTAAGAAATCCTTGGTCAAAAATGTTTATGTCTATAGGCTCAGAACCCACATTAAAATATGCTTCCATTCAGTGAAGTGAATTCCTTGGCAGCTCTTCTGTTGTTGCTTTGGTAAACAATTGCTATATTTTAAAAGCGTGATCAATAGTACAGTTAGTATACAGTCAGCCCTCTGCATCCACAGGTTCCGCAGGGTCAACTATGGAACTTGAGCATCCACATGGATTTTGGTATCTGCAGGGGTTCCTGGAACCAATCCTCTGTGGGTACCGAGAGAACTGTCTAGTTTGTAGTTGGTACTTAATAGCTAGCAATGATCTGTGCTCCATGACAATGTCATGTATTAGGATTCAGTTCAGATATTTGATGAACTTTTAAATATATAGGTAATAAATTTGAAACAGGCTAGAAATAAGGACTACTTGTGAGTTTTATCATTACTTTCTTAAAGTCAGAGCACTAAAAGTAAGAAAAATAAGACTTTCTGAGTATCGTACTTGGCTATACGTCTAAGAAAGCTGACATATATATGTGTGTAGACACACATCTAGGTCTAAAATTGGCTATTACTCTTATTAAATTGGAAAACATAAATGTTCATTATTTTTAGCATTAAAATAATTTAATCTGTCTGCAGTGGTTGTTTTGTTTGCTGTGAAACAAAATAAACATACTCTATACAAATGGGTTGGACCTTACTGGCTTTTAAATGCTTCTTTAGATTTTCTCCATTCTACCTATAATCTAAGCTATTATATTTTAAAAATACATAGACTTCAGGAAGACTATGCCAAAGGAAAAAAACCTATGAGCAAAAATGAACAGATTCTGTTTCTTCTCCATGATGAATTTTCATGAAGAAAACTGTAAGAATTAAACTTCATGAAGAAAACTGAAAGTATCAACGTTGGCAGAAGACAAAACACTAAAACTGTAACACACACCTTTATCTTCTAAAATGAGCACTGACTCCACTGGAAGTTTATGGAATGGTGTAGATGCAAGTTGTGCAGCAGATGTGAAGTCTCCTGGGCTCTTAGGACTGGGTGCTAGGGTTTTGTTGCAGCGAATACCCCATACGGTTGAATCATCCAAAAACTCTTCAGCATGAGGAACTTCCTACAACAGAAGATTAAATGAAAAAAAGCAGCAATCTCCGTCTTTTGTCCATGTAACCTTACTCATTAACACTTTAAGATCCAAAGAAATGAGAAATTAAAGACAAAACAGATGTCAACGCCTGGCTAACACAGTCCACAATATCATGGTTCAATTCTTTTTCCCAGAACTGAAAAATCAGTGAAGCTGCACTGCAGCAAGAGCCACATTTTTGTTTTCAAAGTATATATATATCATTTGAAAAAGTCAAGATTTAAAGAGTTACAAAGATGGCACAGAATTTCCATATACCTTCCTCACTAAGCTTCCTCTAATGTCAACTTCTTATAGAACCACAGCACATTTGTAAAAATGAAACAATACTATTAACTATACACTATTTGAAGTTCACCTTTTTTCCCACTAATGTGCCTCTTCTGTTCAGGAATCCAATCCAGGCTCTCATGTCACCTTTAGTTGTCAAGTGTTCTTAGCCTCCTTGAGTCTGTCATTGTCTATTAGTCTTTCCTAGCCTTTCTTATATTGACATTTTTGAACACTAGTCAGAAAGTGCATAGAATGCCCCTACACAGTTTGGGCTTCTTTGACATTTTCTCACGATTAGACTGGGGTTATAGATTTTTGGGAAGGATATCAGGCGTGAAGTGTTCTTCACATTACATCTTATTAGGGGATATCTGCTGTCCGACTTACTTCCGGTTAACCCAGTCACTTGGTTAGACAGAATCTGCCATGTTTCCCCACTGCAATCTATTTTTCCCTTTCCTTTTCCCTACGCTTTTTGTCTGAAGCAAGTCACATATTCTAGCTACACTCAAAAGGAGATGCACCAAACTGGAGGAAAAAATTCAAAGAATTTGTGGTTAAATTTTAAACCACCACAGTAATTAATATTAATAAATAATTTTGGTAGGACACTTAGAAAATATGCATTTCTTCTTCAATTATTAAATAGTGTCCTAAAAGAAACATATTTTTTATACAGTATCATATTTTTCGGATAGTTTCATATATACAATATCCTGACTGGCATAATCCCTTGGTAGAATAAAGCAGAAGGGGTTGTAGGACCCATTTCATATTTGAAACAGGTTTGCTTACATTTGGTTTTGAAGGAAATCTGCTGACAGAGCGTTCTCCAAAGGTCCTGGTTCCTGTTGGTTTATTTTGAGGCTGTGGTAATCTAAGGAAAGATTTGCTAAATTATAAATACTAAAATATGCTTTAAAAAAATGCATGCTATCACTTGACCACTAGAAAAGTTCTCTTTATCCTACTTAATGAGTTAATATTTATATAAATATTCCTTACTTTTATAGCAGTTCTCGAAAAACTGAGTGTGATTGAATTGGCTTATAAAAGTAGACCTACCTTAAGTGAGGGTGGAAAATACATAAATTTCTGTCACACTGAGTTATAGCTTTTAGAAGCCAAAAATGAATTATGGCCATGGCCAGTGGAAAGTCATGGATGCCAACATATTTTTTTAAATTTTCAGTGCCTTTGTAGCTATGGAATTCCTCTCTGAGAGCTAGCCATGCCCTTTCTCCTTTCTACCTCAATATGAATTTCTTAAATACCATAAAACCTTTAGTTCACACTGGCATCTGTTTTTTTTTTTCTTTTGAGAAAGAGTTTCGCTGTTGTTACCCAGAATGGAGTGCAATGGCACGATCTCAGCTCACCGCAACCTCCGCCTTCTGGGTTCAAGCAATTCTCCTGCCTCAGCCTCCCAAGTAGCTGGGACTACAGGCGCGCACCACCATGCCCAGCTAATTTTTGTATTTTTAGTAGAGACGGGGTTTCACCTTGTTGACCAGGATGGTCTCGATCTCTTGACCTCGTGATCCACCTGCCTCAGCCTCCCAAAGTGCTGGGATTATAGGCATGAGCCACCACGCCTGGCCTACACTGACATCTCTTTCCATGGTTCAAACTATTAACAACGAAAATTCCTGGAGCTACCTCACTCTACCCCTAGATGAAAGCTCTCCAGTGTAATATTCCTCAGGCTTAAAACACATTCTCTGTAGCAATACCCAATATAAGCCACTTCCTTTTCTACTTTATCAGTGCTGCAAATATAAACAGCATGTATGGATACCTGTAGTGGTGAATTCATTCACACCTAATATAATTTCAAATCCACAGAATCCTCAGTTCTCTGCTAATTCACAACTAGACTGTTTTCCTTTTTCAACACAAGCTTTGGCTATGGGAAGCCTGCTCTCTTGGAACTCCTGCAGCACTGTAGATCTGGAGATCTTTGGCAACACTCTTATCGTTATGTGGTCAAAAGGCTCATTTGACCATGTGAGTGGCAGTCTGTATTCTCTCACCACCCCACCACCTCTAATCCCAGAGAAAATTCTGCAGTATCATATTAACTACATGGTATTTTTTTTACCCGTAATTTTCTTTGTTTCCATCTTCAAACACATGAAAAGCAGATGACAAAGAAGAGATAATCTTATTGACTCCCCAAGCCCCAGATGACCTTACATTTTCTGGAATAGAATAAAAAATAGCATCTAATTATTGTACAAGCAAAAAACATCCTTTATGTTAAACTTCAACCACAAATAAGGAAAAGGAGTAACAGCTGACAGAAAAGAACTAATAACAGCTTTTCAAATACTAGGCAATGAGATAAGTCACTACAGTGAGATGAAGTGACTTAACTATGGTAACAGGGTCTTATACTCAAGTCCCAGGTCAGGAGTCCCTGCCACATATCAGTAAGGTGTTAATCATTCTCCTAAATCATTGCTATTGTCATCTGACTCACTCAATAAAAGCTCTCAGGGTTTTGTTTTCCACTTCCTTTCCAAAAGAATTAACCTCTTAGCTGTACATTTCAATTCCTCCTGAGGTCTAACTGGCTCCTACTTATCTTTATCATGATCTCTGGCTTCTGGCATGAATCCCCTGACTCTAGACAAATGTGGGCTAGCTGCCAGCCTCCTTCAACACTCTGCCCCAGCCATTCTTCTACCATTGAAGACTCAAGTCACACCTGGAGTACTTGGCCCTTCTTACCCATGAGGGTTTTGTCCTTCTTTAGCACTATTACTTCTTTTTTTTTAAATCAGCAAATCTATCACACACATGGAGTACCTTTTCAGAAACTGTCATATTTTCACGTCAGGCATTCCCTGCCCTTATGTGACAAGCTAATCAAGGGCAGGGCCACGTCTTATATAATGCTTGGTATTTCCTGTGATAACCACCTGTAATACTACACATTTAGTAGCTTTTAAATAAAGTTATTACTTTGAAACTGGGCTTCGAATGCATCTTCATTTTGATCTAGAGATTGCCATTCATCTTTGTCATCAGAAATATCAGGAAGTGTAGGAGCTTGAAACATATTCATTATGAAACCTTAAGGAACAAAAGAATAACTGTAAACAGGTTGCAAAAGAGCTTTCATTAGCTTGTTAACAGGTGCTACACACTCAGATAAAAAACTTTACCTAATGCTTCTTTTGTGTGCACAGTGGGTGATGGCTGCACTTTGGACGGTGTTGCCTGAACCATTCCCAGTGATGTGTTTGGAGTTGTGTGGAAAGAACTTGTGCTGGCAACCTTATGTGTTTCATACCCTAGCAAAGAAATGGAGACAAAATGTGGTATCAGTAGGCAAATCAGAATAACTTAAAAGGCACACAATTTAAGTAAATTATAATTAAACCAGTTGTCATCGTTAGTAATTATCGCGAAGGACTTCCAGTATTATAGCACTTTCACATATTTCATTTTTATCTTTATAATAGTCCTATGAGGTAAATAAGGTGAAAATTATCCTTTTACAGAAAAGGAAATGAAGACTCAAAGAGACTGAGTGTTTGGTCTGGATTGTACCAGATTAGCAACTTGGTCATAAATTATACCCTTAGTGCCACTGTATCCCAAGTTCATAGTCACAATATAAATCTTAAGACTGGCTTCCCATCTCACTTCACTGCAGTCAGACATAGAATACAAGGCCCTGCACAGCCTGGGTCCTGTTTGATCAGGCCTCACCTTCCTCCTCTCCCTGCTTACCTCCTCACATTGGTCTCCTGGCTGTGCTTAGAATTTATCAGAGATTTTTCTGCTTGAGGGCTTAGTATTTAATATTCCCTCTGCCTGAAAAGGTTGCCCAAGCTAGTGGCATGGTAGCTTTACACTTCAGCCCTTTACCCAAATATCACCTTTTCTGAAATTTCAACCCCACAACTCCAATAGCACACTTCTCTCCCCTTCTATGTGGGTGGAGATGTTTTGTTCATGACTTACTTCATCCCTATGTATAACAGTGCCTGGCACCTATAGAGCAGACTCAGTAAGTCTTGGTTCAGTTAATGAGTCTCCAGCTGTTTCAAATAGCCCTTCTCCTCACTAAACAGTTCATGGAAAAGATGTTCCAGTCACACAGGGGTAAGTGAATGCCCAATATGTGTGTCTTATTATTTATAAAACTTATCTCCTTTGCAAATACCTCTAACAAAGTAGTACCAAATAATAGTGTAACACACCTAATTAAACTTTTGATCACCTTTCCTAGCATACTAAAGATGGCTCTGTTGTGGATTAATTTCCTGAGAATATAGTAGAAATGTATTCACAAATTATGTTTCCAAAGAATTCTAAACTAATAAGATGTGACTAACAAGTGGATTTCTACATTTATCTGAAATGGTTCAGGAATAAATAACTCATAGTCTAAAAATAGGAAATCTAACACTCAGGTTCATTAAGGCCTGAAGCCTTCGTAAACCACAGCCACAAAACACACCTCTGAGTGAGCTACAGGAATCTGGTTAGAAACACATTTATTATAATTAAACATTACCTTCTTTTATCTCTGTTCCACTCTGTGGCTTAAATTCATGAGTACTCTTATTCACACATCTGGAAGAGAAAACTCTTGAGACACGCTAAAGAATAAAATGCTTGATCTATTAGAATTTTTAACTAACTCTCAAGAAATAATAGTAAAAAGAAAAAAAATTAGTCAATAATTACAAGCCTATTAAAATACAGATGGAACTACTTAGAGTCTACTGTGTAAGTAAATAAAATGTTTTCCTTTTTTCATTTGAGTTCCATTTCAGGAAAAAAATTCTTACAGAAAAGATCAGGTACTAAACATTTGTATGAAACAGTGATTATAGGGATAAGAACCATCCCTATATGTGGTAGAGTCCTATGACTATTCAAATGATCCCATTCATTACAGAGGTTAAAGAGTTGAGTCCGACTCCAGGCAGCTAACCAGAGTCAGGACATGGTGAAGCACTGGTGTGTCTCAGCTGTGCAGGGCACCTTTGCTGTGATGAGCCAGCAGCTGCAGTGCAATGTCCTCCAGCCTTTAAAAGTTAACAATTATCAAGAAAGAAAAAAATAATATGCGAGCCATTTATATCACAGTTTGTTTTAAGTGCACTTGGGGTAGTGCATCTAATACGTCTATTTAACATTGCTAGAGTTCCCTTCATGAACCCTGTTTAAGGTATAAAGTGAAACATGCAAAGCATTTTTAATTTAAAAATCCCTAAAAAATGACTTAAAAGAGGGCTGAAATGACTGGAGGTAAAAATGCAAATAAAATAACTGATGTGACATTATAATTTTCAAAATCTAGAAAAAAAATCCCTCAAAATTAGGGTAAAAAATTCCAGTGCAGAGTACATTTTGAGAGACAGAATCACAGGTATCAATCCCAAACTGTTCCCAACAGGAAAACAGAAGAAATATGAGAACACATATCAAGTAATTGTCTAGATAGTTATGATCCTTGCAGGTATTAAGTCAAAGCCAATGAGCAAAGGCAATTTCAGCTCAACAGCTCTATATTTTTCAGTTACAAAGTGACTACTGACTTTCAGGGTATTCAAAATTTTTAATTCACAAAAGTGTAAAGTAAAATAAATGCTCTATAAGAAGCATGGAATAAGAAACCCTAAAGGACTGGGAGCAATGTTTTGCCACTTGCTTTTTCAAGAACATACTTATCTAAAAATAAAAGGCAGATGTCATTTATCTATTACATACTGCTCCTGATAATGCAGGTCATGTAAAGAAGATGACAGGTGCCATTCACATTACTATCATTTCTAGGACTACCTTCAGCTTACCCAGCATCCGTTCTGGCCACTGCAAACATGGAGTCTGTTACTGCCTGGGCTTTCAAAGGAACAGGAGGAGGAATGCTCTGGCTAGTAGATGGGGACACCAAAGCTGCAGAAATAGCATTTGCCAAAGGAGGAACAACAGGAGGTGCCTTTCTTGGGTTCTTTTCCATGTTCACTGGTGTCTGGTGATAGATGACTGGAAGACATGGAGCTCTCAGTTCCTGCTGGGAGCCTATGCTTGGTCCCATACATGCTGGATTAACCTTTCATGTTAAACAAATAAACAACAAAAACAAAATCATGAAGTCCAGAATACTACTAATCAGGCATTACAACTTTTCAAAGCATGGCATCTATCTTCAATAGATTCCTTTTTAATTTTTATTTTTTGTCTTTTTTGAGATAGAGTCTTGCACTGTCACTTGGGATGGAGTACAATGGTGTGATCTCGGCTCACTGTAACCTCCACCTCCTGGGTTCACATGATTCTCCTGCCTCAGCCTCTTGAGTAGCTGGAATTACAGGCCCACATCACTCTGCTGATTTTTTGTACTTTTAGTTGAGACAGGTTTCACTATGTTGACCATACTGGTCTTAAACTCCTGACGTCGTGATCTGCCCACCTCAGCCTTAAAAAGTGCTGGGATTATAGGTGTGAGCCACCATGCCTGGCCAATTCCTTTTTCCTTGAAGTTTCCCTATACTTCTTCTTCAAGCATTCTGAAATATATATTTCAACAACAAAAGATCAACAAACAAAAAGATCACTCTACAAAAGGGTGGTTTGTAGCTTCTGAACCACAGACACCAGTGGCAGCTCATAATTTCTAGCCACCGAAATAACCAGGCCCTATAGTTGTATCAGTATTTAAGTATTATCTTATTTATCTTTACTTAATTTTTGGAAAAGTTCTACAAATCAGTGTTAGCAAAAGCTCATAATAGTGTTCCTTCCATTAAAATACCCTTATTTAATATATGAGATAGGGCTTGAAAAAGGGAAAACATAAATAAAAGACTCTTCGTAGCCATTTTCATTTTGAATAATAGGAAACACTAACATAAATTGCAATAATAATTGCCACAAAAGCCTGTCTCACAACAGGATAATAAGCTCTAAATTTAAAATCTTTGCTTTGCTACTCATATCTATTTAAGATTGTAATTGTATTCTTTAATATTACAAAGTTAGATGAGTTAATTCCTCACCATATGAAAGTATTCTTATAAACTGTTAAGAAAAACACCAGCCAGGCACGGGTGGCTCATGCCTGTAATTGGTCCCAGAACTTTGGGAGAGTGAGGCTGGTGGTTTGTATGAGCTCAGGAGTTTGAGACCAAGCTAGGCAACATGGCAAAACTCTGTCTCTACAAAAAAATTAGCTGGGCATGGCGGGATGTGCCTGCAGTCCCAGCTACTCAGTAGGCTGAGGTGGGAGGACCACTTGAGCCGGAGGAGGAGATTGCAGTAAGCAGAGACTACACTACTGCACTCCAACCTAGAGGACAGAGTAAGATCCTGTCTCCAAAAACAAACACATACCACAAAATATCTAGGGCAAGAATAGTTATTTTACAGACAAATGGAAAAAAATAAAAAAAGCTCAACCTCATTTGTCATCAAAAATAACCTACACCATTTTCTCACCTACCAAATTAGTAAAGATTTAAAAAATCATAATATTAAATTCTAAAGAAATATTCTGAACAATGCCAGAGAATTTTCTCCACCAGATATCAAAACATATAAGAAAGCTGTAGTAAATACACCTATGAAATGATCAAAAAGAGACCTAGTGACTAAAATACCTATACTAAAGGTATCTTGTATATATCAAAATTTAGTACATGGTAAAGATATTTTAAATCAATGGGGAAAGGCTGAGCAAGTCAATAAATGATTTAGGGACAACAAGCAATCCACTTGGAAAATATATACTGATGCTATTCATACAGAATTAAGTTTGAAAAAGGGAGGTTTCTAGTTAAAAATAGTGGCTTCATATACTCCAAAACTCTCACCAAAATGACAGTGAAGGAATTCTAACACTTAACATAGCTGTTGAAAAAGGCTAGGAGTGGTGTGTCCCTAATTGCTAGATAAGTTCAGAAATCTACAATGCTAGCTACACCTCAAAATGGAAGTGAAGGTGGAGCTGAAGACAAGAACACTGTAAGTCTGTTTGAAAAGCAGATGCTGGGTCCAAAGTGGCTCCCGCCGGAGGTTGTGGCGCTTGCGAAGGCGAGGTCATGAGTTCAAGGCTAACCTGAGCAACCTTATAAGCGCAAACTGATTGGCAAAAAAAAAAGAAAAGCAGATGCTAAGACCCATTCTTATAGGTCCATGCAGGGTGTGATTTCTCATGCCTGGCCTGGCAGCAAACTGGAAGTTTCCTTTCTGGAGAAATAATCAAAAGGACTCTAGACTAGGTTGAGGATGGCGGTGATAGACACCACACAAGAAACAAAAGGATCTGATCAACCTACTCATTGAACACTTGGACATCTGAATCCTTTCCTTGACTTTGCAAATGCTAGCAGGCCAGGTTTATACTCCATGCTCTCGGGAATCTATCTGCTCAAGAAAACAGAACTTCCTATGAAGCTGACCAATTAACACGCCTCACTCATACACCTATAGCCTCCAATCAACTTTCTTGGGCCTGCTCTTAGATGAGTACACAGCAGAGATCAGACATCTCATGGTAAACTTTCAATACGAAGCACAAAGGTCAAAGCAAATGACACATATGAACAGGAAATCAAGGATTCTGAGACAATTTTTTAAAAATTAATTTCTTCACATTAAGAGGTAAGATACTACATTCACAAAATAAAAATAGGCATCTGTGAAAATGAGCATACATAATAAAAAAAGCAACATAATCCTAAAATGACATCAGAAAAAAGAATTTAATAAGATGGCCATAAAAATTAAGGCAACCTCAAAGAAAATTAGGGGTAGAAAAGGACAAAGATAGAAAATGGTGAAATTTAAGAAAATTAAATGACCAGTCCAGGACAGCCTAACAGAGAGTATAAGGGAAAAATATCCCCCCTAAAAATATATATCAGGAAAATTGCCCAGAATTGTAAAACTAGAACATTTAAATACTAAGTATAATGGATGAAACGATGAACACCAAACACATCATTATGTCACCACACAGGGAGGAAGATGATCCTACAACCCTCCAAAGAAAAACAAAGGTCACATCAAAGAACCAACAATCAGGATTCTGGGCTTTTCCACACCAATTGTGCAAGCTAAAAAACAATGAGGGAGTGCCTCTAAAAACTCTGAGGGAATGTGATTTCCTTCCTAGAACATTGTGCCCAACCAAAGCATCAACCAAGTGTGAGGGTAGAAAATGCTTTTAGACATGCAAAAGACCTCAAAAACTAACACCTCAAACACGCTGTTTTGTTTGTTTGTTTTTTTTTTTTTAAAGCTACTGGAGAGTATGTGCCTTCAAAATGAGGTTGTTAAGGAGAAATGAAGACATGGGAACCAGGGATATACCACAGGAAAGGAGCCAGGAAGAATAATTTCTTAACAATTTCTTGCAACTATCCAGAGAAAATATAAATTATACAAGAAAAGAAATCCAAATAAATAAATTTAAAAAATGAAATGACTCAATAGAAAATGGACAAAGCTATCAAGTCAATTTAAAGAAAAAAACTCACTAAGTGTATCCAAAAAAGATTCAAATCTACCTATAATTAAATAAACTACATCAGGTGCTTGAAAAGATTTAGCTAAATGTGTACAAGAAACAAGTACTTTTACACACTCTTAATGGGAGTGGACAATCCTAAATTTATAGAAGGCAGTATGACAATTTTTTAGGTACATAAAGACAGCATGACTTGTAACAGTTTCTACATGATACACTCCCTTTTATAAGGCATGACAGAAGACTATGCTGCAAGTAGAATCAGTTAGATATCCATGCAATAGTAGTGAAAGATCTATCAGATGTGTTAGGTAGAAAAAGCAGAAAATAAGTGTTATTTATATAGAATGTTCTATTGCATTCATGTGTGTGCTCATACACAGTAATCTGGAAAAATACAAACTACAGCAGTTAGCAGTAAAGGAGAACATTCAGACCAGGTATGGTGGCTCACAGTTGTAATCACAACACTTTGGGAGGCTGAGGCAAGAGAAACACTTGAGCCCAGGAGTTTGGCACCAGGCTGGGCAACATGGCGAGACCCCATCTCTACAAAAATAAAAATAAAAAATTAGGTGGGTGTGGTCACAGCTAAGGAGGATACAATGAACAGTTATCACACCACTGCACCCTAGCCTGGGTGACAGAGCAAGACCCTGTCTAACATATATACATACATATTATATATATTTATACACACATCTTTCATGTCATATTTTTAAAAACCATCATATATTGGGAGGCCGAGGCAGGTGGATCACGAGGTCAAGAGATCGAGACCATCCTGGTCAACATGGTGAAACCTCGTCTCTACTAAATATACAAAAAAAAATTAGCTGGGATTAGATAGGCGCATGCCTATAATCCCAGCTACTCAGGAGGCTGAGGCGGGAGAATTGCTTGAACCCAGGAGGCGGAGGTTGCGGTGAGCAGAGATCGTGCCATTGCACTCCAGTCTAGGTAACAAGAGCGAAACTCAGTCTCAAAAAAAAAAAAACCATCATATAGTCACATATTTTTATACTTTCCAAATATGTAACAAAATTAAGTACTTTACAAATATGTAACAAAATTAAGTATTTTACCTTCATGGTATCCTATGTCATAGACATATACTATGATGCAGATTAAGTAACCATTATACAGCTTAAATTAGTTTATTTCCAATCTCCCTCATTCATTACTAATTTCAAGGAAATATATGTGACTCTAACACACTCACCACTTCTCTCCTTTTCCAACATGAAGTAATGGCAAACAAAAAATATATCTAGATGATAAATTATTGAGAGTACTATACTCCAATTTTAATTACACATTAGTCATTGTACAAAAAACCAAAAGGTCTATATATACTAATACATGAATATATAGATATGTATACATACAAACATGTAAAACATACTACCTTTCTGTTTTGTAACTTTCTTGTCTCACTCTACATTTTGAACTTCTGTGTCAAATTATTTTAAAATTTCAGAAAGTTACCAGCTAAATTAACATCAGAATTAACTCTAAAACCAGCACATAGAAAGGAACAAATCAATATACTACAATTCCTGCTGCTGGGCATGGGACCTGTCATGAAGAGCACAATATACCTCAGACCTTTCCTGAGAAGTGGGCAGCTCCTCATGGGATGTCTCCACCACTTGATGCAACTTCTTATGAAGTTCATCCATTTTCTGTTTTAATAGCTGTTCTTCAAAAGCATTTGCTTCTTTCCTTTTCATATAATGTCTGTCTTCATTTACTTTAGGAAAGATAAAAAACGGATTGCATGCAAAACTTAAATTCAACTCATCATAGGAATACATGCAAAATGAGGAAAGGGTTATATTTTAGAGGCCCGCTTTTTTTGTTAGTCTTTCTTGTATTTGGTTTTAGAAGTGAAACTTGTATTACCTTTTAATTTTTACCTGCCCTCAGCTTGGTTACTATATATTCAGGGCATGTAAATTACTAAAAAAAAAAAAAAAACTACATGTTGATCAAAAATAACAACAGCACAGTATAATGGCAAAGATTTTTAACCATCATATACATGATTGTTCTTGTAAACAATCATGATTGTGCAAATCATTTTAAAATAAGTTTTTATTTTTAAAAGATAAAAATCTCTAGAGATTAAGTAGAAGTGAAATGCACTAAATGATCAGGGCTTCGAGCATGCTGTGGTTAGTCCCACTTCCAATAACTGGTTAACAGAGCCACACCAGACAAATCAAAGTCTGGCTTAAGACTTTTTAGTCATGGCATGTGAAATAAAAATGGATCTATGCCCAGCACAAAATGGGTCCTCTGTGTTAACTGACTTGTCTTTTCTGTTGTCAATTGAATATGAAAAGTAATGAACAGAAAAGAAAGGCCCAGAAAGGCTATAGCCCAAATAACTTAGATGATATAAATGTCCCAAATGGAATAAAGGTTCAAATAACTGACCTAGAGATTTAGAATTACAATATACAGATAATATTGAAAATTTTTTAAATATTTATTTCACTAAAGCTAAAATGACACTGGTATGGGTATCTAATTTGCTCTCTTTCAACTATGAGTTTGCGGCCAAGACACCAATTTAGTCCTTGGACTAACTTGGCTGCTAAACTAGTGGTTAACCAAAGTGCAGCTTGCTGCCAGCACAATATTCTCCATGCAAATGCAAAATGGGTTAATAATGACTTCTGGGCTTCTGACAGGATGAGATGAAGACTTTTTTTACAGAGTCTTTCAACATAGTCAATTATTCCATAAAAAAGTACTCAGAGATGAGGATTATTTCAAGTGACATAAGAATAACTAAAAATACAAGATTGCAAGTACCCCATTGCTCATGCTTTCTCCGTTGATTGTATTTCTGGGCTCTCAATTCTTCAAAGGAAAATTCTGATTCCCCACGAATAAGCTTCTCCTTGCAATACATAACAACCTGTTGAACATCAGCTTTGGATGCCAAAGATGAGTGCACAGAATATTCTGATTTAGAAATCATGATCACTCTGTGTTCCCTACAATGGGGGAAAATACATTATTTACAACAATGTATTGAAGAACATTTGAAGGAAACTCGTAATAGATTAATGCACTGATTATACTTGCATATTTGACTCTTTATCACAAGCTGAAGATATCACTCCTGAAAGCTCTGAACCCTAAAAATAGAAAACAAACATGAGCATTCACCTATCTGAGAAGAAAGTGTCACCTAAATTACTTCACAAAACAATATGAAAATGCTTGAGGGGAAGAGGACCCTTAATCTCAAGTAGACTTTTTTTTCTCTCTCTCTTATTATTTATTTTATATTATACTCATATTATATATTTTATATTATACTCATATATTACATCATATTCATATATTTTAAAATTATGATTAATATCAAAAGATTCAGTTTGTATCATTAACCTTACAATAACTATTGCAACTTAATCTAATCCAGGAAAGAGTTTTATTTTTTATAAAGTCCTAACCAGCAGTAGAGAAAAGCCCTAGTTGATTTCCCTTCAATTAATAGTCTAGGAGTTAGGCTATAGTGTCTAAACATTATGGGATGGATATTCCCAACTGCTGTGTTCAACTTTTTTTAATTAAAATTTTCCTCAGGTACTACTCTGCCCTCAAGAGTTCCCAAATTCATTCACTAAACAAATATTTACCAGACACCTACATGTCACACTCTGAGCTGGGTCTAGAAAATATGACTGTAATCAAGACCATCTCTACTATCTAGAGCTTAGACAGAGCAATACAAGTTCAGGAGGCTGGCAAGCATGTGTAGGATGTAAAATGTAAATTGGGACAACTTTCACTACTTGTCAGTTAGGAATGCATATTCTGCTTCTAAGAATGTGTTACATTAATAAAATCTGTACACATACCCTAAGAACAGAGGCATTGCCATTGGCTTTTGCTTCAAGAAGGTCCTTGATGAACTTTGAAAGAAAGTTGTACTATAGAGGGTAATATGGGAAACACAGCTGGGTAACGTGAGGCTGAGGGAAGGAGAGACTTGAGCATTTTCCCATGTTGATAAGCCATGGAGGCAGAAGTGATCTCCATAGAGCAAAACTCTTGATGAGGATAAGGACAAGTGCAGATAGACGGTAACCTTTTCTCACAGGGAAGGATGCAGTTACATTTATTGGTTGGTGGCAGAAAACTGACAGATATCACTTCATGTATCTGCTGAAATAGTATTTTTTAAGCTTGAGAGAGAAGTTAGAGGTAGCCAGGTCTCAAGTTTGAAGAAACTGAAAAGAAGTTTAGCACTATAACTTGGTGCTAAAGAGTGAACCTGGAAACATAATAGATACACAAAACATAAAGAGTGAATCAGACGCTGGAAGCATGTCCCAGGGCCTAAGAGTATGAGAGCCCTAGTTGAGGTAACAGGCATTAACCTTTGAGGCTCCGAGTTTTGAAAGCCAGCTTCAGGAGCCCCCAGGTGGGTATAATCCCAGGTAGAGATTTCCAGAGCCTATGCAGAGGCCAGCAGAGCAGAGGAGGAAAGGATATTGGTAGGGGAGAAGCTGCTGGGGAGAGTAGACAGGAGGCTGTATGGTGGGGGCCTCTGGGTTAGACAATAAATTATATTTGCGGTGAGCTGTGGGAGAGAATAACAGGCCCAGGAAGTAGCCCCAGGAACAGGTAGCTGACATGGAGGTTAGAGTCATGAGAGAAAGATCAAAGAAATCAGATGTCAAACTGGATATAGAAGGCAGCCAGGTTGGCCATTCAATACCATTCCCAGTTTCCATACAACCTACAAATTTCATTATTACCTGATTCTTAGAAATACAGGCCATACTATTTCCTGGATTTGATTTTGATGTTACCATTTGGTTTGAAATTTGAACATTATGCAGAGGTTCTGAGGTTCTAGCTATGAGGAAAAAGAAGATAAAATAAGGAGAAATTAAGGGTAAAACCATAATAAATAAAATTATCACACCTAATACATTCCCCTCATCCTTCTAATAAGAATCATAAGAAGTAAATCAACTCATTCCTACTGTCTCAGAAATTTCAACTACGACATATTTAAAGTAAATATTATACAATTTTCTGATCAATTCAAAATGCCAGGAAGTACCCAAAAGAAATGTAAAACCTAACTAATGATTTTAAACAACAGGATAGGGTAGGCTTATTGCTGAAATGTGATATTTAGTTCTAAGAAAAAGAATGGCTATGTTTCTTTAAAAGTTGCATTAAACACATTTGATTCCATTCAAAATTAGAGTCCAGATTAACTGGTCAATTTTGAATAAAAAAAAAAAAATCCTAGAAATACAGTGAAATCATCAGGCTTTTCTTAGAGGATTGCTCTTTTAAAATGCTAAGACAAAGCCCTTTCTCTCTGGGGCTATTTAGTAGGCATTATAATGATCAGAGTGCTTTCTCTATTACCTGAGAGTACAATTTGGGTTTCATTAAAAATTGGATGGGTATGTGTGTGTGTATGTGTAAACCAGTCTCTCTCTGTCACCCAGGCTGGAGTGCAGTGGTGTGATCTTGGCTCACTGCAATCCTCGCCTCCCAGGCTCAAGCAATTCTCCTGCTTTAGCTTCCCAAGTAGCCAGGACTACAGGCTAAATTTTATATTTTAGTAGCGGTGGCATTTCACCATGTTGGCTAGGCTGGTCTCGAACTCCTGACCTCAGGTGATCCACCTGTCTGGACCTCCCAAAGTGCTGGGATTAAAGGGGTGCATCACCATGCCCAACTGGTTTTGTTTTTTAGAGAAAAGAAAATACTAGTACAAATCCAAGATCGAATGGACAACAATAGGCATTTTAGAAAGTCTGATTTTACCTTGAGCTGGCAAATGGGTTTCAGTGAGGCGTGTCTGAAATAACCTAAATGACAGTAGAAAAGGCATCAATATAGATTATAAATTTACAGTTCAATACAAAGCTGTTAGAGTGAAAACCAAATACCACAGACAACTTATCATAAGCTAGTAAAGTCTGAGGTCAAAAGACAACGTACAGTTGCATTTTAGAGTTGTTTTAAAATAAAAAAATAAAATGCTAGAAATATCTTTATATCCAATATACTACCCGTATTATAAAAATTCCTCCCTTTGCCTAGTTTATGTTAGTATTTCTTAAAGTCATATAACAAATGCACCCTCTTTCTCCATGTATCATGTCTGCAAATGTTCTAACCCAGGGTGTCTAAACTCCTACTTTAGGTACTTAATACATTTGGAACATAATGAATATATCTGGAAGAAAGAAGTAAAAGTACAAAAGTACTTAGACTACTGCTTCAAAAGGCAGACATACGAAATGCTGTGAGAAGTATTTCATGGCATGTTTCATTTTCAACTCTATCTGTCAAGTGATGTGCAATTCCCACACCTGACATTTTTGAGCGATGCAATCCAAACTGCACCCTATAAAGCAACCAAGTGGTAAACCTTGTTGGCTCTTAAGTCAAACAAACCAATGGTTAAGAAGCCATTTTATGTGATGAGAAAAGTTTGAAAATTATGGGATATTAAATAACTATTGTTAGTTTTCTTAGCTATGATTATGGAATAAGGCTCTGTAAGAAGTAAGATTTTAGAGGTGTTTACAATAGGGTTTCAGGTAAAATATTTTGCTGTTATGGATCTGCTTTAAAATTCTTCAACACTGAGAAATACAAAATGTTAAATATTAAAAGTCGGTGATAGATAAATGGAAGTTTACTATACTAATTTTTCTCTTTTATGGGTGTTTGAAAAATCTCATAATGACATCTTTAAAAAGCATGAATACTGTAGAAAAATTGAACAGATGAGTATATTAAAGGATGGCAAGGGGTTCAGTAGATAATGGGTCTCAAATTTTACTAATGAGAGGGGAAGGGTAAACAATTGGTATAACCTTCCAATAGGTAGTTTGGTTACATGCACCACAAGCCTAAAAACTCTTCATACACCCTTTGGCTCAAGAGTTTCAATTCTGAGAATCTATGAGAAGTAACTAAGTAAAAATAGGAAATGCGTTAAAAAATACTTTCATGATGAAGGAAAAAGACCTTGACACAAAGTTGCATATGTACAGAAAGCATGCATGCAATCCTATAACAAGGAGAGAAAAAAACACCAAGGAAAATGCCAAAAGGTTTTCTTTCATTTTCTGTATTTTCACAATTCTCTAGGTGAGATATACTTAATCACAGAAAAAGTTTTAATAATGTGAACAATGTTATTCATTAAGATATTTATAACAGGCCCGATGCAGTGGCTCACATCTGCAATCCCAGCACTTTGGGAGGCTCAGGCAGGAAGATCACTTGCAGTCAGGAGCTGGAGACCAGCCTGGCCAACATGGGAAAACCTCTTCTGTACTAAAATACAAAAATTAGCCAGGAATGGTGGTATATGCCTATAGTCCCAGCTACTCAGGATACTGGGTATCCTGAGGCAGGAGAGTCTCTTTAGTCCAGAAGTGGAGGTTACAGTGAGCTGAGATTATACCACTGCACTCCAGCCTGGGCAACAGAGTAAGACTCTGTCTTTAAAAAAAAAAAGGTAGGCTGGGCACAGCGGCTCACACCTGTAATCCCAGCACTTTAAGAGACCGAGGGGATGGATCACGAGGTCAGGAGATCAAGACCATCCTGGCCAACATGGTGAAACCCCATCTCTACTGAAACTACAAAAATTAGCTAAGTGTGGTGGCATGCTTGCGCCTGTAGTCCCAGCTACTCAAGAGGCGGAGGCAGGAGAATCCCTTGAACCCAGGAGGCAGAGGTAAGCTGAGATTGCAGCACTGCACTCCAGTCTGGACACCAGAGTGAGACTTCATCTCAAGAAAAAAAGAAAAAAGAAAAAAAAGTATTCATCATGGCGCTTTTTATAAATATCAAAATGTAAACAACTTAAATGTCCAATTGGAGAGAGGTTGGATTATGACGCAACACTGTGACAGATTTCACAACCTCTTTAGAAGTAGTTTAAAAAGTTCATAATTTCTTAAGTGTAAATTTCTTTGTATGTGTAACCAAACATACAATATGATTTGCTGTTAAAATATACAAATACAAAGATTCCCACATAGGCACAGGAAAAGATACTAGAAGGAAATGTGTCAGTAATTATTAACGGTAGTATTTACGAGCAGTTTCTTTTTCTTTATACTATCCTGCATTATCCACATTTTCCAAAACTAGGATTTTCCTGTATAAATTGCTAATGATACAATTTTTAAGAGCAAACATTACATTTCAGCCGGAAGCATCACAGGGAGTTTTAACTGGTAGCTACCTGTACTGTTGTTGCAGGAGCTCTCTAGGTTCAGCCTGGTTTTGAATTCCTCTCCGGAGGACAGCACTGGCATGCTGCAGCTCTCCTTGGGCTTCCAGATGCCCCGCCCAGGCTATGTACAGAAGGGATGACAGGGTTCCAATCCCATGGTTGTACAGAAACTCAAAAAACTGATGGAGGTCACTGTTGTACTCAGCCTACGGGAACCCAAAACCAAAAGACATAATAATGGAACTGATAGTCTACGTCTGGTGAGGAGTTAGCCAGCTAAGCTAGGAGCCCCTAGGTAACTTCAGATGAGGGCAAAACCAAGGCAGGATTAGAGGGTTGGACTTTTCAGCCCCGCCCCTGAACTTCCAGGGAGGAAAGAGGGACTGAAGTTTAAGCTGATCACCAATGGCTAATGATTTAATCAATCATGTCTGTGTAAGGCACCACCATAAAAACCCAAGGACAGAGCTTAGTATTCTTAGTAATATCCTTTATAACAGTAACCATTAAGTGTTTCCCTGTGTTCTGTGAGCCACTCTAGCAAACTGATGGAATCCAAGCCCAAAGAGAGGGTTGTGAGAACTCTGCTTTATAGCATGTCAATCAGAAGCACAGGTAAAACAACATGTGGCTTGCAACTGGCATTGGAAGTGGGAGGCAGTCTTGTGGAAGAGCCCTTAACTTGTTTCAGGTAGTGCTGGAATTGAATTGGAGACACAAGTACAGAGCTGACTGATTAACTGCTGGTAGAGAGAAGTCTGTTAAGTACTTTTTTGGGGGCGGGTTGGGGAGGACAGAGTCTCACTCTGTTGCCCAGGCTGGAGTGCACTGGCATGATCTCAGCTCACTGCAGCCCCCACCTCCCAGTCTCAAGCAAGTCTCCTGCCTTAGCCTCCTGAGTAGCTGGGATTACAGGTGCCCACCACCATGCCAGGCTAATTTTTGTATTTTTAGTAGACAGGTTTTCACCATATTGGCCAGGCTGGACCTAAACTCCTGAACTCAAGTGATCCACCTGCCTTGGCCTCCCAAAGTGCTAGGATTACAGGTGTGAGCTACCGTGCCCAGCCCTCACATACTTTTTAATGACTAGCAGCACAGAAGTCCATTGAATCAGAGAATAAACAGTTTTTCCTCTCTATTATCTTCAGAACTGGAAACAAGGAATTAAGATAAAAGTCTAAAATGATCTTACAATATAAGTTTAAAAAGCAGAAGTACAACATAATTATAGATTTGATGATACATCTTAAGTATACTTACAAATTTTAAACAATAATTGATGAATCTTGGGTCATTGTGGTATTTCTTCTTATCTAAAAATTCCTTCATTAAATGTTCTAGTAAAGTTGCCAAGTATTCTCTATTCTCAGGAAAATTCTCTTCTACCCACTGTATGTAGCTAGAAAAATATGGGTAATGTTAATTTTCCATAGGACAGCATATAGCTTGTTTAAAAAAAAAATAACTAAATGCTGACCTTTCCCATTCACCAAGAGGGTCATTGCCCTTGTAGCTCTGCATATGGGCTTCAAACATCCTAGAACAGAGAAAAGTATGCATATGGGATGTTAGGGACAATTCCTACAAGCAAAAGATATACTTGATTTTATATATACCATTTATATACATTAAAATGAAAATCTTAACTATCAATCCAAACAGTATTTAATAAGAAGCATTCACTCAGAAGTAGTCAGAAAACTTAGAAGCAGCCAGTGTTTTTCCAGAAGTCCCAGCTGTATCCCCAAGGGTCTCCTTCTCCTCTCATGAAACCCGAATGTCACTACCACCATAAGGGCCAGTGTCCACAAGTTTGCTGCTCCTTCTAACAGGAGGATCTAAGCATGGCACTGACTCAGACCCCTGCCCTTCCAGTGGGATCTAGGCAAGGCAGTGACTCAGATCCCTGCCTTTGCTTCCCAGGAGCATGGCTGACACATGGCTGGAACAAGACTCAAAGAGGGCTTGTAAATGGGTGTGAGGCAGCCCACAGGACCACAAAGTAGTTTCCAGACACAGTTTGTTTTCATGGCTTCAAAGTAACAAAGTCCCTGAGGAATAGCAGATGACAGCAGTGCTCAGAAATCAGCCACAGAACTCCCAGAGAATTCTACTTCCCCCATTTCCACATACACAGCCATAGCCTAAAAAAAAAAAAAAATTAGCCAGGTAAAGCAAAATTCCTCTTGGGAATTCAGATGCTAGAGGGGCTAAACAAACAAAAAGAAACATGTAAAGTAATGTCAGGTTACATTAAGTACTTAGAAGAACAAACTAAATAAAACATAACAGGAGAAAGGATGAGAATGTGGTAAGAGTTACTATTTTTAGACAAAGTGGCCAGGGAAGTCCTGCCTCTCCTGAGGCAGTAACATGTGATCAGTGCCAGACAGCCATGTAGCTATCTGGGTGCGAAATGGTCAAGGCTGAGAGAACTTCAGGAACAGAAAGAAAGCCAGTGTGTTTTAAGTGTCATCAGCAGGAAAAAGTGGGGGTGACCAGATCTAATTTTCATTTTTATGTCCCTCTGTGTGAAGAAGGAAATAGAAGGTAAGAAGGGAAGTGGGAAATCAGTCAGGAAGACTCCTAGGTTTTCTATCTGAGACACTATATATATATATATTTTTAAATGATGTAAAAAGCAATATGTATTTTTATTTTATTTTTTTAGAGATGGAATCTTGCTCTGTTCTCCATGCTAGAGTACATTGGTACAATCATAGCTCACTGTAACCTCAAACTCCTGTGTTCAAATGATCCTTCTGCCTCAGCCTCTTGAGTAGCTGAGACTTACAGGCACATGCCACCATGTCTGGCTAATTTTTATTTTATTTTTTGCAGAGATGGGGTATCACTATTGGTCTTCAACTCCTGGCCTCAAGTGAGTTTCTTGCCTTGGTCTCCTGAAGTGTTGGTATTACAGGCATGAGCCACCATGCCCCGTCGAAAAAGCAATATTTACTTCTTTTTAGGTAAATATAAAGAAAAATAAAAAGAAACTAGAAAAAAATGGTTACACATGACAGAGTAGGAGGGTAGGCAGGTATAGGAGTTCTCAGTAAATATTGCTCTAACTCTTCTTTTAGTCATATAACTGTATTGCTTATTTTTGAAACTAAAAAAAATAATAATTACTTCTGAATTCTAAATGTTTCTCATGCTTCATAGAAAAGAGGGTCAAATCCATATTTCAGAACTTTTCTTCCAAAATATGTGTAGTAGGCCCGCCCAAGGTAAATATTTCATATTCTAACACCAACCACATTTCTCTAGTAAAATGACCTAAATACACTGTAATACTAAAACAACCAGTTCACTAAAGCAAATTAATCTCTAGTAACTCAAAATAGGACCAGAAATACCTGCTTGGGAAACTTCTGAAAGAAAATAATTTGCTGTCTAGGTTGTAGGCTACAGAAAAAGTCTTAGAGCAAATATATTTTTGTTTTGATTGTATTTAACAATCTTGGACTTCTAATCACAATGAACTAATAAAATGGACCAGTTTTACATCCTGCCACCTATGACTTAATTGTTTTAAACAGTTTTAAGTTACAGTCTTAGTAAACCATCTAAGTTAAAAAACAAAGGCGTGGGAACTTTAAAAAGTTAGTGAGGTTAGCAGGCTCGTACACATCACTCAGTAATAAGCAAAGCTATTTTATACTTTTCCATTTTTTTTCTTAAAGAACCCTGTATTCAAAGACTTTTAAAAAATAGCGGTGGGATTATGGGTATGAGAGCAACTTTAAATCCGTTCCCTGCTGTAGTCTAATTGTTAAATACGTGACTTTGAAAATTTATCTTAACACCTAAACACAAGGTTCGGGGGTTTTGTTAGGTTCAACAGCTATCAGGAGGGGGTTCCTTAACAAAGAATAAACCAGAGCTCTGGGGGCCTAACGAATTATCCAAATCCCCTCAAACTGTGGTGCAGCTGGGCGAACGAGCACCGGGCCTCAGGGGAGCCCACTGTGCCGAGCCCTCCCAGGCTCTCAAGCGGCCCACGGCCTTGCTGGACACACTCCAAACCCAGGAAGGGGGCGGAGGGAGCAAAAGAAGGCAGGTCTAGGGCGGGCTGGGCCCGAACCCCAGGCGCCCCAAACCCCTGGGCTTCCCCACCCCCTGGGATTCCCCACCCCACTAGATGGACACTTACTGAAGGGCATTTTCCGGGGTGTCCATGGCCAGAAGATGCTGGCCGGCTGCAGCCAAACTCTCACCACAAGCCAGTAGCCGCCGCCAATTCGAATCTCCCGCGCAGCCGCAGTCGGCTAGCCGAACGCTTCAGGGAGCCTGTCATTGGCTGGTGAAGGAGCTGGCCAATCGCCAGGGCCGTTGCCCGGAGATCAAGTCCCGCCTCTCTCCTTTGCGCCAGTAGCTTCTCCCATTTCCGGTAGCGGTCGGTTGAACCGAAACCTGGCTTCAGGGGAGGGAGCGCCGGGTGTTAGGGATGTAGCGCGGCGAGGGGGAGCTGGCTTTGGCTTGGGCGTAGGGAATTGGTTTTTTTTTTTGTTTTAGCTATCCGCATTGTAACTGGTTTACATAATTACACGATTAAGCCATCGTTGTAGGAAAGGCTTTGCAGGAGAAAAGTGATTTAACTGGAGGTCTTGAACCAAAGAACCTTGCCTCAGCCCTTGAGTCCTAAGAGTCGCGTTTCTTCCCCGTCTTCACTTAAATATGTAAAACAGAATCGTTATGTCTGGTTCTTAGAACCAAGAAAAAAATCCCGTGTTCCGGGGGTGGGCAGTGGGTGGGATGGTCGAGACTGTCATGTCTTAAGCAGCAGTGCCCGGGAAAGATGGGGAGGCAGGTGGGGAGAAAAAACGGGACTTGCTGCCGGGGACGTCTCCCGCTTTCCGGCAGTTTTCTATTTAGCGGTCTCTCTGTGAGAAAAGACCCCAGATGCTAAAACCAATACAGTCTTAGCCTTAGTCTTACAGACTCAAGTGCGATGACAAAAAGGGAGTGACTACGGTCTGTGGGGAAAACAAAAACAAAAACCCGAGGAGTTTTTGGCTTAGCGATTTCTGTGAGGGCACGTGGGGGGGGGGGGCGGCTTTCTAGGGTCGACTACGTAATTATACCAGGCAAGGAAAGTAATGGGTTGGTGCCCTTGGAGTAGACCCCTGGGCTTGATTTAACTGATCTGAGAGGCTGGGCTCGTGCCCTGAGCCACAAAGGGGCCCTGTCAGACAGCTTCATGAGAAAGGTGGGGCTCAAGGGACTGGACTTTCCCTACAGCCAGCTGTAATTAACATCAAAGTAGAAGAGTTTGGGTAGATTACAGAATACCCGGTTTCAACATCTTTTGGGGGACTAGGCACTCTGGGAGACCAAGTTCTTAGAACCCACAAAATCAAAAATAGACACCTCTTTGTAGAGGAATCCAGATGTCTAAAGAGGCGATATGTAATACGCTGATGATTCATAAGAGTTGGGAAACGGTTTGCCTAGTCTTCTCTGCCTCTTGGTCTTTAATAACTTCCTACTCCACTTCTCAAGGGTGTTTCAAGGGCTACTAGACAATGCAAAATAAAGACCTGTTCATGCTAGAAAGAGGTTGTATGGATGTTTCTGATTCCTTGGCCTCTTGAGTTAAATACTTTAAAAAGTAAGGTGGGGTGTAGTGGCTCATGCCTGTAATCCTAGCACTTTGGGAGGCCAAGTTGGGCAAATCACCTGAGGTTAGGCGTTCGAGACCAGCCTGGCCAACACGGTGAAACCCCATCTCCACTAAAAACACAAAAATTAGCTGGGTGCTGTCTCTACTAAAAAGACAAAAATTAGCCAGGTGTGGTGATGTACACCTATAATCCCAGCTACTCTGGAGGCTGAGGAAGGAAAATCACTTGAACCCAGGAGGTGGAGGTTGCAGTGAGCTGAGATCACGCTACTACATTCCAGCAACAGAGGGAAATTCTGCCTAGAAAAAAGAGAAGAAAAAAAAAATTGACATCTGGAAATCCCAGTGCTCCAGAGTTTCTTCCAGTGTGTAGGTGGCTTTGAATCTGCATGATTCAATTTGTGGGGTTTATTACTTGGAGGGGTCTCACTCTGAGGTCTTCGATAAATAGGTTCTGCTAACCATCACAGGAACTAGGACATTTTTGGTCCCATCAACTCAAGTTTTCATCTGCTTCTGATAGTGGCTCAGTCAGTAATCAATCAGGAAATGTTGATTGAGAAGCCATCATGAGCTAGGTGCTAACTACATACAACCTTGTCTAACTCAAACAGAACCTGTCCTGAAGACATTAGTGATTTTGACTGAGAAATGAGAACACAGAAATAAAGAATTGTTTAAAGGTGGCATATATGTATATTAAGAGACGAATGAGTTCAGACTGTATGTGGTAGGCCAGCATGGACAGGTTTCATGGAAGACAGTTTTTCATGGGGATGGGGGTGTTGTAGGGGTGGGCAGTGGGTGGGATGATTTTAGGCTAAAAGTGTTCCATCTCAGATCATCAGGCATTAGGTTCTCATAAGGAGCTCGTAATCTAGATCCCTCGCATGCCACAGTTCACAATAGGGTTTGCCTTCCTATGAGAAGCTAATGCCTTGCTTATTTGACAGGAGGCTGAGCTCAGACAGTAACTCACCAGTCACCTTCCGCTGTGTGGTCCAGTTCCTAATAGGCCATAAGCAGGTACCAGCCCATGGCCTGGGGGTTGGGGACCCCTGTGCTAGGGGTATTCAGAGGAGGAAAAGGTAATGAGGACATGTTGGTGAGACAAAGCTTCATAGGAAAGGTGGGGCTTGAATTGGGCCTTGAAGGGAAGGGGATGGATATGGGTGGGGCAGAGCCAGGGGTCGGTCATTGCATGTGTAAGTCAAGATTTTAGAAGGAGATCACTCTTGAAGATTTATGAGTGTTAGAGATTCTTTTTTGAAAGACTAGTTTGCTATTTTGATGTTAAATCTTGAATGCTAGACTAAGAAGTGTGTATTTAATAACTTTAATAATGGTTTTTTTAAAGCAAATAAATATGTGATAAGTACTTCATGATAGTTACACTTAGTTCTACCCTGTTTTCGAAAAGCCAAAGAGATTGTCTACCCTCCTTCACTTTTGTTACTAGGGGTTCCTCTCCCACCAGGTTTGTTTATGGGTGAGATATCATAGATGCTTTTTTAACACTGCCCTTAAAAAAGGCACACTAACCCCTTGTCAAACCCCATTGCCAATCACTGCAGGTATATCCAAGAGTAACAGAAATAAAATATTACCATTGTCAGCAGTGATTAGAAACCGATATTTTCCCAGGAATAATTTTGTGGCTTATTCAATGGCTTCCCTTTATCCTCACTTATGACAGTTTCCTTCTGCCATTATTCTTAGAGGAATAATTAAAATGATCTGCCTACAAATGTGTTCATCTTAATATCCATATTAGGATAATTAACCTACAAATCTAAAGAGCCTAAATCCTGAACGTGGCAGTGTTCAGGATTTACTGGAGACAGGGAGAGAGATGGGCAGAAAAGGCAGAGAACAGTACTTTGCAGACTTCAAACTGGTATTGCAGAGAGAATGAAAGAGGGAATCAGATCACATAGAAGGACAATTCTCAGAACGCAATGAGGTCTTTAATATATAGGAAAAAGAAAAGAATCCAAGATAATTTGAAGGCCTAGGAGAATTAACAGAAATAGGCCATTGGTGCTGGGAAGACTGCTGTTTTAGACATGTTTAGTTGGGGGGGTTACCAGGTCTTTTTCTTCTTCATGAGACTAGACACTGCAAAAGAACAGACATATGGTTCACAGGCTTCAAAAGCTTATTGAAAGAAGTTTCACATGCCACTTCTTAAGCCTAGAATGATTTTTTTTTTCCCTAAGAGCTTCACATTATCTCTACATGTCAGGGAAAAATGAAGAATCTCTGAACAGTTTTATACTTCGATAAAGAAAATCTGTAAACCTCAAAGAAATACATACTGGCAATTTACATAAATTAATTTAAGCAGAATATACAAAAGGGCTGACAAATGTGTTGTTCATTATTTAAAAATTCACCAATTGGAAGCTCATACCACTAATAGTACTCCAGTTTCTCTATTCTCACTAGTGCCTTGTTTAATCTTGTTCCTCTGCCATTTGTCTCAGGCCTGAGTTAAGAGTGTAGCAATTGTCATAGAATATCTGGAAGTCTATTAAATGATAATTCTTGCTTCATTAATTTGTCTTTTTTAAATTTTTGGCATTACTATTGTCTTAGTGTTTCTGTTACCTTATCTCCTCAAACCCACCCAGTGTGTGAGAGGAGAGGTGTGCTTTGGTCTGGGTCTGAGCAGCAAGTCTAGCTATCTCTAAATATATGCCTTTCTTTCATCTGATGCAGAAATGTGCAGCTATAAGTCTCTCTTCCTTTCCAACTCCAATTCCCTTATAATTTTAATATTAAATATCCATCTATCTAAAAATGACTCCAATAAATTTCTCTAAATTATTACGAAGGCCAATAGATAAAGTATCTTCATTTGTATATGGGTTTTCAGTGACTTGTTATTCCAACATCATAATTTCAAACTTATTGGAGAAGGAAAATCGGGCCACATCAGTGTACCTAAGCTCCAATCTTGATTTTCCCAAGAAGCAGTAAATGGTCAAATGACCTAAACTCTCAATCTGGGTATCAGCTTCTTGATCTATGAAATGAAGAAAACTGTCCCTTTGTCTTCCACTGTCTAATAATCTCATAAGATTTTCTACTTAATTCCTAACGTATCTTGGATTGCCTCATAATATAAAAGTTAGTGTTGTGTTTCAAAAAGGAAAATAATTTTCTCTAGGTTCTGCAGCTTTGATCTAAGCAACTAATCACAAATACTTGTGTATCTTCTTTTCCCTGAGAAATTTCCAGACATTTATGGTAGTAGTACCAGACGTGTGGCTAGTTCATAGTGTCCTGAAACATTATATACTGGAAATTTATAATTAGATTAGTTTCAGTAAAGGAGTAATTTATGAAACTATATTAATAATAAAGTCAATATGCAGAAAAGGAAATATGTAGCTCAATCTTAGATATTTTTTTCATCTGTGTGTGTTGTGAGTTTGGAATGATACCTATGGTACCAAAGCCCTGAGTCTAACCTGTATCACTGCAGACTGGGAGGAAAGATGGAGGTGGAGATAGGGGAATGGGATTCCAACTTCCTCAAGAAGCCTCCCCAGAAAACTTTGATAGAATGTTCAGTTCAGCACATCATCCTGTTATTTATATAAAGGACTCAAGTGATCCCTAAATGTTAATTCCATTTTTAGGTGTGGTAATTTTATTAGTTCATTCTTGCACTGCTATAAAGAAATATGTGAGACTGGTAATTTATAAAGAAAAGATTTAATTGGCTCATGGTTCTGCAGGCTATATAGGAAGCATAGTGGCTTCTGCTGCGGGGGTCCTTAGGAAACTTACAATCATGGTGGAAAGTGAAGAGACAGCAGGCATGTCTGGAGCAGGAGGAAGAGAATGAGAGAGGGGAGGAGCTACACACTTTTAAACAACCAGATCTCATGAGAACTGTATCAGGAGAATAGCACTGAGGGGATGGTGCTAAACCATGAAGGATCCATCCCCAGGATCCAATCACCTCCTACTAGGTCCCACCTCATTGGGGATTACAATT